TAAAGTTACATTTGATAAAACAACCTGTAAAGAATATTATTAAAATGTATTCCAATCCATATCTTTATACCTCTATGATAGATGTGAGATTAATGTATGATTAAAAGATAACACAGATAAAAGACTGATGAGAGTTATGCTGGATTGAATTGCACTGTCCATTATAGATCAGATTTGTTGATTAAACAAATGAAGAGCTCGGCCAAAAGAATAATGCTATGTCTTAAGGATTGGTACGTGCAGTTTATTGAACTGTGCAATTACTGTACAAGGCTTTCATTTTGTTTCTCGACAAACCCGACACTACTATCTTACTACTGAAGATATAAACTGACTTACTGATCTGGGATAACATTTACTGAACAGGTGAAACCTGTCAAATCAAACCACTGCTACGTTATTGGGAAATAACTGGTTACTGATCCAAAAATGATATAACCTAGAAATTATAATATCTAAATCATATCTGTCCAAATTGTTAGATAAACCAGATGTATATTTAATCTTAACTAAGTTAGTTCCAATTGTCTAGCTATTAATTACATGATATGCCAAGAAGAACCTTTGTTGGACTTTAAACAAAACGTGTTCCATTGCAGTGGAGGATATTGGTTGTGGCTGGCAGTCATTTTCAAGTGTGTACTACTTCAAAGTTGAATTAAACATGCAAATCTTATTCCTATTGTTTGTGAACAATATTAGTGGATTAGTGCATGCACAATACAAAACGTTAATTGTGGGCTGTGACTCCTTTCAAGTCTCTGCGACATTCAATGAAAAGCCGAGAAAAGGAGCGAGACCACCAACTCAACACATGAACAAGTCTCTCAAACTTGAATGCTGCTCCCCTAAAAACAGAAAACAAAAGTGTCTTTTGTATGAGAGCCGACGGTCTCCACAGAGTCAGCGTGCTGTATGTGTGTGTGTGTGTGTGTGTGTGGGCCACTAGGCCATTTGAATGTGATGAGTGGGCTGTCGACATAGCAGAGGGGCTGGGCACGGCCCAGGAGGATGGACAAAGGCAGTGACTGTGCAAAAAAACACAAAGCTCTCCTACTCGCCGTGGGTCTGATAATGCAAGATAATCCAAGTGTAAACCGGTGGATATTCATAATAATGTGTTTCCTCAACGTATCTCCAGAAATCCTTCCTGTTGCGAGAGATGAGGTCACAATGCGAGCCGCAATGATTCATTGTTGGACCACGCCCTCGTATATATAGACACAGCTTACAGAGCCGGCGTCCTAAAGGCGAAACGTATGCTTTAACATGGAAAAACTCTTCACGCATGTGTTAGTGTCACTGTCACAGAAACAGATTTTAGTAACTAATGATTAGTGTTACATGGCTGTAATAATTTAAAACAAAATATACAGCAAAGTCACTGCACCACCGAATGTCTAATCCGTTAAATGTTTCCCGATGTTAGAGGATGATCAACTGTTGGGAAACTCTGCAACCTCTTCATGCTGCAGGCCTGCTGAGCCGGCTCTGCAGGAACAGCCACTGCCCAGCGCCATAAACTGCTGTACGCGTCTGACAAACCGCGTATTTAACTCATTCCTACAGTGTACAGTCTTTTGTGAAGCCTGCATTGAATTTCACCCCGAGCCACAGCAAATCCTCCATTTACTCTCCTTATGAACTGTAATTACCTAATTAGTGTGGCATTTTTTCTTACAGACACTACAATTAGAAGTACATGCATGCTCCTTTGTTGAGGGCCTTTGCTGTGCTTAGTTGCCTAAATGGATTGTCGTATGTTTGTTTCAAGCACAGCACACAGACGTTCATGCAGCATTCCTTTGATGTGGAAATGTTTCATTTATTTAGTTGATTTGAGGTGATGAATGAGTGCACAACGTAACACACCACATGGCTACAAAAACACTGACAAAGACTAACTCAACAGGACAGAAAATAACAAGGAGTTAGATTACATTTACGTATTGATTTGGTGGAACAAAGACCATTTTGTTTCTGCGATGGCAACTGGCTGTTTACTGGTTTGTTTGGTCGTGTTTGTTAGATACAGTTTATGTAGTTGTGACGAAAATGTGCCTGTTTGTCTTCTTGCATCACATGGACTGATGCTCGGGGCTCTGCGTATTCCCATCAACTGACAACAAAACTAAAGTCACAATAACAATAAATATAGATTTTCCCGGCTGAATGGATAACTGATTTATTTTAAGAAAGTGAAAGGTATCTGCTGCATGTATGAGCCTTAATATCTGGTCATAAACTCACATATACATACTTATTTTAAATGCTATTGTTTGCATTCTCTCCTACAAACTAAGATATAACTTTCCTCTCACGTAAAGTTAACTGTCATCTCACTCATCACTCACCAACATTCTCCAAAACAAGCAATCAAACTATGAATCAGTAACCTCTGTCCTTAACTGATCTCTGATCTCAACGGGCAACGCTTGAATGTACGAGTCAGGAGTCCGAGGTGAACTAAGCCGATGGAAACAGGGCTGTAGGTGAGTTTTAAAAGGTAATGATCAGCCTGCCATCCAAAGTTTCTACAAGCAACGCTCTTCGGCCAAACGCTTATGTGTAGAATAACATTGACATGGGGAAAAAAAGCCAAAGAGTTTAATCTGTGTGCCACAAAAAGATTAAATTAAGACCACAGACATGAATAACCGATCAAACGATTCCATGAAAATTAATGTGTTGGTTTAAAGTATGGAAAAAAGACAGAAATGCCTTACCCTTCTTAGCAAAGTTCATTATTCATGTAACAGCTGCCGGAGTCGAATTTTACCCAAAAAATCCGCACGGAGCATCAAAAACCGCGGCCGAAGCTCACTGCGTGTCACGGCTCTTCTGCCTGAAGATTCCTAATGAATGCGACATCATATGATCCCATTGGAGTCCAGTCAGGGCTTTTAAGCCCTACACCACAGCTGACTGGCCCAGGCTGGCTACAATACTGAAACAGCTGAGAGGAGAACAGGCTCACGGGCCAGCGTGCAGTACAATAGCGAACACAGTGAATGCTGTTTGTTGTTTTACTTTGGTTTACTTTTGTCCACAGGAAACACAAAAAAAAACCGCCGCTGTCAGTTTGAATTGGGCTCCCTCAGATCTCCTCAGGCCGGGCCTCAGAGCGTGTGTACAATTCTGTCAGGGAGAGACTGAATAACGTAGACCTCTTCTGTGTGATAGATTTGGTCTAATGAATGAGCTGCATGGACCCAAACGGAGCAGCTACATGAAGTGACATGAGCTGCTCCTTACGAGCCGATGCCTCACACTGCCATGTCATCGTGCTGTCTGCCCCGAGACACCATATAGGGCAATCAATCACAATCCCCCTAAAAATACAAAGATCTTTCATTTATATTACGAATGTATGATTTACTAAAGCAAAAGTGGGGTTTGACGCCTCAAATTGACAGTAAAAGATGAGTACACCGTTTGGTCCATCAAGTGATATGTCGAGTCCTTTCCACAGCTAAACAAGAGACACAATAATAAGCATCAGATCGAATATTCAGCCAAGATCATAAACATTTCATGATGAAGCCTTGGTCTCGGCTACTAAAAATCTCATTGTGATGTCATGCAGGAAATATTCCCACTTTTCCACCGCGGGGATAAAGACACCAAGAGCAGCCAGTCACGAGAGAGCGAGGGGGGGGCAGGCTGACATCTATTCAACTGTCAACCAGCAAACAGGCAATATTACTTCATTTCCCAAATGCTAAAAAAAAAACACCCAATCAGCATCGATCCTACCTTTATATTTTTCCAACACATCCTCATAAGCTTGGAGGTATTCCTGTTCGCCCGAGAGACCGTGAGACTGCGGTGCGTACTGAGCCATTCCCCGGGCTCCACGAACTGGACATTCACCAGCGGCGGACAGGGACACAACGTGTGTGCGTGTGTGTGTGTGTGTATACGTGTTTATGTATGTGTGTGCGTGTCTATGTACATGTGTGTATGCACTGAGGACTCGAGAGTGACCGGCGCTGTTGTCGCGCTGAAGGAAACGCCCTATGTCCCGCCCCCCCCCCGTCTGCGCTCTGGCCAATGGGCGACGCTTCCTCTCACCAGATTGACAGGAAGGACGACCGGACGTGCCGCGCTGTAAAAAGTGTCTGTGTTTGAAAAGTGGGTCCAGACTCATTTGGCTGCAGTGGAGTGAATTACCGTAATGTGATTCATCTTATATTATTGACACATTGGTCTAGAAATCTCCCAAGATGACGTGTGTCTCATCAGTGGGTAAAATAAAAGGTCCGAACTGGATTAAAACCAACAGTGTCGTGACGCTTTTTACAGTGTAAACGCATTTCCATGTCAGACGTCTGTGTACCGGCTCGTAACATGGACCACGATGCGTTTCATTGTTGTCCTCCTGTCAAAGACTTCAGACGTTGAAACTTTGGCAGATTTATATGACAATTGTTTGAATTTATACATCCTACTGTCAGCAATGTCTCTCACGTATTCCCGGAAGGTGCCCAACTTTACCAGCGAAAGTCCCTATAATCGAGATCAGATACAATCTATGCCAACTTTACAACTTCAAATCAAATCAAAGTACTAAAACCGTGTAATAAAACGTTTACTTTAGCACTTCATCAAGTGTGAAACAAACGACATGTCAGAGGAGTCGATTTTCTTTTTATTTCCCAACCCTATATTAACATCTCAATCAATTCATCTATAAAATGACAGAAAATCAGCCTTTAAGCAAATGTTCGATGGACATTCAAGAGAAATAATTCTGTTTTTTAAAATAATTTTGAAACATTGCGCCACATATTCCAAACCCTCATCCTAATTATAAAGCCTCATCTCCAGCATAACAACAGACCAACATACCGCTATGTGTGTGCTTCCCCCATATAAAATAGGGATTGATTATACCGGCATATATAACCCAGCTGTATTCTGCGCATGTTAAAGCTTATTTGCTCGTTGTTTTTCTGGTTCCAGTTTCAGCATCGTGTGACGGGGACGCGGCCGCTCACCTGCGATCCTGAGCACGGCTCTCTCCGCCGGGTCCAGCACGGATCCTCCCTGGATCTTCCTCTTGGACCGCTCATGTCTGGGCAGGTTCCACGGTAAAGTGTCCCCGGGTGCAGGTGATGCCGACCCGGATTTCACACTGTAATCATCCTCGTCGGAGATGTCCGCCGAGGAAGACATGGAGCAGTGCAGGGAAGGGTTCCCCGAACTGGAGCTCTGTGAGACAAAAGAAGATGGGGATAAGGAAGGAAAAAAAAAAAAAAGAACAATGCTTGACTTGATTTCAGACACACGCACGCACACGCGCGCAGCCTAAATGAACACAAAAAAACAATCGCGTTTATTTCTCACCATCGTTGGGTCAAAGTGCGTTTATGTGAGCTAACCAGCTGTGATCAATAAAAATATCGAGCCATATAAACGGCGACGCGAAATCAATAGTATCTGGCTCCCCCGCCAGGTCAACAATAACACTCACCACTGTATACATGGAGAGCTGTCAGCTGGGAGGAAGGGAACAAAAACAACAATCCTTATTTGCTCGTTATTAGCTCCGACCCTTCAGGCGCACGCCATGCGCGTCAACCGCCGGAAAAGGGCTGCGCCACGCCCTGTGAGCGATGCTCCGGCCGCGGGAGCGTCCCTCCTATCTGCGCATTAAGGGACGCGAGGGGTGATGTCGGCTCTGCTCCGGGGGGCCGAGCGGATGGTTCGCTGTGCGCGGTGGAGGCAGAGCTGCAGCGCGATGGGAGAGCGAGGATGCATGCGTGCGCGCGTCACACCCGCTACAGCCAACAACAGCGTTTGCTCCAACAGCGACACCATCCCCGGAAGGTGCTGGGTGGCTACAGATGGAGCAAAAGTCGGGTACCATAGTTTCTCACGCGGCAACAGATGCACGGCAGAGAGAGAGAGAGAGGGGGGGAGAGAGAGAGAGGAGGATTTCGGACACTTACATAATATCCTGGGGTGTTAAACACGGAGGGAGAGGTGAAATCCTCCACATATGTTGGGCTAATTATCTGAGAGGATGAAGAGGACCTTGGGAGCACGAAAATAAGGATTGCGCTTAACTGGGTTTAAATTTAAACACATTAAACCAATATCTAATTTGGGGGGAAACCACAGCATAAATGTATCCTTGTTGGGATGATGTCTATTCTGACGTTACAGGCGTTTAATTAAACCAAAAGACAGTTCTAGTGTAGAAAATGATCAAAGAATGACTTTTGCAATATCCTGCTGCACCCTGACACACCTGAGATTGAGAAACAGAACAAGTAAATACAACTTAATGGTAATGGAGAGGGGTGGGGTGCAGAATACCTGTTACATGACACTTCATTTGTTCAATGAAAACACGGAAATACAAGTGAGTTCATGTTAATGTGCGAACAGTAAGGAATGAGTCTGCAGAAAAGAGTGCTTCCTTGATGTTATTAAAAGGTAAACCTGGAGCTATATAGCACTTCAATTTTAACTGCGAAAGATGCAGCCCAAGATGAGCTTGACAGTTCCTGCCAGTATTTCTACACAAGTACAGACAATTTTTTCTATTTTTAAACAGCAGTAGTGGTGAGAATCTCTTCTCGGTGCTGGAACAGAGCTGATGAAAGCAACACACCGTCAATATCAGCCTTTTCATCAGTCTGTCCCTTTTTCACTAGGATGATGACGTCAAAAACACAATAAAATGAAGCGATGCATTAATCAGATAACCCATTTGATTCAGCATTTGCACTTGATCTGTTTTAGTGTAGGACATCAAATAAAAACAGGAATGCAGGCGATTGACTTGCTGTGACTGCAATATGTGAGAATTCAGTAAACACCTTTTATGGTAAAAAAAAAAAAAAGATTATCCTTTTAAAACTATGGGTTCAATCATTCTGGATTATTCACGGGTAGGTTACACATGCTAATTCGTCATGAATGGTGGGTTGGTCTCGGCCCGCGCTAGTTTACCAAGGAATATTCAAAATTTGAGTCATCTAACGTACAGAATTTATTTGAGCTCTCGTGATTCCGTAAGTCTTATGCTTCTTGTTGTGGTTCAAGCATTTGTGAAACTCCTCTGCCTCCACCTTTTATCATTGGAACAACATTAATGGCTTTTCCTCTGCAACTGTATTTCACCCCAAAATAAAATTTGTCTGTATAATTTTAAACATTACTGGTTTACAATAAGCCCTTTAGTTGGAGGCATTAAATATAATATATTGACACAAATTGATCTGCATGTTTTTCTTGCGGTTATCTACAGAATTGCAACACAACTATACTGGAAGAAGGGAGGTCCGGCAGTGTCCCTCCGAACACAGTCAGTTCCAAAATCAATTCATAATGTCACGTCAAATCAAGTCACAATGTACTAAATGTAATACAGCAGTAACAGCCCTTTGCAGTGCAGCGATTATCTAATATTGTGGATGCAATGATAAAACCCGAAACACCCGCAGACTTGGGGATGTTGTGAATTTGAGAGCAGGATTCTCTTCTCTGGAAAAAGAAACATATATTGTAAGAATAGAACAAAGAATAATTGCGCCTCGTATTCCCATAAGTAACCGTTTCCATCTGGAGCTTTGTGCTTCTACAGCTCTCTCTTCCTGTGGCTGAATGTTCCCTTCCAGGCAGACACGGATCAATATGTGGGTCAGATGTAATACCGGTTCACTCCTCACCTTAGTTTTTAACTGGAACTGCTCAAGAAGAAAAGAGTAAACAGGGAGGAAATGAGCACACTTTGGTTTGCAAGCAGTGCAGTTAATCCAGCTAGTAACATAAAGCCCCACATGTGGTTCCCATAGCACCACAGTTAATTATTAACTAACCTGAATGGTCAATGAGGAAATATACAAGCATTCCATTACAAACTATACAAAATATATATGATTGGAATGTATTTTCATTTGAAATTCAAAATGATTGTGTAATACCTGAGGATCAATGTTTTTTCATCAGTCGAATGTGCTGAACTATTCATGTAACTTTATAATCTCATCTTGCATGGTAATATATTGTTGATCTATGATTAAAACTAAAAATGATTGATGATGATCAATGATCGCTGACTAAACATCACATACAATAAAAAAAAAGGTGACAACACAGCAGCAACAATAATGATAATCTCATTGGACCATAAACAAGCATCCTTCCCCCGGGTTAGACAAACAGTAAAAGTGTCCTTGAGCAAGCTGCTGATTCATTATCAGGTTGAACGGCACACTGTTGTCCCTGTGGAGCGGAGCAAGCACAACACAATATCAGTTTCAGTAAATGCTAGAATGAAGGGAGGTACCTACAGGTCTGCGTGTCGGGGTGACTTGTACAGACTGGTAAAACTCTGGCTGGACTCTCTTCTTCACTTTCCGTTTTCTTAGAGTCGAGGATGAATCGGGTTCGCTTTCGGGAATCTCGACCAGATTGGGTTTTTCTTCTGTCCCTCTGGCGTGTGTGATCCTTCTAGCGTGACGTGGACTGTGCCTGAAGCCCTGCGAAACATTAGCGAGCGTCAAGCTGTCAACAGATTAACCTTCCAGCAGACAAATCAAGACAAATTAAAAGCTCATATAATAATATATTGCGATGTATAGTGTTTGGGAAAGATTAAGCATATTTGCATTAATACAATAATTTAATGTTTTTTATGGTCTGTTTGCATGACCCTTAGTTTTTCTTTAAGAGCTGTATATTGTATGAGTAAATATGTTTTAAGGTAACAATCAGGGGGAAGTTCTTCAACATTGAGGCTCAGCAATGCCCTACATTTGTGCCCTTGAACATGATACTCAATCCCAACCACTGAGCCAGCAGGGATTCAATGTCCTGTGGTTCAATAACCCGCAAAGGAAATAGAGCGTTTACAGCGTTGGCATTTGGAACTTTAAACCATCACAAAAGGTTTGCTTTTAAGCATCAGTGGTAATACAGTGAACCAATGGAGAGACCTGCATGGCACTTAATAATTAAAGGGGGTTACTAAAAGTCTATTTAGATCAACTACTTTTACTATTTAATTCAGTGAATTTAAGGAATTAAGTGGACTAAGAAAGATGTCTACGTGCCGTGTGACGTTTTAGTGTGTGCGACTTAACTGAAGTTTTATTTTGAAAGCAAAGTGTGTAAAACGGAAGCGGATCGGCTGAACTCTGGTGGCGCATTTGGGCTTAAAACTGAAATGTACCACAAACAGATGGGTTCTCCACTCTCCTCCGTTTTGTTTTGTTTGTAAGAATATCCCGGTGTGAAGTCTCCAACCAACTGAACGAATGACACAGCTAAATCAGCCGACATTATTGCACGATGGCACATGCGCACTGCGCACACCGCGCTCCTTAAAATAGCCACGCGGCTCTGTAAAAGTCCAAAGAAACGGGCTTTGTGGGGTGAAGCGTCGCTCATGTTATTCTTGAAGCGCTCATAAGGATTCCACACGTTTGCCTCTCGACGCCTCCTCGCTGTTGGATATTACAGAAGACTCAAACCCATAATTTAAAAAAAGTTCATCCTACCTCTCGGAAATGATGAGTTCGGAGGCCCACTATAAGAGAGACAACATCTGTTAGAATGAGATATCGAGCTAATATGTACCTAACGACACGTCCATTAAATAGAAATGAACTCCATTACCATGTCAGTGCACATATTTTAGGCTATAGGCTGCAAACTAATCCACAACACCCTCTGTCTTCATAGTTATTGACGCACATTTAAAGTGCGCGTTTCTTTTGCCGCACACACGCTGAAGGCAGACTTTGCTGCGCACTAAGAACAGATGGAAGCGGTCGATGGGCGCATGGTGCAGCACACGTCAAAAGGATGAGTGGATCGGGACGAGGATGTGCGGCTGGCCTGGATGCGCCGTACTCACCGCGGCTCCTGGCGCGTCCGGACAGCACTGATTTTATCGGATGCTTCCCATTGCGGAGCTTGCGGTGCCAGCAGCAGAAAAACAAAATCGTCGCAATAGTCCCGAGCAACAGCAGCAATAAGAGCAGCGCGCATTGAATGCTGTAGGGCCGCAGCAGCACCAGAAACGCCGCCGCGATCATCGTGAGGCGCGAGATGTAGGACAGATGCCGCCGCCTCGGACAGCTGGATCCTCTGCGGCCGATAACGTGTCGCTGGAAGCTCAGGAGGAGAGGGCACACGCTGACGACACTGGGCAAATGTGAGGCATCGCCAGGCAGCAGATCGCATCAAGCGTGCAGCTTCAAAGTGGCCGGCAGCCCACAGTATGGATGTCATTATTGTGAGGGAACAGTGCATGACTCAGCAGAGACGCAAGTTGTGTTTATTTATTTATTTTTCTAACAGTGGGCAGTGAGAGTCAGCAGATTGAGCTGAGCTGAGCAGTAATCTGCTGCAGAGTCGGCTGCCCGCAAGGATAATGTCGTCATTAATAACAATAGTATTGAGGCACATGCATGTTAGTATGTGATGCTCATTACTAGTGATTTTATTTTATACACATTTAGCTTTTTCGTTTTTATTCCTACCTACAATGTCTCTTTGGTAAGACAACAACACCGTCTGTCTGATGTCTTATTGTGCCAAAGAAAATGTACTGAGAGGCACTGAAACGAGGCAGTGTGCTATCAGACAGGATTAGGGAGGAAAAAAAGAATCAACTCTAATCATAATCCAACATTGGTTATGTCATTATTGGATGGACTCATATTATTTAGAGTGTATTTTCTCCAGTCAGATGAAAGACTCTTTCAAACTGTAAACAAGTTTTATTTGCAATTTTAAAAGAGCTGCAAGAAATCCCAGACAATGTAAACATGCCTAAATATGGAACAACAGCACTGCTTGCATGAACAATATACCATATGTCAATATATACAAAATGAAAATGCAGTGCAGCACATCTAACTGTTTGTATGTGGTTATTCTTTTACATCTTGACCTATATTGCATTATCAAACATAATCAGTCATTCCAATAAAACCATTTGCACACAAGCAGTAAACCTCTATAAATGACTCTCAGCATTTGTGTAATTAATGGATATGTGGTATAAAGCATTTTTGCATCGATTATATGTTTTGTAAATGTATGTCATGTATATTAATATATGCATACATTATATGCCAATACAATTCCTTGTTGTGTGCGTTAATCAACCATCATTGTAATCATTTTCCAAAAAGGAGCATATTTATTGTGACAGTCATAGATGCTATTATCATTTGTATACTCAAATTGTCCCAGTCCAATGCAAGACGGCTATAAAACCTAATGAAAGAGGCCTAAATTGCTTGCTAAACCCTGCTAAATAATACATAAATGTTAGTTTTAAGATCTACACACAGACGTAATGCCATCACAATCGCAATGCATCAATGTATAAACATTATACAACACATTTGTCCGAATGATCATTGCTCTAGAATATAATTTATAGTTACTGTAATAAAAATATGGGTACAGCCATATTATCCTGAACTAAAACATTAATACAATGACTGTTCGCAACAGCTACACATTTCGGCCCGGACTAAGTGAGAACTGACGGGCGGAGTTTGTTATCGCCTTTGATTCGTTGTGAAAGGCAGTAACCCCGTCTGTACGGCATACTCCACATAGAAAAGAAGCGCTTCAGTTACACGTGACCTTTCAGACCAGACTAGCTGGGTAATTGATTTGGGGTCTTGTAGTTTTCAGACCAGACTAGCTGGTGGGTCTTGTAGCTGGCTGCTGCCTGTCACTCGTGGCGGGCCGACATAACAAGCAGAAGGTAACGTCATGCTCATTGCAATTCATCTGTTGATTTCCATCATTTGCGTTAATGTAACGTTACTTTGCGTCAGTTTAGACTTGTTTTTACGTTGCAACCGTCATCGTCAGAGAGCTAACGTTAGCTTAGCGGGGAGCCCGGACGCTCGGCATCCTCACGGCGTGTCCTGAAAACAAGCCAACTGCTGAACGGAAGACCGATACACAATGACACACCAGAAGGACGGGGAACTCTACAGCGACGCACTGGGATGTTTCACATACATTTAAGTGCATACAGTTCCATAACCATTATTTATCTTACGTCGATGTAAGTTAGCTAAGCTTAGTAAAGCACATCGGTAACTCCACTGTGCCGCCTCATTTCTTCCTCGCTTGGCTCTAGGAGTGCTGTTCAGCAGCTCGGCGCTCAGTGCTGCTGCTGGTTTTAGTGGCCGTGAGCTGCAGTGCAACAACATTGCGATATTCTTTTTTTGTGCAGAGAAGCATTCTGCTGGGCAACAGAGGACGAAATCACGCCCCATGTTAGCTTTGGCGTGGGTCGTGTATAGTTGTGCTTCAATACTGTCCTGTATTACGCCGGAGTAATTACATTTTTTTTGTCTGGCATCGAATAGACGTCTCCTGAGCAGTTGCCGCCGTGTATAATAACTGCGATCTAGTCTATTTTGAAGAGCAATACGAATAGCAAAGTCCGCTGCTGTCCTCGGGTAACGTCAGTCACGTGACCCGGTGTTACACTGGTGTTAGTGTTAACTAACTAAACTCCTTTTCGTTTTGTTGTTTATGGTTAATTAAATTATATTGGTAACAAGCGTATTTTTTTTCCTCAGCTGTTTCTGTCGGATGGGTGCGTTTCTATTAGTGGTTCTTTATTAGCTAATACACATAATAATAATGTGCTAATTCAATCGTCTATTCGGTCACAGGGTTTAAAGTTAGGGCAGCAGCTTCCGAAGATACACATGTTCTGTTTCCTCAGACAAATGTCTTCTCCAAGTGAAGCAGACGAGGACGAGGTGGAAGAAGTGGAGTTTGTATCCGTAAGTGCACTGACCTCATACACACATCAATAGGTCCAAAGAACCCAACAGCAGTTCTTGTTTACTTTCGTTCTTTTGACATTGTGTCGATTAACTGATAATCAGACTGCTATTTTACTCAAATTATATATTCATCACACTTTATTCGTTGAACAATACAAGCTGGTGCTACTATAAATATCACGACCATATTCAAGCAATAGAGCACCTCTGTTTGTCTGCATGTTTGCATTAGTAGATAAGACATTTGACGTTGACCTGTTGTTTGTAGACTTTTTTGAACTGTATACATGTGAGTTTTATAAAGCAAAATCACATCTTGTACTTTCTTCAGGAGGGCACTGTCAGGCCAGTATTAGAATGTATTGATCTACTGAGTGAGGATGAGGGATGCTCATCTGCGGCAGGCACGGTAAGTGGCCGAACGTAACACCTTTTTTACACTATGTTTTCTGCAGAGTTTTATGAAGTTGCTCCGCCCTTTTCTTTTATTTTAGGTTGAAGATAAAATCACCCGCCATAAAGCGCACGTTACATCTACACTGGACAGGCTAGCACAACGGGTGGCCTTGGATAGAAAGGAAAGATCCGATAAATGTAAAGCGTTTAAGGTAAGTCTGCTTTATCCTAACGTGAGCTGCTGTCATTTGTTGCTTGCTAGCTAGAGTGTACTTAAGCTATCAATATTTGTTTATACTTGCGATCTTACCCTCATAAGGCGTTTATACTCTCTGCACTGCCCTCTTGACCAACAAACAGTATTGTGAAGCTTCAAACAGACAACGCGTGTAACTCATAGATATGTCCATAGACTTCAGGTGTAACCGGGAAAAAAACATAAACCAACAGCCGCGATGTTGAGGAGGGATTGTAGGAGATGTTGTTGTTGGAATAAATAATGATTGTGTGAGGCAAGTTATAAGTGGAAGCAGGGAGAAGTAAAACAGGTAAACAAAGAGGAGAGGATATTACACTAGCGTCTCCATCTGGCATTTAAAAGCAAGATTATCGGGGATCATCACGAGAACCCTTAAAAAAAAAAAAAACACAAACTAGCGTCAATGTGAGTTAGACATTGACAACTATATAATAAGATGAAATGTTACTTACAGTGCTCAGTAGACCTTTTCTCTTGCCTTAGTTTACTGTATCTGGTCAGTTATGATCCGTTGTAGTAGCAACATTGCCTCCATGTTGAGCAAATCTTTACTCCACAGCATCACACATTATGTGACCTAAACTCTTGACTGTATGTCACTAGTGGCATCACTCTGTCTTTCCTGTAAGGCGAGGCTATACAAGATGCAGAATCTGCTCTGTTGTCTCTCATCTTTTGTGTCTCTTTCTCAGGAGAAGCAAATCTCTCAAAGAGCTCGTGGACAGCAGGAGCTGGCCGTTAGTTCTCTGAATGGAATGAATCAGGAAGCCAAGCACTGTGTAGACATGTGGTTAAAGATGCCAGGTAAATTTAGAATCTGGATCAGAGAGCTGTTGGATCATTGCTCCTCCGATGATCTACTTTCTTCACAGGGATGACGGAAAGATGATCATGTTTTAAAAGATCTAGGCATGCCAAAGACAGATCACCTTTTTATGTCCGCTACAGCTTTTTATTCTCTACCGGTGCCTTTTTATTTAGGTCTTGGACCTGGAGCTGGCTTTGAAAGAAGAAGAAGAAGACCTGCTTCTTCCCCCGTAAACCGTTCAACCCGACACACTTGTCCAGTGATCAACTGTGGTCGAGTTTATGACAATGCGTCCCTCCTTGAAGGCCACCTTAAAAGGTAATCCTTTTCCGTGTGGAGGTGCATGGAGTGTAAAATAATTCTGAATTTCTACAGTGGATAAACTACACCATGTAGAAGTAGCATGACTACGTAGCATTGGGTACTGGCCCGCTTTGAGTAGTGCTTTTGAAAAAACACCAATGCAGCAATAAAATATCTTTTGCATAGGTTCGATCACTCACCCTGTGACCCAACCATCAATGTGAGAGGATGCCCATCGAACCTCTTTGCCTGCGTTTCCTGCGGTCAACAGTTTCAGACTGAAGAAGCATGGAGGAAACATCTTGAGTTCAAGGTTTTCATACTTTTCTGACTGCGCTCTGAAAAATGAATGAACTATTCATTGATTTCTGTTTGAAATACGTTTTTAAAAGCAAATGAGCACTAGTTTCTTCATTGTTTTTATTTTTAAAAGTGGTTCATTTTATTTTTTGGGCAGGTGTCCTCACTGGTCACCGATGGTCACAGCATCGAACAGACTCCCCAGTGGATTGTGTGTTTTGCCTGTCCTGACTGCTACTTGCTCTTCAACCTCCGAGACGAGTGTCTTCAGCACATGTCGGCCAAAAAACACTTCACGGAGTCCTTCCCCATGAATGGTGAGGTTTATTGACCCTTTTTAAAAATTTCTATACGTCTCAGTTGTGTCTTCAAAGAAGGCATTCAATAGGTATCGTATGAGCAAGATCACGTGTACCTTTTCCTTTTCTCCTCTTATTAAAGACACCAGAGGAGGAGCAATGCCAGTTCCGGTTTCACAATATGTGAAGAATCGCCTCATAGCTCTGTGCAAAGATGTAACATTCAATGTCCGATGCTCCTTATGTCACAAAGTACTGACATCACATCAGGCCGCTCAAGCTCACTTCAAGTAAGTTTTATTTTGATTTATTTGTTGTTCATGTATTTATGTCTTTCATTTTGTAAAGCAGACGCTGGTGGTGTGAAACCGATTTGTCCTTCTCATTGCAGTGTGCACTGCAGACAGGGCTGCGCGGTGGCCACGTCCAATAAAACGGTAGCGCAGGTGGTGAAACAACTGCAAGTTCGAGGGCAGTGCTCCCTCTGCTGCAAAATCTTCCACAGCCCCGCTGAAATCGAGAGGCACAGAGAATCGACCCAGCATGTGGTGGAGGTCAACCAAACGATGGCAAAAGCCCTCCTTCAGCACTGCAGGTTCAGTGAAAAGCACCACGGCCACGCGGAGAGGAAAAGGCTGTCCGGTAGCCCTGAAAGACCTTTTCAAAAGAGAAATAAGGGCCGCGAGTGTGGAGAATCTTCCGGGAAGCGGAGGCGACTGCGCGGAAACTCGGTGGCCGTGTGGTTCTGCGAGTGTGGTCTGCAGTTCTCAGAGGAGGCCACAGCCACCAATCATCTCTTGGCTGTAAACCAAATTTTCCACCAGTGCGCCGTGTGCGGCAAACAGATGGGAGAGCCCTCGATCACCCGCCTGCACATGAGCCGCTTCCACGGCGGAGCTCACCTCTCCAACTTCCTCTTCTACTGCCGCAAGTGCAAAGTGGAGATGCCTCGGTACGAAGACATCCTGGCGCACGTGGCGGAAGCCCACAGCGGACACACCTTCCTCACCGACTGCGAGGTGCCCGAGGAGCTCGCCGACAGCAAGCCGTCCACCAGCGGACGAGTCGACCCGCCCGCGTCCTCCAAGTCCGCGGTGCGGCGGAGCGTAGCGGCGGAGACGCCTTCGGCGGCCGAGCGCACCTGGATGTGCAGGATGTGCGAGGACACCTTCGGCTCGGAGCGGGACGTCCGCAGCCACTGCCGCGACGCGAGCACTCACAGCTTCCAGAGGTTTATCTGCGGACACTGCCCCCAGAAGTTCTTCAAGGAGTCCACCGTCCGGCGACACTGCGCCAACGAGCACGGCGGGCAGATCCAGAGCTCGCACTTCTGCGGCCTCTGCGACAGCATGCGGTTCGAGTCCGAGGGCGAGTTTTTGGAGCACTACAAGAGTCTGCACAGTAAAGACTACTACTGCATGGAAGGCGTCGAGGTGGTTGAACCGGCTGCCGCTGACGGCGGTGGCGGCGGTCGGCCTGCGTGCCCGTGCATGGGTTCGGTGAAGGGGAAAGGGGAAATGAAGGCGACGTACTCGCAATGCATGAGGAGTCTGTCCGACGAAGAGATATGTCACTATGTGTGCGGTCATTGTGACGCCTGCGTGCCCTCCTTTGCCCAGATAAAGACTCACGTCCACAAAGTGCACAGGGCTTTGAACGGGGACAAGACCTTCGCCGTAGAGTGCAAGGTCTGCCTGGAGATTTTCACGCATGTACCAGGTTTCCATAATCACTATCACTCCCGACACTGTCCACTGGAACCCTGCAGGAGCTCCGGAGGCTGCAGCGTGAAAGCAGAAGCAACTGTCAAAGCACTCAATGCAGTGCAGATCTCACCGGGCGCCGAAGGTAAATCAGTTACTTATTTTCTTCTTCTTTTGCATTTGAAGCTACGTTTGCAAGCAGCATCTAATCCGTTTTTTTCGCATTGTTGTTTTCGATATTGAAGATGAAACATTGGAGTTTTCGAACATGGATCAGACCAACAAAGAGAGTGAAGCACGTGAAAGTAAGCAACAAACCATTAAACACTCACTCATGCCACAAAGGCGAACGAATATTAGGCAATTGCACGGCGTGGCTTTCTTTTACCTTGATGCAGGAGCTATCCAACATCACCGTTGTGCTTGTGTTGGATCGACCTACAATATACCAGCTGCTCATTTATTATGATCTGCTTCAGGTGAACCCGATGAGGAGATGAACCATGAACCGTCTTTGAGTGCAGAGGCAGAAGCAGAGTCAGCAGGTATCTGTTTACTCTCTTTGGCCGAGCAGGAAATGTTCAAGATGTATAACTTGCTGCAGGTTACAACTTTGTACTGATGCTAATTTTACAGTAATTACATTTTACTTCAGACAGCTCTGATAAACACTCCTTGGTGGTTTGCTTTTTCTGTAACAAAATCAGTACTCCCTTTAAAAAAGATATATATAAAATACATGATCGGACAGGTTTCAGTTGTCTAAATGTGCTTGTTAAGGGTTATTAAATGTAGTGACAATGTATACATGAATGTGGGAACTTTATTTTGAAATAAATTCTACACACATGGTTGCTTTAATAGATCATAAGCATTACAATAAAATGTGAACACTGAATGAAAAATAATAATAATTCAATGTATTTTCTCGAGATGGTGTTTGCCGTATTTAACTTATCCTTACAATTTGCTTCTCTTTTGCAGAGTTAGAAGAAGCCCTTAAAAGAAGCCTTCTGGAGTATTGAGGACACAATGTGATTATTTCTTCTTCTTTTTTTTTCTTTCCTTATTTGAGACTCAATGTTTTGTACCAGGTATTTGTGTTCAGAATATTCTAAATAAACTGTTGCCACTTTACTTTTAATGAGTTTTTTTTTACAATTATTTGTAAATGTATACATGAAGAAATGAATACCGGGAATTTCCACCCAAGGGAACTTGCTAGAAGTTTGCTCTGTGGCTGTGGATTTATGGCCTCTGTTGTGCAGACTCTTTGATGTGTGTTGACACATGTATAGATGGCCTTGATGGCGCTGCAGAATTCCGATGCCACGGTGCATCTCCAATTGCAGTCTCCATTTTCATTCCGGACTTAAAGCCCAGTGTATTGGACGCACTGTGGCCAGCAGGGCCAACCTTTTGTGTGTTTGGTGTGTTGAAAGGTTTCAGTGCTTCCTCACGTGCACAAAATGAAGTGGGAATAATGGGTAAAGATCTTTACATCTGCACCTGCAGTCATTTCAACAACTCTTTGCCTTTTTCTCTTCAAAATCATTAGAAAGTGATGGACTGATTCCCTTTAAAGGGGATGCACTTACAGATTAGCATGTGTATTTCGAATGTTGATGCCTTTTTTTTAAATTGGAATATACATGTATTTTCAAATGCTTGTTTTCCTTCTTGTCCTCTTCATTACTGTGTTGCATAATTTGTTATTCTGGCCAGTTTGACTCAGATATCGGTGACTCATCACACATCACACAAGATCTTTTCTAAGCAGTGAGTGTTTGTACTGAACAAGTTGATTGTGCATCCCATTTGCAAAGACATTAGCCTACATTCACATGTGCAGTACATGGCAGATTGAGCTGGGTTTATTCATTTATTTATAAAATACAATCTTTCATAATGTTCTAGTTGTCGAAAAAATGTTGATGTTGAAATGAGATCAATATGCAGAGAATAACCCAAAAACTAAATGTAGTTTTAGGCTGACTGCTGTGTGGCACGATGGACATTGACTAACCCGGATTAACGCCAAAAGTCCACATTCGCAGTACACAGACCAAACTTCTTCATCTGGTCTTTATGATTAGAATTTTACGTGTCCGATGCCTTTTCTCTGACATTTATTTCTTCTGCCAGCTGTGTTAAACAGTACACCATTAAAACCACACTAAAAATTATACTATGCGTTGTAGAGAAACCACTCAAATCAGAGTATTTCTTACAAACTGCACCTGTGTGATCACAGTTTAAACTAAATATTCATCGGGCCCCCCCGAAGCTATTCAGCGACCCCTAAACGGTCCTCGGACCCCATTTTGGGAAACTGTCCAGGGCTTCTCGAGAATCTTCTGCTGCGAGCAGAGTGAAGGAAGGAAGTCCCGGCCCATGTTAGGAAATGTTCCCTCTGGACCGCAGTCAGCCGCTCAGCGCACAGCGTCCGGTCGCGCGCCCTCGGATTCCTCCCCGGATCGATTCATAACAACCCAGATCCACAAGAAGCGCCGCGCGGTCATGGCTCAGGCGAAAATACAGGCGAAAATGAACGAAAGTAAGTTCAGCAGGACCATGTCCATGGCCGATCGCTCCGGACAACTCGTGGAAAGTTTGGATCAGCTGGAAATGAGGTGCAGTTAAACGACGCGGCCCGTTGGAGGCATCATATTATCGGTGTGTTGTGATGAGAGAAACGTAACTGCGACCAGATAGAAGACGCGCACAATCGCGTCGGGTTGTTGTTAAAATGCAATCAGTGGGCTGAGTGTGATTGTGGTAGTTTGGTACTTTTGGGTGGCGCTCCAACCAGATGCTGCATGTGGTTGTAGTGGTCACGCGTCACGCTGTCTGTCCGTCAGGGTGGAGGCTCTACGCGAAACCGCCGCGTCCATGGAGGCGGAGAGGGAGATCATCCTGGAGATGATCCAGTCCATTCAGCACGGACAGGAACTGCGAAACATCTCTGCTGGTGAGACACTGTGACACAACCTTGTTTGACAGTTGTACTCAATCGGTTTGGTTTTTTTAGTCAATTATTTTGCTGCTGCTCTGATTTCACTTGTGACATTGTGATCCAATGAGGTCACGCTAGTTGGATATTATTCTGTAGTTGGGTGGTGATGTTCAAGAACATCTGGGGATTTTTCACCCCACCCAAGAAAAGGGAATGTCAGAGTTGATTAGTTTGTTTTCGACCATACGTGAGGTAATAATGGTGGATGGCTTCGAAGAGTACATTTAAATAACCAGATGTTTCCCATATTGAGTGTTTCCACCACAATACAAAACAGTAGTAACAATGCAGAGCAGCAGTACTGTATGTTAAAGGGGTCGGGCCTTCCATGGACACTGTGTAATCAGGTACAATCCAATGCCAGATTTATCTCCCCTTTTAACTTCATTGTTTTCACCTGCTGAACATAAGAAAAGAAGTAACATTCCAAAGTCTTTCCCCCACATCATAATCTAAAAAAAACACGATTCTTAACCTGTTGGATTACACTGCATCAAATTTGTTCTGGAACCTCAATGCATGAGCTTAATATCATTAAGCTGAGGCTGCAACCAGAATGTAGAAGCTCTGTCATTGTGTGTATTTGGTTCTTTAAAGGCGCGGCATTGGTTTACTTTACTTTTTTTTCAAGGAGAGAGAGAAGAGTTGACTTTGACAGCAAACCGCCTAATGGGCCGCACGCTGTCCGTGGAGATCTGCGTGGGCACCATCAGAAACCCCCAGCAGGAGGAGGCGCTGCGCCAGGCCACGTCCGTGATCGACGAAATCGTGAAGAAGTTACTGGACGACATGGAGAGCGGGCGGCAGCGGCTGCTGGCCGTGCACGCGGCCTGCGTGACCGAGGCGCCGCCCGTCCCCATCGACCAGAAGTTCCAGGCCATCGTGATCAGCTGCGCTCTGGAGGACCAGAAGAAGATCAAGCGCCGCCTGGAGACTTTGTTGAGGAACGTTGAAAATGCTGAGAAGAACATCAAGATTATGGATCACCAAAAGCTGGAGGACCCAAAAACAAATGGCTGTCAATAAGTCTAAAAAAAAAAAAAAAAACCCGGGTGCAATCAAGGTGATGCAACACTGGCCTCCTTTAAATGGGTTGTTTAATGTCCATACCTTGACAGCGTGTGTTCCCATAGGCACTGAAGTAAGATACACATGTATTGTCAGCGTGCTCCATTGGAGGTTTGCTCACAGCTCATTATAAAATCCACTGTTTGAAAAACAAGCAAATCCATTTTGAACTATGTATTATTTGTACTCTCTCACCTTGTGAATCAGGCACTTGATACCACTTTTGGATGTGCGCTGCACACACTACCGCCACACTAATCACACACAGATGTGGAGTTGAGTTATTTGCCTAAAGCCGTTTTAATGTCAGATTATGGTAAAGAACAAATGGTTGATGAAGCAGATTATTCTGTTGTTTGTACAGAAAGAGCTGTGTTGGTATCACATATATCATTAAACTGAGCCGTTCCCATGACAACAATTCACTGGTTACAGACACAATGACCATGTCAACACTTTAACAATGTCATAGTGCTGCAGGGCACTCTGAATGAATAAAGTTAATAAAGAATAAAGCTTATTTGTGGTTGAAAGATTGCATTAATATTGTCACTTGAAATTACACACTGGATGCTCAAGAACAAAGTAAATTTTTATTGAGATTCAATAAAGATTGACATTAATTTCCCTTCCAAATACAACATCAGAAGCACATTTGTGTGGCTTACAAAATTCTATTTGAACTGGTTAAAACAAAAATCCAACAATTAGTGTTATTTTGTGAGTCTGAAAGAATACATACATTGGTTGGTCTATTGAAATGTGTGGATTTAATGAGTGAAAAAGTAGAGTAACAGTAAGACAAAGATCATTACGGCACCTGAGTGACAGCACATGAGTATGGTTGGTCTTAAATTAGTTCTTTAAGATTTTATGCCATCTTAATGATAAAGTGCACTAAATCCATTCAGGCAAAAAGTAAAAAGGCAAATTAAAACACAAAGTTGTAAATCAGAGGACCGTGGGAAGCTCTTCCATGTATTTACTGATTCACAATTTGAATAGAGTAGGGGGTTAAAATGCTGACTGGTTGTCAGTGGGGGGAAATGTAAACAAGGACAAGGCATTGTGGCTCTGGAACCACGGTTGGAAAATCACTGACGTGGGAAAAAAAGCTTGCATGCATTACGGTTCTGCCACCATTTAGGTTTTTTTCTTCAACACAGCACGGTTTACCGACAACAGAAAGAAAAAAGCTTGAAATGTGCAATCTCAGTACCAACGGTGGAACTGGAACCTAATTCAAGCACCTGCTGCGATTTTCACAATAAAGTTTGTTTGAACCTGGGACAGATTACAAAAACGTGCATAAACATTTATCCCCAGATGTCTTACATATTATAACTGCATGTAGAATAACTAGTTCTGTAACTACTGCTAAGGAAATGTTACCACATCTGTCTGTGTGCTCAGTAAACTGGTGTCTTTACAGATGTGTACCAAGCCTGGACGCAGCATCATGCCGTTCACAGCTGGATGTATTACGAAATCCTCTGCACAATCGTTTAGTTCCTTCTAAGTGATCGTACTTTTGTCTTGAGAAGAAACTGAATATTCCTGCATATTCAGACACACGCGAGCTCAAAGCCCCACACCACAGGGACAGACGCTCTCGATAGGAATGAGGTTTGCAAAACAGAAAATTGATGATGTTACAGAAGCAAAAACCACGACATAAAAACAAAGTCTTTGTTTAGTGCTTAGACCGAAAATATGGTGAAAATTCTCATCCGATTACATGGATACGCGGAGGACTACCAGTGAGTTCCTTAATGCTATTAACCAAAAGTTAATGAAAAGCAGTGAATACGTCAAATGTAAACTGAAATTAAAAAAAATAATGGTGACAAATCTGTGAATGTGGAGTGTAAGCAGACGATCTAGAGGACTATTTTGTCAACAATGATTAATATTTGGTTATAAAGATATGCACATTCATCCATTGATTTCATGTTAACTCCATATCACTACAGTGGTAATATTTAACTGCAGCTCAGAAAGAGGACATTTGGCACTATGTCAACATTTTGACTGAAAATATCACTCAACACTTTGTACAAAAATACTTTTTTTTTGCTCAGAGAATTAACTCAGATTCAAAAGTGTTTTGTCCACAATAAAGAGCAGAGTTTGAAGCACGTTACACTGAGAGAAAGAATATGGTGCAAAATGAGCTCTGTATCTTCTATAATACATGCAAACATACTGCAGAGTTGAAATAGCAAACACAGGGATGGGCAATTGCAAAAATCCTATACAGGAGTTTCCACCGGGCCACGAGTGCAACGTCTGCTGTTCCACAGACTAATGAGAGGATCGTATGTCCAGTCATATCGAATACATACATGTACTGTAGCTGCAGCTGGTGGTGGTGTTACTTAAGGCAACCACAGGGACGGACAAGCTTTGTGAGCAGTTCTTTAATGAAGATTCTAGGCTGAACCGAAGGGGAGGAAATGTGAGGAAACAACGCAGGACACACATTCAACATCAGTCATTATTAAAATAGTAGAGAGTAGGATTCGCCAGGGGCTACCTCCACAAAACACAACAAATAATCCATCTACAGCAGGCTGCAGCTCCCAAAAGGATTTTTACTCTTCTTGGTCCGTTGTTTGTTGGGTCGCAAAGTGATGATTTCTCTCCCGTTGCTGGAGTTCTGGTTGCAAACATTACTACTTGTGGTATTAAAAACACCTTTGGGGAAACAAAAGTTCACGAGTAACGTCACTGTACTGAAGCAATACAGCTTAAAATGTAACATGACAGGATTTAGAGAGCGCCTCACCTATTTTATTGCTTGTCGAGTGGAGCACCTCGGTCTCGTCTGCCGTCTGCTGTTTGAGTCGCTGGAGATACTTCTCAGCCAAGTACTTAAAAACTAAAAGGAGAGCATGCATGCAACACCAGCATTATCCCGAATGAATAACAGAACGCTTATGCAAACGTCTCAGTCGCCTACCCTCATTGACGTTAAGGTCCTCTTTCACCGAAGCGCGATAAAATCTCAGCTTGAGCCTTTTGGCCGAAGCTTCTGCCTCCTCGCTGCAGGTGAAGTAAACACGACGCGATTCACAATCACAGGCGTCACAACTCGTCCCCGAAACGTTCAACTGGGACTTTGAATAATAGAAGAAGCTGCTGCTTACTTTTTTATAACGGTGTCTTCCAGCAGGTCAATCTTGTTCTGCACTAGGACTGTGGGAATGTCTCCGACCTCGGCCTCCACCTTCTCCCTCCAGCTGTCGATCGCCTGAAACGACTCCCTGTCTGTGGTGGAGAAGACCAGCACGCATGCTTGGGCCCCTGGAACGCAACACAACGCGACAACAGCTTGCAGCTTTCGATCTCTGGATTCTTTCAGCTCGAAAATGTGAGCCGGTGCGTGTCATCGCCGTGCTGCCATTAAACGTTTAAACCCGTGTAGGATCAACTCTTAACCTCGGCACTCGGGGAAGGGAGGGGTCATATTACAGCAGTGTTATATTTGTCACTGTGGGGAGGAGGGGGGTCTTACCACGGTAGTAGGCCTTAGTGATAGCGTCAAACTCCTCCTGCCCGGCCGTGTCCCACAGCATTAGCCGCACCTCTTCGTCGTTGACGCTGAAACAATGAGGATGACGTGCGACGTGGGCAATATTTGTAAAAAGGGGAAGGTGAAGCTCACGTTGCATTGGTGCTTACATGATCTGCCTCTCCAGGAAGTCCACTCCGATGGTCTTCTTGTAGTCCTTGGTGAAGACGCCCTTGCAGTAGCGTTGGATCATGCTGGACTTGCCAACAGCCCCGTTGCCGACCACGACCACCTTGATGGCCACTTCCATGTCCTCCTCCAACATGGCGTTGACGTCAGGCCGGTTCACTCAGTTTGCTGCCTGGGTAGTTTCAGCAATGTGACAGAAACACAGGGACCAACTGAAAGGGTGAAGTAAACCAAACATTAACGTGTGACACATGTAAATATTCCAACACACCCAGCAGAACATGAACTATCATATTCTCACAGGGTTTAACATCACTATGATTATGTTTGGTTTATTTTCAAAAACGTTTTGTCAAAGAATTCTTAAAGGAACCCTTTCATTTTCAAACAGTGTAAAAAAAACAAGGTTCCTGCAGAAAACTCTCAAAAAGACGTTACTTTGGCCACAATGAATGCTACACTTCTTATCCAATGCGAGTTATCTTTCCCAGAATGAATGTCCTGCATCTAAATGCTTTAGCTTTTATTACACATCAAACTGAATCAATTTAACAGCAAATGCATGAATCCATGGATGAGTTTTTCTGCAAAACCTTTGCTCCTGTAATGCAATGTAGAAGAAAATGCCGTGACTACAATTGTGCTGCTATCCTCTAATGTGATTAATAATAATAGAGCATCACAGCATTTGTTTCCATCCATTCAGATTGAAGTGTTTGGTAGAAGGCAATTGACTTTTATTAGAGGACACATTAGCAGAGAATTCAGTAAGTCAATTACATAGAAACTAACCAAACCCCACATTTTGAAGAAAGTAAAAATACGTTTTTCAAATCTGTGTGAATGTTTTCCAATTATTCTTTTTCTCTTTATGTCAAACATTATGACTAAATAACCAGAGCTCAGCACGTTTAGTCAACAGTCCAAACTCCAAACTCATCCAATCAAATGTTCCTCTCAGCCTGCCAAATGTTATATTTACTGACTACCCACACAACCATTGGATTGGTGAGGTGGGGGGGGGGGGCACTCTAACGAAGTGCTTTACACACACACGAACTGGAATTATCCTTTGAACTGTTACGTGTGCTCACATTGAATTAACTGTTGTAAACCTCACCAGTCACGCGTGTGCGGCGGCTGTGCAATGTGTTTGTCCATCCATTAGCGCCGAGAGCAGCAGACTCCACGTAGCAACTGGCTCCTTCACAGTTATGTGTGTGTGTGTGTGTGTGTCTGCAGAGTGCAATGCTAAACAATATTGTGGGAAAGCTGCTCCCAGTGGATACTGGCAACCCCACAGTGAGACCGTAGTGTCCCACAGCCGGTCGGGATCCGAGTCACAGCGTGTAGGGCAGTCAGCCGTATTATTCATCAACTAGGTTTGAGCCGTGTGACGTGCAGGCGAAGCGGAGCCTGAAATGAACAGCATGCACCTCAAAGTTTGGACGTTAATGTGTTACTGAGTTGAGAGATAAACGTAAACCTGGGATTAGATTTTCACGTGCGAAAATCTCTGGTTCTGATTTATGTTAAATCAGGAATCAATCCGTCTTCTCAAGCCAAGTTACACGTTTGCATGATTAAGGCTCCCAGAACGAATAAAATAAAAAGGTTACATTTGGAAAAACTTTTTTCAGACATGCACAGACAACAATTCTATCTTCAGTGTGTGTCTTCTGGTGATCATCTTTGTCTGCACGAGACTGTGACCCACCTCACACTCTACATGTTGGAATGGAATCTGAAATACAGATCCACACTTATTATTCCCAGCAATGTATCCTACACATCCCGATGGACGTATGAATGAACTCTGGTGAGTACGCATAAGATGGGCCAAGATTGTGAATCATGTTCACAGACAATTTGCAGACAATTATTTAACTCGGGCCTAAAGCCTGTTACTTTAGAGCAGAGAGAGAATAGAAGTAGTATAAGGCCAAAACACAAGAAGTAACATTGCTACTTTCTGCTGTGGTTTACTGTTGCTGCAGGTGATATTTCCAAAGTCTGGGAGAGGCATCAAGTATTGTGTCAATCAGATCAGAATTGAATGGCCTGTTTGAAATACGACTTGTTGAACAGCTGATGGGAGAGCCCCGATGTGCCAAGCAGCTGCTAACCCTAAAAGCTGACTGGAGGAACTGAGTGACTATGCCGATGAGGAATGATATTAAGGACCGAGGGAGCAATCGCTTACCTTTAAAAAACACTTTCCAACTCATCCAGTCCCCGCCAACATCAGACCAGCCGACAAGACAGTTAACTAACCCACAACCGCATATCTCCGGGCTTCCCTCTGCTCTTCCCCGTGGCGAGACGCTAGCACCCCGGTGCTAAGGTTACCTAGCTAAGGTTAGCTACTTTCTTTTTTCGGGGGAAAAGAGAACGTTTCGCCTGGCCCCAAAAATGATATCTAGCGTTAACTAGCTTACAACGGTACGGGCCGAATGTTCTCCGCTTCAAAGTGGCAGGCAAAGTCCAATCATTGTCTACTACTAAAAATCAAATCCGTGACATTTACGGGGTAAAAAAGAAAAGAAAAGGCGTCGCTATCTATTTGCAAGCCATCGCCAACTGCGTTGCGCATGAGAGTAGCGAGCCAAGCTAGCTGGCGAATGTTTGTTGCTAGGCAGCAGTGTCAAGTCTTCTTCTACTACAGCTCGATGCTTTACGCATTACTGCCCCCAGCCGGTGTGAAATGGGCATCAACTTGTTGCGCCCAAGATACAAATGATACATCTTTTTAGTACTAATGCATTCTTGCGTAAACGCGTATATTCCACGTGAAGTTAATGCACTTTTGAGTGGTATAAATACTGTTATGCAATAAAATCAAGCTCGCCATGGTTCTTAATCTAAAATCTTATTCTGAAATATTGATTTCTAATAAATATAGTAGATTGGGAATACGGTAATTCCCTCCAAAGTCTGTGGAGCAGTGGAGCAATTGCAAAGAGTAGTATTACTTGTTACATATGACATTTAAATGACATGTAATGTAATGTTAAATAGAAATAAGCAAATATACTGTTGAATACGGCTGCTTGACGTCTCCCTGCTAAAGTTATTAGGGTTCGGGTTAATGTATGTGATAATAGTTTTATAAAGTCTCCGTCAACCGTTATGACTTATTGCAGAGAGCTTTTGAATACATAATAGAACGGTACTAAAACGTTGTAATACATTAGTCAATGTATGTGTTCTGGGTGCGTTTGTTATGTTGTAAAAATGCCTCCGAAAAGTCCCTGTTGCACATAAGTCGATGGAGAAAAATAATAACAATAATTCAATCTAAAAGCATGTTTTATTTTAAACAACTAATTTACACGACTATCTGACGATGACCATACAAAAGTGTGACATGTTTTCCTGCGTTATTAAGCACGATTGACCGGGGTGTAACAGAGGTTCGGGTGGTAAGACTAAACGAGCGCCCACATATGACGACAGGTTTTCACTTCCTGTTCTGGCTAACATCGTCATCATTTACCCGCGAACGTTGAACAGCCTACTTTGTTTGGCGGGATTGAGCAGAAAAGAAGTCACCCCCATCGTCTACGCGGTAATAACAACAATAAATTACCTCAAACAATGTCCCAGATACGTGCTGTGTAACCTGTGATAAGTTCGCTGAATGTTAGCTAGCACTGTGCGCCACAGGGACGTTGACCACCGTTAACGTTGGCTAGCGTGAGTTACCGTTAAGTTAACGTAACGTTGGTGCAAAGGATGCTACCCGACACCGCCTGCTGCTCCAGGTTAGCTGTAAACACTCTGTTTCACAGGGTTAGGGTTAGGGCACAGGCTGTGCGGTCTCGTTAATAAGGTGTTTGCTGTTTAGATGGAAAGTGACAACCATGACGTCAGCCATGGCAATGGCGAGCTAGTGTCAATTAAGAGGTGCGGCCAATGTCCTTGTAGGCTCAATATTGCCTCACTTGCCAGATTTCTCTCTGTTGAATGGGAGCGACTTCAATGTAGCTTTCTGATTTGAGTGAAGGCAGTTTTCAAAGGCAAGGTATTGCAGATAAAAGTCCAACTAAGCTCAATTGTTAGCAGTAAGTTGCAGAGATTGTGCAGTAATTTGTAAATGGGCTCTCGTTAGGTCAATGTATTGGTAATTGTTGACAGGGGTACCTCATCAATATATAATCCATCCTTTTCATTTATTCTTCAAACTTGTACCCAGGTGAACGACCTTTTTATTGAACCTCACACTGATCTTTCAAATATGCCAGTATGCAAGCTACTAGCGACCACCTGTCTGATGAAAACATCCTTTCTGATTTCTCTTACCATCAGGAACCATGGATTTTTCAAGTGGAAGAAAGAAGTCCCTCACCAACACTCAGACGGAGCTCTATAGACATCATCTGCAGTTCTACGACCAGCCTCCCCTGGAAAATATCTCTCTTGGTGAATTTGAGGCATTCGCTGTGGATCGACTGAAATGTGAGAAAAGTTCTTATGCTGTGTGTGTATTTTGAGCTCGGACAGTTTTTTTAAGCAGTTAATGTAAAAATGCGTGTTTGCAAAAAATGCCTTCCTTTAATACCCCCGCAGTGTTGAAGACCGTGGAAAATGTGGGCGTGAGCTACCTGAAAGGGTCAGATCAGTACTCAAACAAACTGGTGTCTGAGTTAAAATCTCTGAACTTTCCTTACAGACCGGACGCTGTGAGTATGTTTTTAGCATCAGAGTTTTACAACTTAGCAGTGCTACATTTACTACCTGTCAAGAATAAAGCTGTGTCATAAAGGGAGTCCGTGACAGTTTACCAATTCGGTACTCTCACTGTAAGCTTAAAGGCAGGGCTCAAAAGAACAAAAGCGCCTGGTAAATTTGCTTTACTCACCAGCCGTAAAAAACAATTTGAATCTATCGAGTAGTGCACACAATTGAAGATGCATTAACAATTTGGCAAATGGAATCTCATTTCTGAAAATAGGTAATGCATCTGTCTACATTCATTCATAATATATGTGTATTTAGGGAGTTATTGCTGCAAGCTACTACATTGTATTTGTGGGCGCGTTCAGTTGCACTTAGATGCGAGTTAATTGGGTACACTAAACCAAAACCAATGCAGACTAATATAACTGATTTGTACTGTTAAACAGGCGCGTATTTCTATTACTATGGAGGTAGGCTAAGTAAATAAATGCAATAGAGGCTTCCCAGTTACGTTCAATGGCTCACCGTGTGTCTCACTTTACAGAAATAACATGAACTGCCAGTATATGCGCAAGCGCATGCGACTTCTGTATATGACATCTTCCCCTCTTGAGGGTTATGTCAGTAACATTAAAGGAATACTTCAACTGGAAATGACTACTTGTGTGTAGTGCATAGCATGAACCAAGATTAACCCAAATTAAGAAATGTCAACATAAAATGGTTTTGTACCGATCCACCAACAAACCCCCTCCCACCCCCCAACATTTTTTGGCTGGGCAATTTATATCTTTACTGTGCCACTCTCTCCCACATGGTCCACATTGTCCTTTATTTCCCCCTTTCAGCTTACCATAGTGGTTGCCGTTTTTTTCTGACACCATGTAAATAAATGCAATGGAGGCTTCTTAGTTAGCTTTTCTGGTTTAATGGATCACAGTGTGTCTCACTTTACAGTAGAGCTGTCAAAATTGCTCAAAAAGGACATTTGAATATTTGCTTTAAAAAAAAGACATACATTGGAATATATTCTAATATCTGGTTGTGCATTAGACACGTCAATAACAGGACAAATGAATACAATGCGAGATAACTACTTGTATAGGTAATTTAAGTTTAAACATATTTAAGAACATATTACCTACACAAAAATAAGTAAACAAACTAATGACCACGACCGCAGATCTCTCGCTCGCACACACGCACACGCTCTTTCCAGCACCGTCTCTTTGCGCAAAGCTGAGAGAGTTTTGTGAAAGCAATTTAAGGTTGTGATTCTTGTCCCAAATATGTCAGGCTTCATTCAGTGATTGAAAGTTTTACAGTACCGACATTGAGTGCTCCGAGCGAGCTGTGCGTGAACACGGAACCTTGGCATAAAACGGCAAATAATCAAACTGGTGCATGAAGCTGTGCCTCTGCCGCTGTTGTGGGTTTTTCTTTTCTTTTTTTTTTACATTTGAATAGTTGTTTTTAACAACTATTCAAATATATATATTCGAATATAGAATATTCGTTGACTTTACAGGCATAACTTTAACTACTGTGCAACTGAAAAAAAGTTTAACAGCAGTTAGTGAATGGCAGAATCAAAACACAGAAGAACTAATTTCGGAGACACGGGAGGAGGGCGGGGAGTTGGCTGATTCCTTTGCAAACTAAAAATGTAACTCTCGCAGATGTAATTTGAAGATGGAAATGTGATGTTCTAAATATAAAGCCACAAAACTCCCTTTAGAAAATCTGTCCATTGAATTGTCGCCCACAGTGGAGATCATACCAAACAAGATAAGTCATGAAAAAGCAGTTAGGTAAATAAGGAAAAGAAATGTATGTTTAAAAACACTTGACCTGCTTTTAACAATTTAAGGATGACCGAAAACCTCAGACTGGACCAAGTGAACATGACAAACGGAGGAAGGACCATATCTCCCACTTTATTCTCAGACTTGCCTACTGCCAAACGTAAGTTTCTTTACAGTGTTTGTTTTCAAATACCATGTAATAAAAATAATAATACTTAAGAAATATTTATTTCCGTTTGAATTAAAAAGGGAGGATCTGAGACGGTGGTTTATACAACAGGAAGTTGATCTCTTCCGCCACCGCTTCGATGAACTGTCTCCACAACAAAAGCTTGAACTTCTTAACAGAAATAATCTGCAATATGCCACTGTAAGTATATTTGAATACTTGAACATTATTATGGAATGTACTTAAACTCAAAAGGTTAATTCTTGCTAATAAGCTATATTACTTGATTCACATCTGTCCACATGTGTGAATGTAAAGACTTGTGGACCTATCAGAACAATACATTCCAGAAGTGTCTGTAAAATATGTATTTCTATACAAACCTTCAGAACAAGAGAATAAAGCTAAACAAGAAAGGGGAATGTAACAATTGTTTTCAATTGTCTTTCCACTAGATGGAGCTGTTTAATCAATTTAACATGAACATGTATCTTGTGGGTTTCCTTAATTGGTGATATAAATGTTGAAAATATGTATATATTTTGTGGTCAAACGTGATGAATGTTCATCAACGCTAAATTCAACAATTACAGTAGTAATAATATTAATTGAGTCACTTAAGAGTATTCCGTTTGTCTCTTACATCACATGTTCTTTAGCTGACGCTTTTATCCAAAGCGACTTTCAAGAAGTGCATTTCGAGGCAGAGCAGAGAGGAGTAGTGTGGCAGAATTTCAGAAGGTTAAAGACCAGTCGAGCTGCTGCATTCTGGATGAGCTGCAGAGGTGGAATGGTGGTGGAGGGAGACCTGCCAGGAGAGAGTTCCAGTTGTCAGGATGAACTTGTCAATTCCAGACACTTTTACGTTTGTCTTTAGATCCACTCAAGGAAAGAACTGTGGCAGGTTTTTAGAAACAGAGATGCATATTTAAAAGAAAAATTACTGTTGACTCTTAATAATTCATCAACACATTATCTCTCAGGCCAGGAGGGAAAGGACACATTAATCGGATAAACTCAGCCTCCCGTGCATGAACACGGATTTAGGGACGCCTCTACAGCTCTTGCCTGAAATTCGTATTTCTCATCCACAATGTTTCAGACGAGTGTCAAGGAGAAGATTCTTCTGAAGGATGAACTTCTCAACTCCAGTTACAACGTCAGTGGAATCACTGTGGAAGAACAGGACTTCTACAAAGTGAGTTACTTCTCTCTCTCGCTCCAACGCAACCAGTACGAATGTTGACGGCTTATTTCCACACATTTTCATGCACGATAATATTTTACTATAATAAAGAGAAAAAAAAAACTGACTTAGTTCTTTTAACTAAATGGTTTGTATTTGAAATGGCAGTTAAAAAATGACATTTCCTTTATTAATATTGTGTCAGATTCTTCCATTTACTATCAAGTGATCCAGTGTGTCTCCTTTTTCATGTGATTTGAGTTAACTCACAGTACGAGTTAATCAGCACCGTACCGCTTTTCTGCTTTCCGCTAGTTTTGTCAGATAAGATGGGCAGAATTTACGGATACACTTCTCATTTGTTTCACCCATAAAATGTATTTTTAACTTTTATTTTAAGTGCAACGCACTGCCAAGTCTGTTTTTAAAAGTAACGCCTTGTCATAATGACATTGAAGTAAAACTCGTTGACATTCTCTCCAGCTTCTGCATATCTGGGGCCAATATTTGGCCAGATATGACATTATTTTAGACATGATACGAAATAAATGGGAAAATTCAAGCAGACTATTAACCTCTCTGTTCTATTTGCTAGGTGCCATTTCAAGACGCCCTGGATCTAGTGCGAGCGAGGAAGGTGTACCTCAAAGCCGGCTACGTGTACATCCCTCAGAAGGACATAGTCACTATTGTTCTCAACGATTTCCGCACACGGCTATCTAAATCTCTGGCAGTAAGTGTTTTAAGCTCTTTGCTGTTTGAGAACGAATTAATAACAACATCACAGAAAGCTACAAATTTCTTTGTCTATGTTTGACCGCTTTAATTTAGTTGATGGCTATGCTGGTCATAAAGGGATGGAACAATTCTAGGAATGCGCGCTGTGTTTCAATGACGCTCAATTTGTACTAAAAGGTCCAGAAAATACCCCCTAACCATTACACCAGCGGTGACTGGATGCATCCGTGCTTTCATGTTGTTTACAACAAATCGACAACCCACCATTTGAATGTCGCAGCAGAAATTCAGTCTCATCAGACCGATGCTTGTTTTTTCTTTTTTCCCATCTTCTATACAGAGGTGTGTTGGAACAGCGCTAGTTGCCTCCAGTGCCCTGAGGGGAACTGAAGAAATGCAGGGTTCAAATAGGGGGGAATACATTTGCACACATGTGACATGGCGACAGCGAGAATGAAAGTGCTCATTATCCCCGCGGGCGGGATGTGCTTCTAAAGGCTGTGAAAGGGGGTCTGTGATGGCACAATACCAGCATGTTTGCGCATGGCATTTAAAGCCTCGAGGGACGCGTAACTCTGTGTTTTCCAGGTCCAGAGGCTTTCTCCATGAAACATGTGAGGTCTATTTGCATCGTGCTGAGGCATCCTGACTAGGCAACAGGCACGAGCAGTGGCACCAAAGGTTTATGACATGAAAGAAATCTCCCAAACATGCAACACGCACAGACACAAAATGGCAATTTAACGTCTTGCACATCATTCATGTTCTGATTTGAATCATGACCTTTCCAATTGACATAAGATGTTAAGTTATGACGGTGGCAAAGGGAGGATCAGGTTTTGTCGATCTGATCCACCATGAAGATAAGAGGTATGAAATATACACTCTGAGAGAAACTGCATTCATCAAACCGTTAATTTCTATATTCTATGGTATCGCGTCAGATTAACATGATGGATAAAATGATGCGTTTGCATAATGGCGTCTACCTGTCTCTAAAAATAGGCTTATCATTTTTGGTTGTTACGCAGCCGTAAATATTAGACCCGATCACTCCAATAAGTCAAACCCCGCAGACTCCATTCAGCAGTATAATAATGGATCAGATTGTAATACTATTACTAGAACTAATGATTCAAGCCTGTTTTCTGTACAAACACACAAAGAGCCCCGAGCCAGAGTGCCGTCGATTTGTGTTTTTTAATTAATTGTGCCTTGTACGTGCTCTCAAGTGGGCAAGCTATGGACCGGTGACAGTGTTTCTAATGTGTGCCATCATGTTCTCAAAAGGGTCCCAATGCCTCTCCAACGCAGCGGTTTGAGTCTACCTCAGAAGCGAGAGTGCTTTCCTTTTGTTCTTTGAACAAAGGACCATTTTTGTCTGGTTGTTGGTTTTGTTTTTTCGACCGTTTGTATTTAACTATGTAGTCGCTTTGAATCAGTGTGTTTGTTACCTGTGTTTAGCCAGCAATCAAATTGGCGCACTTGTCGAAAAAGTGGCAAACTTAAATAGGCTTGATTGATGTAATTACACAACAGTGAATTCTGAGAGGTTTTCTAATGTAGTTTAATGATCTTAAAATGCATGCTAAAGTAACAGAACGGTATCTGTTCTAAAACATAAAATTGCTGTGGATTCCAGTCTAGTGTCCAAATCCTACAATTCCAGATGTTGGTTTGTCCTCTGTGGAGCATAGATCCTCTGTATTCACGTTGGCATAGTTGGCAACATGCACTTTATTTGTTTTAACACAGCAGGACGGTTTTTCCCAAATTACAAAAACAACAATAAAAAAGCAACTCTGTCCAGTTCTGCCATGCACGCGTTTCCTGTTAATTATCCGGACCACTAACTGTCGGAATGGAATAGTGCTCCAAAACAATTTTGCTTGCAACTGTGCCAGTGTGACTGCTTTGTGTTTTACTATAATGGTTATTTACCCACACTGGGGACGACCAGGGGACATTTCTGTAAATGTGTCATTAGAAAGGCATGAAATTGAAAGCTGCTTCTCCATATCACTCGTTATTGGTTGGCTGTTCATCTCAGCAGAAAACCACAGAAATATAATGGATATGAAGCTTTCCTTGTGTACGTGCAAGGCAGTCCCTGATATGGACTCGTGCTCCTTGTTGTTGACGGAGGCACATTCGGGTCAGACTCAGCTGAAAAGTTCACATCTCACGGAACTTTGTCTTCAGTCTGAGACGGGAAGCATCAGGCTGGATGCAGATGTTTTGCTCTGTGAAGCACTTCACCGTTGCACTGTGTTTGCTGTGTTCGCACTGTTTACCATTACTCACGTGACGTCCATCTCACTCGCAGTTGACGGCCCGCTCGCTACCAGCAGTGCATTCTGATGAACGGCTCCAACCGCTCCTCAACCACCTCAGGTAAGCAGCAGAGGGATTAAGAACTTTGCCACTTTGCTTTGGTCTCCATCTGGGGGGGGAGGGGGAGATTTAGCAGGATTCATTTTAAGAACGGCAACTGCCGGTGTGCGTAAAACCAACATGGGCAGATTGTAACGTTGTAATTAGCACTGTGCAAAATGCACATAGCTTTTCCTACAACTTCTCTTGCACTCTACTGTATCTACTCTACTGGGGTCGTCGTGGCGCAGGGGTTAGAGAAGGTGCACAAGGTTGGTGGTTCGATTCCAGGCTGCCCCATGTTCCATGTCGAAGTGTCCCTGAGCAAGACACCTAACCCCTAATTGCTCCCCGGGCAAAAATGTGAAAACGCCATGGGTTTAAAGTGTAATGTAAGTCGCTTTGGATAAAAGCGTCTGCTAAAATGACCTGTAATGTAATGTATGTCTGTTAATATCGTTTGGATGCCTGTTAAAGTCGTACGGTGATCAATGTCAAGCGGACAAAGCTTGATATGTTTTCCTCAGACATGAATGGGGCCGTTACAGCTGTTGTCTCTTGGCGTGTTGGAGGGTTAGGCTACAGGTCGGTGCGTCATCTAAATACTACTCATCTAAAACTCTTTCCTTATCGGTCCTCAATTGCAATATGTAAACACATCAACAAGAAAGGTGTCATCATTTTTGATCAAACGATGAAACTGCCACTCAATTTGCATCGTCCTCTAAATGTGCTGGAAACCGAGGCATTCTGTACCTTTTTGCTTGGAAAATTATTATTGGTTGTTTTGTGCATAGATGGTGCACTGTTGCCAGGATGGATTACGTTGCAGTTTTGTGTGTGCTGTCTGCAGCATTCTCGCTCAGTGGTGGGCCCGATTTAAAGAGTTCTATCCCCGCTGGCCACAAAGACATGGAGAGATGACGTCCAGGCCTAAAGATGCTTAAGTTACCGTTCAGCAAAAGCACTCAAGTTTGAGTTGAATAGTGGATTAATAGCAGCAGCGTTAAGTTCTACTTCAATGGCAAAGGAGAGCTGCTCAGAACAAAGCGAGAGTTTTTTATCTTCCTTTAGATGGAAGTGAGAATATGAATATACACGGGTGGAAGAAGTTAAGTTGCCTGATTGTTGACGGGGATTAGTGGGCAGAATATTTTAGATTAGTGGGCAGGCCGGTAATCTCTTTGGTAGGGGGAGCACAAGGTAATGCAAAGCACTGTTCTATAGGACTCGACGGGTTGCCAAAGTCATTGATTTAAAAGTCTCCCAGCGCAGCCGTTCCACATTTATTTTGAAAACACAGTGAACAAATATGAGGTTTGGTGACATCCAAAATTGTAACAGTTTTGGTCTTTTCTATCAATGCCTTCTTCTAGTCACGCCTATGTGGGACAGGATTACAGCATCCAGAAGAATGTTGGGAAAATTTCATTGGATCAAATTGATTCAGTAAGTTTCATTCACCGTTTACTCCTGAAATGTGAAGTTCAAAGTATATAAGTCTATTATATGGTTTGTAAAGTTGATGTGCTACCACAGAGCTAAAAATGAAAACACAGCGTATTTAGTGCCTCTATAGAGTCAACCAATCAGCTCACGGTATGTCACATGTGCCCCATAGAAAGTCCACATGTGTACGGTAGTCATTGATTAATGTCTGCCTCCAGCTTTCAGGGAAGTCCTTCCCGCTCTGCATGAGGCAGCTCCACCAGTCCCTCCGAGAGAACCACCACCTCCGCCACGGGGGGCGCATGCAGTACGGCCTCTTCCTCAAAGGCATCGGCCTCTCCCTGGAGCAAGCGCTGCAGTTCTGGAGATCAGAGTTCATAAGAGGCAAAGTGGATGCGGACAAGGTAAGGAAGACATGAATGCTGTGGTGTGTTTTAGGTTGTTGTTTCTGTCGGGTCAACAGCCCAAACTGTGCAGCTTCGCAGGCGAGCTTAGTGCTCACTGCGACCTTGTTCCGTGCACAAAATGCACCGGTTTCAGATTTCAGTTATTTAAAAAACAAATTGAATCCTTGAACACCGGATACGTGGAATTTAGGACGCTCACCCTTGGCAGGGCCGTTCCACACTTCAATAGCTGTTTCTGTTTGATTTGTGACGAAGTGTTCCGAGTCACCAGCTTTCCCTGCTAACATTATTTGCATGCTCTCGTACTCTGAGGCTAATAAAGACAGATATTGTGTCTCTCAAAAAAGAGAGCGCCCCAGTAATTTGTTTTGCATGTAAATAGGAGTCAGGAATGACTGATGGAACCGATCCGATAAAACAAATAGAATTTCATCCTGTGTTTTGATGTTTGCTTTGAATATTTATCTATTTCTATTAAGATATTTGTATTCTAAATATTTACTATTTTCAACAAGCCCGACTAAACTAAAATGTATTCAACGGTTGGAGCAGCCAAGCTGTCATGAAAATAACTGCCTGTTTATATGGATAGTTGTTAGTGCATCAGTTCACACCGGGGACTGTTTGAATGTCTCTGTGTGCCGGGGACATCTAAGGGAGACTATTTTGGACTTTCTGTAATGCTCGTGTTGTGATGTTTAAGACCCATCTGCTAATCGAGAAAATAATTGGTCAATCCATAATGAACATAATCTTTACTTTTAGCCACAATCAGTCAAACCACTCAAGATGTCTATCTAGGTAGCACACACACACACACACACACACATTATGACAGTTAATGAGCTAGAGATCTTTAGTATAACTCACCATTGTCCCATTGTCTTACCCATGTTATGTATGATCGCCATGTCCAATTCCTTTTATATTTAACATATTTTGGCAATAAGTGTTCCTCATTCCTTAACACTTTAGGTCTTTCACTGCCAAATAGTGTGTAAATGCTGACTTGGCCTGTAGACCAGCACCAATGTGAGGTCAGTGAAGTAATGATGTCCTTTAGTGTGTTTAGCTAGAAGCAGTTGACAGGTGACAGCAGGCACCAGCTCGAGCTTTCTTTGTTATTAATTATGTAGGAATTTCTATTTGGTTACATTTGCAAAGTAGAAGCGTATGTAAATACTTTCCATTCGACTCAATCCGTACTGATAAACACTGCTTCAAAACACACACACAGCATTGCGTGCATCATTTGAGCTGAATGCCAAAAAAAGTTTGATTTTCAGTAAAAGGGATCCAGTGCAGTAATCTGGCACAGCATTGTGTGCAGTGGGCCTTGATCCCCGAGCTGTGTTGTCTTTTAGATCATTATTTGTAGTAGTAGTAGATCACATGGCTGCCATGTCACTCCAGGCGGTCCGGCGACATGTGTTGCATCAGCCAGACAAAGTGTCCTGGCATTCTGGTGAGAGATCCTGAGCCCCTCTTTCCCGCTGCTGCCTCAGTTTCAGCTCTAATGTGAAGACGCATAAAGAATAATGACCAGGATCCGATGCACAAAGATACCGAGTCTTTCTTCTGTACGATTTTTGTGTGCACACGTTTAGCTGGAAGATTCCCCATCTCCCTTTTTGTCCAGCTTTGTCACCGATACCTGTGGAAGTGTCTTTCTGGATATTCCTGCATCCCTCCAGTCTGCTGATAGTCCCCCAGTAGGAGCCTCGTGGCAACTGCAGTTGTTGCTGCCGCCCTCTCTGGTGCCGCGTACGAGCTGCAGGGGAGCGCGCGATGAGCTGTGCACAGCGCTGGGCTCTGGTTCCGCAGCGGAATGCCGGTGACCGATTGCAGCTCTCACAGTGATGTATGTGTTAAGTCAGGGACTGCACTTTGTGGCGCGCTGCACAGAGCCGGCTCGTTAGTATGCGCCAGGCACTGAGGAACACGATGGGAGGCAGCGATGCCCGAGAGAGGCCCGGAGGGAGAGCCGAGGTAATATTAGACTCTGGGGGGGGAAATTGATGAAATCAACTTGATATATATATATATATATATATATATATATATATATATATATATTTTGTGCTGCCTTTTCATTTAGAAGAGGGTCTGTTTGGATCACATGTCGGTGTGCTGTGTTGCCCTTTGGCTTGAACTGCTTTGCCACAGCTTCCTTTACAGTTGTTAACTTCAGGTTTATTAATTTCTACAAACTGACACCATTTTTCTAGCTTTGCCATCCATCTTCTGAAGTTGAGCACACTTGCAGCATTTTATAGTCCCCTCACCTTCTTCTTGTTTTTTGGGGAGTTCTGAAAAAGCCTTCAGTGCAGATAAGAAAAATGTGACTCATTTTATTACATATAAGCGGAATTGGAGCTGCAGGCTTCTCAGTCACTATGGACTCACTGAGCCTAAGAAGCCATGCCAAGTGCACACACACACATGCACACACTCACGTACGTAATCCCTTTGATTGTGTCCTATTTCTCTGTCTCCATAGCCTCAGGTTTTTGTCAATGTGTCCCCGAGTGTGGGGGGGAGGTGTTTCAGTGATGAAGCCCCATGAGCGCAGATGTACACCAGAAGAGCGATGCCTCTGCGCCTTTTCTTTTTTTTTTAATGCAGCTTTGTGCTCGTGTTTAGACTCTCCCGTCTTTTTTTCTAAATTCCCTCAGTATGGAGGTCAGCTGTGTGAGAATATATCCAGGATTATCTGAAATGTGGGCTGCAGTTTAGGACCGCGGTAGAAATTGTATTTAAAGAGTGGAAATCGGACGAGTTGTAAACAAACCGCGAGCTGCATTGAACGTCGTCTGATTCTGAGAGGCATCCGAATAGTGTTTTTGAGGACAAATCAAACGTCTGTAGGGGGATGGCAGAAAAACGCTTCTGTCTGTGATCTATTTCTGGGTTTCTCAGGATTTAAGAAAGAGTTTGTCTATAATCTGCTCATGTGAAACTACGTCTTTAATCTCCAGCAAAAAAAAAAAAAAAGAATGAAGGAAGTGAGAGTTTAGTTTATCATTTCTGAGCATCACTTTTTATGCCCTAATTATTTCACATTATACATATTAAACACACTTTAGTGCCAAGAGGAGTTTTAATAGAGTAGGGGGCTCTTAAATCAGAAAACAGCCCCCTGAATCCTCAGACGCGCCGCATAATTAATATTTGATGCATTGTACTTCAAGAAAACTTTATGGATCTGTGAATTGCTGCTGCAGCTCGTCACATTAGCAAGTTCAAGGGTTTTATGGCAACATTTACGTGTGACGATGGCAGCCGTCATGGCGAGAGTGGTCTGCTAACGTGGGAGAACACTGTTTGAATTTTACTGTCGCATTTTGAGAGGCAGGGTCCCTGTTAATCAGTTTTAATGGCTGCACAGGAGCTCTGCACATATAAAAGAGGTTCACAGAAGATTGTGTAGACGACCCCAATAAAAAAGTATGAAGGATTTATTTTGTTTTGCAACAACCTGGACAAACTTGTGGCAGCTTAAAGTTCATTTTTAACGTTTTTCTTCTTTCTCCAACATGCACAGTTTGCCTGAGAGCAAGATAGTGGGTTCTCCACCCAAAAGTCTGCCCCACCCTCCAATGGGCCATTAAACATTGAGATGGGCAAGGAAATAGTGGCTTCTATTACTGAAACTTTTGTGACTTATTGTATTGTGTTTCCTTCGGGCTCGAGGCAGATCATCATTGAATGGAATCACCGGTGATAAGTTGGATGGAAATTTCTTCGGTGAAACTCTGAAATGTGACAAGTGTCCTCAGCTTTACACAGGTTTATTGTAACTAGTGACTATAGCTAAGTAAAACTTTCAACCCTTTCCTATGCAACGCACGTCCGTTGTATGAAGTTCCTCCAAAGATGAGTCCACGACAGGCCGGTATTGAAGCACTACAGAGGGAGGTAGAAATGGGGGCATGGCACGTTTCTTTCTAATTTCAAACAACCTCTTCATATTGTATCAAAGGACTCGACGGGACACTGGTCAAAAGCCATTAAAGGGGAAAGAATATCCATAATTCTGCTATCTCGAGTGTGACGACACCTGTACAGCAGGTTCTCTCTAATAGCTCCATATTTCATTAAGCAAAACAGCCTGTCGGAACCAACATGATGTACGACAATGTCTGTCTTCACCCCAACCTTGTCCCTCTTACACTCTCATCCTGGCTAATGCCTTTCCCCTCCTCTCCTCTCGCTTCCCTCCCTCTCCGTAGTTTGACAAAGCGTATGCCTACAGCGTCCGCCACATGTTTGGCAAAGAAGGCAAGCGGACAGACTACACCCCCTACAGTTGCATGAAGGTGATTTTATCAAACCCACCCAGCCAAGGAGACCATCACGGTGAGTTGATGACTGTTGCAAGAAGCCATTACCCGTGTGATGAGCCACTCGGCTGCCATTATCAGGCTTTCGGGTTTAAGTACTGACACAACTGAGGGTGGAGATTGCGCGTGAAGCTTTAAATGCAGATATTTCACTCCCCTCCCCATCAGTGAAACCAGTAATATACCACGTCAACTGTTCGTTTATGTCTTCATTTATTTTAATACTCTTAATTTCATTTTCAATTTCAGGCTGTCCTTTCCGTCACAGTGACCCCGAACTGCTGAAGCAGAAGCTTCAGTTCTACAAAGTTCCTGCCAGTGGGATCAGTCAGGTGGGTGCTGTCCCGTCTCGTGTGGGCCGGCAGGCCTCCAGCATCCCTCTCTGCTGCTCTGCAACTAGAGCTTGGGTTTGTAAAAAAGACACATGCCGTATCTCCTAAAGGCATTTATTAGATTCGGACCAAGGGAAAGTCGGGGGACGGTGAAAACACCTTTTTATTGGAATTATTAGAAGAAAGAAACTTTGACCCGCCGGTGGCGCTAGATGAAACGTCCGGATCAAGAAAGGGATTAGCATTCATCCATGAATGTCTACACTTTTTCATGGCAACTGACAGAAATGCATGGATAAAAATGATGGTAATTCTGTTTTCCAAAGGGTCGCTTCCCACACACATATTAATCATATTACTGAAAGAGCTGAAAAGTAAAGATAGTCAAGACTTCTAGTGTGATCGACTGTGCTGTGGACATCTGGCCCGCCACACCAGGGTGATCCTTCCTCCTTTAGGATTAAAGTAAAAGTAAAGTCACAGGACGGCTCGCGTTTGCTCGCTTTTCATTCATTCAAGTTTTGGATGCAAATGTTCCTGGTCTTATAAAAGTATGTCTCAGTCCCGGTGTTGAGCTTGTTTGCAGCCGTAGCGCGCTGCAAACAAGCCTTCAGGAATATAGAAGCCAAAAAAAAGGCAGATTCCACAGAAGTCTTTCCTGCTCGTAGTGAATGCTGAACACTCCTTGGATTGATATTTTAGCAGGTGAGTTACTGTCAATCTGTCAGATTGTGAGAGGTCTTTTGTGAAGAAGCCAAGGCCCGGGTTCTCTTTTCAGCTTTGCAGAGCTTAAGAAAAATCCCCAAATTGAAAGAGATATAAGGTGTAATTGTCGGCAACCGCACGCAGTTCTACAAAATTTGATCAGGGCATCAATGTCTCAAGTAGCCCAAATAAGCGAGCCATCTGTTTTTATTGCATTTGCAATGATCTCTTGAAGGACTTATTCACTGCAGTCATTATGATTCATGTTGTTGACCAAAAGCCAATGAAAACAATTTTGAATACGGGGCTGCAGTGACATTGTCTGTAAATGCACTGTGTCGCTTTCTACGGTTTGACGGTCTGAGAAAGAAATGATTACCGTAAAAAACAGTTTCTTCTTTTTCTACTTGTTTTGTGGCAGATCCTGGAGCTGGTTAAAGGGATGCATTTTCAGCTGGCATGCCAGAAGTACTTTGAGCTGACACACAATGTAAGTGCAGATTTAATTGGGCCGCCGCTTGTCATATGGACGGGCGTCTGGTCCTTCCGTCCCCTGCAAAAAGTCTCAGAGGCCGAGAGCTGTCCTCATCTCCGTCCTCACATATTTTCATAGGGTTATTATGGCAGTTAGATCCTTTTAGGTCCCCATGGACACTTCATTCTATGTGTTTTAGTTTGGATGCTTGTTCCTTCACAGTCATACTCAAGGTCCTCGTTTAGGGGCACGGATCGGAAAAAGGAGCCACGGTCTGAAACTCAAAAGCACAATTGCTCGTGACTATAAACACGGTGACTTTCAGCTGATGTTATTTTCACACCCAAACGCACGCAGTCACTTGGACCAGCGTTGTGTAAACTGCTGCCACTGCGCTGAAAAATGTGAAGAACGATCAACTTAAAAAAAAAACTACAAACTGTCCAACACACTGTGATGAATCCTGTTCATGCAGCGAGCAAAGCATTAAGCAGAGCGACACACAGATCTCACAAAGACTACGTTTAATTATGTCTTTATATATAATTGTATTGATCACCAACACATTAGGCCCTATGCAGATACGTTATCGGATTTTTATAGCAAGTAGTAAAATTCACACATAATTGCCCTGAAAACACATCCCATCTATTTGTGGTAAAGAATTGTCTTCTTTGTAGTGACTCAACAGATTGTAACAGCAAAGCAAAACGACTCCTGCTAAACTTCATTTAGCAAATGGACGATGCTGATGCCTTTTGAATGATCGTCATTTAAAGTCCTCACCGACATAATCGTTTTGAAAACATTAATCACAATTGGACAAATGTTTCAAAAGACCATTTGAACTTGTTAATTGATTCATGGGTTTGTACTCCTCATGAAGGATTGTGACATTTTTATTTCCTGAAAGGGCATTTAATCTTTTCACTAAATTAGAACGCTAATTTAGTCACGAAAGCCTGCTGTTCTCCTCAATAATAATGATGATTAATAAATTAGCAACCATTCCACATTGCCTCTCAATGAAGCAGATGTTATATGACTGTCACATAATAGATGACACAACGTTGAACCAATCAATCAATATGCTATCAACCTGCCCCTGCTGTGAAAACTAACGCTGCTCTTCTCATTTTCTCTCGTCCTGTGTTTTCTCTTATTTCACCGAGCAGATTGACGACGCCAATTTCTCACTCAATCACCCCAACCAGTACTTTATAGAGAGTCAGAAGGTTTTAGGAGGGGGCAAGGAGATAAAGCGTGAGGTGGACACTGCACAAAGGTTGCAGGAAAATTCGGCCACCAAAGGATCGGCGGCAACTCGAGAGCCGGCAGCCGACGCCTCCAAAGCGGAGGATGAGATGACGGAGGACCTGGACTCCTACTTTCAGGATGCCTGATTCGTTTTGTCCCCTTTTTATTCTTTGGGGTTTGCAGTTACAGGAGGAGGGGGGGCTACATAATGTATTTTCGGCTGACTCTGACTCTGTACATGGAGTGTTCAGGATCAAAGTTACAAATCACTTATTTTCTATGTAGACCTTTAACTGTACCAAATTCAAACTTCAACATCTCCATCTCTGGTCACCGCCTCTATTGTTAATTTGTTTACGCTGGTGACATTACATTGTTCTGGTTTAATCACACTGTAAAAAGTTTCTCTGCTTTTCCTTTGTTCTTCCCACACTGGTGTGAACTCTTCTATGCGTCTCATTGCACTGTCTGTGTTTTTGCAGGGATTCAGTTGTTAGGTGTGATGACTAGAACATAGCTGTCTCAGAAACAATGTCATTGTATTTGCTGGCAGGAGGATGGATGAAAATAAACTTTCTTTTTCCACAGTTATATTGTGCCTCCTTGGGATGCTGCCTCATGATGCACAAAGTTGTTTAAAACGTCTGTTTGCGTTCATTTGTGAAAAATGTCCTCCAGTCAGGAACTTCTTGCACCAGTGTGGCAACGCAGGCAGCTCCGCTAATCTAATCAGCCCCGAATCACACAAATAGAAGTGGTTTTCCACTAGGTCAATATTTAATGAATTGGAGATTGAATTGTCCATGAGGTCAAATTAAAATAAATAAACAAATGAGGCGCTTTCCTGTTTTAAGCCTCTGACACACTCGCGCCCGGAGTTCATCGCCGTCTCATGCTTGTAACTCGTCGAGCTGCGCACAGCTGGAATTAAAATGCAGGCATGGAGCTCGGCAGAGCGAATCTATCCAGTATAATAAGACAACTGGATAACGGTGCACAGCCAGGCTGGTGTCAGCGAGACACACTTGATGTTGAATATTTTTGGTCGAGCTTGACAAAGCCGGAGCCTTCTTCGATGTTGACTGAGACCCTGTTCATCGCCTCCTAATGGATTTACAATCATTACTCATCACCTTGCTTACTTTCATGGTGCCATTTGTTTTTGGTTCCTTTCCAGTGCTCGCTACGTGGGCGAGAGCTGTCCTGGGGGGGTCGTTGCGTTGTCTGCGACCCGACTGCGACATTTGTTTCCATGAGGCCGGTACGGAAGACGCCTTACGGGGAGAATCTGTATGCAGAGAGTCTAGCTGGGGGGGAAGCTTTGTGAAGCTGTTGCAATCTGGAGCTGGTAAATCCTGCAAACGTTCCATGTTCAAGGCAATTTGCATTGCATCCGTATGGGTGGTATCAATTGCAATATAAAACAAAGAAAGCATAACTTCTGGTATAATGCAAAGAAACGGAACGAGAAATTTCAATTCACAAGCATTTTATCTTCTTTGTCAAATTTAAAATATTCTTTGCTTCAATATGAAAGCGGCCGGGATAAATTATTGGGAGGCGGGGAAACTTCACTGATGATAAAGGACTGACCTTTCATTTTATGACCCTGCACCACTACTGGGTTTCTTTACTGCGTTTTTGTGGAGGGGTTGGAGGGGTGTGTGGTGGGGAGGGAGGGGGGCACACACCACACACCACAGAGTGCTGTTTCATAGGAGTATTTACCAGCTGTGCTCGGTTTCAGGTGTGCTTGTTCACCTTGAATATTCAGATCATGAATGGGGCCCGATGGCCGGGGCCCCCGTAAGCATCCCATAGGTTGATTTTAATGGTGCAAGAGCGCGCATGTCTTGCTGCCATTTATTAGCTTTATTTTATGGTACAATTTAAACAATATAATAGTGATCAAACCATAGCTTTTTTAGATGCATAATTGAGACTGTGCAGAGGGGAGACTCCAGACTAAGGAACCATTAACGTGCAAACAGACATTTGGAGCACATGTTCAATTTGCATAAGGATGAGATTCCTCAACAAATGCGTCTTTTGTTTTGCTGGTCATTATTATTCCATCTGAGGGGTCTTTAACGTTGTCCTTTGGGTGGTCCTATAGTATATTGGTATGGTAAGATATGTTGTCGGATCTTCATTGTGTTATTTAGCTGTATTTCTGGATACATTCGTCCCTATGGTACGTTTGGAACAAACTTTTTTAGAATGAATATTATATATAAGTATTATACGTGGGCCCCACAAAAATGTTCACACCAGTATTGCCACTGTTTGCCCGTAGTATTGAACGTTAACTCCATTCTTTCAATTCCCAGCAGGGTGTTTCCCTTCGTCCTCCTCCTAATAATGACTTGTTATTTGAAGCAGCTCTGGTTTATTTATATATGGGATATGTGCGCATTCTCTTTAAGGTTTATATTTAAGGATCACATAAGATCCTACAACACCAACCTCCATCTCGCCTTCCAGCTTTGTATAAAACACAGCGTTTCATTCTTCGTCTCAGATCTGATAAAATGTTGTGCAGGTAAGATGAAGTATTCGCTTTTCAGGTTTTAGCTTTTCATTTTGGGTCTTTTGGGGATTCTTGTCAAACTAGCTGCGCTGCAGTCAAACTTTATCCTCAATGCGGCAGACTCCCTGCCACATTTTTGGGAATTATTTTCTTATTCAAGGTATTAAAAGGTTTGAGCAGATCTGCAGCAAAGCCTGACTGAGGTTAAATTAGTAACAGCATCTAGAAGCATCGACGGCTTGATGTTGCACTGGGTTTTTGTGTGGAAGAAATACATAGTTGGGGTCTGAAGTCTTATCCCTTGAAACAGTTTTAAGGTATAAATATTAATAAGAGATTACCAAAGTCAAATGAGTTGAGGTGTGAATAGCAGGCGTTTGATATTTAGATCGTTGATCACCATCATTTGTTTGCAACCAACCAAAACTGACACTGACTAACTTTAATCTTACTGTCCAGAGAGAAAATGTTAACTAAACTTCTAAAACTGTATTCATTGTGCTTTATTCAGCAAATGTTATCCAGCATCAAATGCATGTGTATTTAAATATGAGGGCAAAGGGCTGACGTTCCACTCCTTTATTCTGCAGATTCACACAAATGTCCCCCATGAGTCCCATCGGAATATATTAAACACACGGTTCTTGGATGTTTACTCTGCTGCCAAAGGAAGCCATTTACTGTGAAAAACATTGCTCCTCTCTGTTAACAAGAGCCTTGGGATTGTGTTTGGAACATTTATGTCAAATTTAGACTTGGCCGATGCAGTACATGACCAATCAGATAAGTTTTTTCACTTTTGCCATTTAGGTTTGACTCACTAGAAATACGTAGAAGTACGGCCGATTGCTTTGAAAAGATGAAGCTAAGAGCGGTATAACAATGTTTTGGCCTGTTGGGAGACTGATGATAGAGATTATCTTAAAAGTATTTTTTACTTTTATTTTGTTGTTCACCAATAATAATAACCTTAATTACTGTTTATCAGTAATTTCCTCTTTACATTCAAGCAAAGCAATAATATTTTCGTCCCAAAAATTTGAAATCCATTAATTTCATTAAGAAAGTCAACATGGATGTTGAACTTACTTATTAGTTATAATAAGTCGTCTAAATGCCAGGCTTGTTGGTTTATAGAATGAACTAGATTAGAAGTTATGCATTTCTTCCATTTGTCTTGTTGTAGATAAAACCTGTTGCAGAATGCGAACACGCCGACTCCACATGTGTCTCGGAGTCGATATTTTGTTCTCACCTCGAGGCATCAGAGATGCTACTTTTGGTCTGAAATTAAAAATTTTAGCAGGAAAAAACGTGACTACAAATGGATGTCTCTGCATTTGTCCTTCCTAGAAGAGGCTTACTCACTACGTGGACGATGTACCTGTTGGCATCGGTCCATTGGTTGAAATCTGGAGATCGATGAGTGTCTCCCGATGGCGTTCACTATTGATTCTAACATCAGATAGAAGCATCGGTTACACCCCCGTCAGCATTTTGTCTGATTCATGTGAAAATTGCCAGTTGTTTTTTACAAGTGTGACGTGGATCTCCTCACATGTGTTGGCACGTATCATGAAGTTGTCTCTTCAAGCACAAAGTTATCCAGATGTGAGAACCCTGTTGATTGTAGAAGTGGAGGCCAACTTCCTGCGGCTGAACATAAACTCATCATTATTCCCCCCGGCGTTCCCTGATCTCATTAACCTGACAGATGTGGGAGCCGCTGCTCATGTGATTAACTTTGCTCACAAACTGTAGACTCTTTGGAAGCTTCACCTGCAGCCATGCCGTTGCTCCGTGTTAGACTCCATGTCGGACAAGGAGAATTAGTTGCTAAAAAAAACCCCTGCTTTGGCAAACAGGTTTTAATCACTGCATCGCAAACATGCAATTAGTTTTTTTGCCCTTCTTCCCATTGTTGTGGATCAATCTGCTCAGTAAACACTGACCATCGTTTTGATTCACGATATTTTGCCTGACTGTGGGGGGAGCTTGTGTTTTCTGCAGTTATTTCAGCTTCGATGACAAAATCTAATGATATCCAAATTGGAAATGCAACTCATCTGTCTGCATGTACCATCATACAGAATATGCGTACATTACTGTAATGTAACGGTGCTGGTGTGTGTGTGTGTGTGTGTGTGTGTGTGTGTGTCATCATGGCAAGTTGGGGTTCCTTAACACACCATCTTCCACAGAAGTGTCCCTGTCAGTATTTTTATCGTTTTAATGTCTGTGGACAGATTTTTGTGGCTGTGTACCTCGATGGGGGTCGTCCAGGCCTGGTTGGTCAATCCCTGTTTGCATTCCTTGTCTGTACCCGTGCACGTTGACCCACTGCTCGTAGAGCAATAAGCAACAGAGTGGCATTTGAATGCAACGCAGCTCCGCAGAAAAAAGGTCTTCTCACTTCCTCTCACTGCCAGTTAAGTGGATTCAGTCACACATATTAAAAAGCAATGTGGAGCAGAGTGTGAGACATCAAAGGGGAAGTGGAAAGCGAAGCCCCTTGTTAATGGGGGGGGAATTGTGGAAGCAGGGACTGTGGGATATTGGGGGGGGGCATAATGGCCCTGACAATCAACCGGCTGAGTGCCCGTCCTTCTTCCCTGCAGGGAGTGTCGGTGGAGACAAAGCGCCGGAGCTTGTTGACGCATCAGGAATTGACACAGCGTTAGGTCGCTGTCGGCCCTGTACAGACAGGAGATACGAATTGGAAAAGCTTTGGGGAAACAGAGTGAAGAGCAATCTCCTTGATTCCATCTCTGACAGGCGGTCGACGGATTGATGAGGGCTCACCGCGGTCCACCAGATTGTCCCTTTTGAGATTGATTTGTATCTAAAAAAAAAAAAAAAAACCCCACCTTATTTTCAATGTTGGCACGTTCCCTAAAGAGCTGCACATTGGTGACATCTCGATAAATTGCTGCGACAGTGAATCGTGTCTCACACCATCCTTTCTAATTAAAAGTCAACAAAGGATAAATAGCACCTTCTTTTATTAGAGCTCATGAGTTGTCATCAGAGCACAAAGATGTCACATTGCGGGTCGGCACAAATAATAATTTAAAATTGGAAGTCAATCTTTTTGTTTTAAAACTTGTGGACAATTCCAATTTTCTCTGCTTTTTGTGCCTTTCAAATCATTTATTGTTGATCATTTATTTATTGTTAGAACAAAACTCTCCTGCAGCACTTTTAGTTGATGCAAATTATTTTCTCCATTAAATCCCACCTGTCATGGAACATTTATTTAAAAAAAAAAAAAATAGCATTTTAGCAATGGTCTGGTAACGGGGGAGAACGGGGGTGGGGAGCTCACCTCTCGCTCACAGCTAGTTAATCTCTTTCTCGTGGTTCATAGCTTTTGCACCCTCAGGGAGCTGTTTTTTGACATGCATTTTTCATCTTCACAGGGTCTCCAGCTTCACTCTCTGCAGAGAACGGCAGCTTTCCTAAGCCCCGTAATTGTCTGTAGTTTGATGTCTTAGCTGTGGAAGGCCGCACACACGTGCACGTTAGAGCCGTGAACCCTCATATTTACATTAGCGTGATCCCACAGCAGAACGTCAACACTTCGCGGCGCTCAGACAGCACACACCCTGACTGATGACTCATTATTTTTTTGTAATTGTGTTTCATATAGGGTCGCCCTCGAGCAACCGCAGCTATATTGGCCACAGCATTTGTACGGAAAACGTGTACAGCACACCTGCAAAAAGTGGCATTTGAAAATGATGATCCAATTATTACATTAACATGAAAACATAATTTCTTTTGAAAAGCATATTAACATTTTCTTCCCATTGACACGTGTCAGAGCGGCTGTTCGCCTTTCTCTCATAGTTGCCTTTTATTCATTGGTGAAATGATGCAGACTACTTTAGACTTTAGACAAAGCACAAATAAAGCCCCCCACCGGTCGACAGGGTGAGGTTCATGTGAGCTCGTAATTAACTTCAGAAGCTAACTGCTGCAAACCCTTTGAGCATTTTACCGAATAAAATAAGAAGCGGTGCAGAGATCATTCAGTTGTGTCTGAGCTGTGGCTGTTTATGATTATATGTAAGCTTTCCTCCCCCAAAACCGACAAGATCTATACGATAGTTGTCACACGAGCCAGAAATATAATAAATAAATAAATGTAGTGCAAATAGAAATAGAGCTTTATTCACCTTATCCTTCTTCACCGAATGTTTTCCCTTGCAGCTTGCATGCATCTGTATATTGATTTCCTTTTGATATATTTCTGTAATACCAGATGGAGCTGAAGCATTTAAGCCGCCAAACAAACAAGTGTAAAGCTAGCTAGCAAATGTTACCTTGAAAGTTTTTCATTTGTCATTATGAGAAATTAGATCTGATGCAAGTCACCATGCTAGTCAACACTTTAGCTTAGTGGTGGTAACGGGAAGTTATGGTAACGTTTTTATTACCTTGGGTGATTGTATATATGATTGAAAACTCAAGAAAGTGGTGTTAATTTGTGATTATTATATTGCTGAACAAAATGTATTAAGTATCATAAACGTGTGTTTGCCACAGAGCATTTTATCCCGCGATAAAGGAAAAAACACATTGACTCTCTGATCGGCAGCAGTCTGTTACACCAAATAGCCTATACAAATTCTGTAAATTTAGTGAGGGAAGAATGATGGTTAAATCACTCCAAAATACCAGCATGTTACAATAAAATATGTCCAGATTTATTTTCTCATCTGATTGGTGATTAAAAAGTGAATGAAAATCTTTTAACTTTTTTTAACCAATTGATTGAAAATGTAAAACATAATCAAGCTCTAATCCTTTTTACACTATTCATCATTATTTTAAATAGTTAACTTGCACTTTAATTTATTGGCTTCTCAGTAGAAAGCATCAGTTACAAATTATGCCTCCAATGGATAGTTGCATTGACCTTCATGTGCAATGAGTGAAGTGTAAAGTGTTTGTTATCAACCCCTTGTCATTTGTACACACACACACACACACACACACACACACACACACACACACACACACACATTCGATGCTGCAGAGTTGACGTGTTAACTCTCTTTTGAAAGCCGCTGAAGCGGTGGATGATTCTCCGTTGTGCTGCATGTTGGGCTTCAGTGTGTTAGAGTGCCGTTTAGTTGCTGACTGTCAGTCATCGTGAAAAGCACCCAGTGTCCTTTGTGAAGAAAAGAGACAAAACGAAGTAGTTTCACTTGTTCTGCTGAAAAGAGTTCCCTATAGAAAGTGCAGACTTGCCGCGTGCTCTTCAATAAAGTCCCTGCGCAGGGAGAAAAAAAAGACTCAAACGTGACCTTGACTGGCGATCAACGGCTGAATCAATATCCCGCTGTTTTTTTGTTTGTCAGCTGGACGCATCAACTTCAACGCCGACCCTGCGAGCCATCGTTCCATTTTTTGTCATCCAGATGGAAAATCAACAACTTGTGTTTCATTTCCTGGGCTGTGAAAATAAAGGTAAATCTAGGCAAAAACAAAAAAGGCTTCATCGGGGACATCAGTGATGTAGTGACAGCTACATCACGGCCTTCGCCCGTCGGAGGCGTTTATCCAGCCGAGCACGTTGCTCAGTAACTCACGGGACACTTACGGCGGGAAGGAGCTGAAAAAGCAGAGGAGAAATACCCGCGGTGCCGACAATCTGAGATGTAATTTGTAGGCTGATTGAATTCCGCGGTGCGAACAGCTCACCTGGTATAATACCAGAAATTCGATTTACATTGTTAAACAGTATGATGGAAGATGAAATTGTTCCCTGTGAGGCTGTAACAAGCAGCGGTGGATGAGATGGAAACGTGAGAGGAGCCATGAAACGGTGAACCACCGCAACTCATCATCACGCTTGACATGCTGCATGATTATGTTAATATCAAGTAATAGCAATTTATAAACATACTTATTCAATTATTGACATAATTAGGCATAACGTTGCAGTTTTACGATTTTAAAACAGGACTTTTAAAATAATGGAAACTTCCTCCATCAACATTCCATAGATGTTGAAAACAAGTCTGCAGAAGTAAGTTTCATGTTGCACCAAAATAAACTACTAAGTGGTATTAAGGCACATGATGTTCACATGAAGTCTGTTTGAGTACACTTGAGTTAATACAATAAAAAAAGACATTAAAAACACAAGATCATTGAAGGCAATAAATGAAGTATGTATACAGAGAGATTTTTTTTTCAGCTTCACAGAACATGCTTTTGGTTTCAGGTGAGGGCACATTAACATCGTTAATATAGTACTATTGACCCCTGATATCACATTCATACATTAATCTATATTAAGTGGATAGTTTGTAAGTTATTGAATGCCATCACTAGCGACGATATCATTGACTACCACCACCGTGTCTTGTTGAATTCTGTCTTTTGTGGTCCACCGAAGCTCAGCTGCAAAGAATATAATATGTGTATTTATAAATAGCCACTTGTATTGTAAATATGGAGATGTATTTAGCAGCTTGTATCTGCATTATGCATGGAAACACTCTCAAAGGGAGGAGACTCCTCTCTTTGTTTGGAGACATTATTCAGAGAGAATTGGGTTACATTTCCGTGTGAGGGACTCGTGCGAACTCCCACCGTGAGCCCAAATGCTTATGATAATTCCTGTCAATTTCTGTTGGAATATTGTTCATCTTGGGGAACAATTTCTTCTAAAATAGGCGATGTGAACTTGTTACAAATGTTCTAAGAAAATCTGCTTCCTGCAAAACATCTCCCACAATGTTATTAACTCAAACAGACTGTGTGTCGAAGCAGCTTTATTTTAATGCAGATGTTTTCATCAGCAGAAAATCAACACCATCACCATCTACAAAGCAACAAAACATGTCAGAACTCATCCTCTCTCCAAAAATGGCTCTAATGAGCCGGCTTTTTTGCACAACATCAGATACAGGCGAGTAATGTCTCCACGGTAGCATTTAACTTCCAACAAAACTGCAGCTCAAGTTCTACGTCCTCACCTTCTATCACCTGGCTGGGATCCCGGGCCTGCTGTCGCAACGGGAACAACAAGAAAAACCATCAAAACACGTCAAGGACGCCGTTGCATTGAACGCCGGCGGAGAGGCGCTTTTAGATTTGCCAGATTATAAACCCTCATTTCCTATTCTGGCTCATCCAGCAGCTGTCTAAACAGAGCTGAGTTTGCTCAGGTACCCGTCGCTGGCTCAGGGGGGAAATGCTACGTGTTCGGAGTTAGAACCCTGCGCTGCTTTGCATAGTTAAACAATTCTGGGGACTCGCCTGGATCCTGACCCACTTTGTGTTTTCAAATACTTAGATCAATGGATATTGAGGTAGATAAAAGCCGTCCTGTGTGACAGGCTCGTGTGGACTGGGTTTCATGGAGCAAACGAATGCAAGAATCAAGGGTGGGTATTTCGATGGGATCGTTCTCCCCCTTTTTGCCAAAACAGATGAACAATGCTCGTTGGCTCGACGGTTGGGGGGTTCAAAAGAAGACTTTCATGAACAATTGTTTACAGTAGGATCCTCGCATTGCTTCTATCAATCGTGGCCAATCGCAGAGCTGCAGTCAAAGGACGCATTTTGTGCTGAACTTCATTCCGGCGTCTACGAGGGGTCGAGCTCGTAAAGCAGCAGTGACAGTCGGCAGTGGACTGGACTCGCTTAATAAACTAGCATGTTCGTGTTTCCATCACTTAGTGGACCATTTGCTGGGAGCAGACACAGAGTGCACTCAGGTTGGTAATGACAGCAGGCGCCAGACGACAACAGGCTTACAAAACGAAAAGTGCAGTCTTGTTGAGAGTTTGTTGTTGAGGGTTTCCAATGTTACTTTAGGGCCATCGTACAAACACCAGCCGTAATAAAACTCAACGGAAGGGACAATAAACTGAAAACACATTTGCAACATCTCTGCAATGTGGACAGTTGGAAGGACGTTTTTAACCTGAAGACCTTTTCATAATTCCTAATGTAACCTACAATTTCAACTTTAAAATGTAAAACGCATTGTTAAGCGCAAGCAAACAATTTTAAAAATCAACAACCTGCAAAAAAACAAATGATAAATAAAAAAAAACACTGAACAGTGAAAGGAGAAAATCTGATACCAAAAAACTAATATTTCCAGGAAATGTTTGATCTTCAGAGGAAATTATATTGAGGAAATATTCCGAATTTGTGACAATTAGATGATAAGATTGCTATGCGAAGCTATATTCAGGAGACGGTTAACTTAGTTTACTAAACGGACTGAAAAGAGAGCCAAGCTGTATCTCCAAAACAAATCTACGCTATAACGCAAAGCACCTTTATCCCTCATGTGCAATAACAACAATATGTGGTGTAATGTTTGGCTATGTGCAAGTTCGGACAGTTTGTCATTTAATCAACTTTCATACTATGCTCAGATAATATTACAGCATAAATATATTTGTTTAATTTCATTTTCATTTTTGAATCAGGCATTATTGTTTCAAGTAAATTTGCGTCCTTCTCAAAGGATTGTTCTTATTTAGTTTCAGACAATGCTTTTCACTGCTTATTTGCGTGTCTTTGTTTCAGTAGATACATTTGCCTCGCAGTAGCTTCCCATTCAAAGGTCAGATATGAAAGTGGAATCAATCTGCTCATCTCTTCCAGCATGAAAGCAAATCAGTCAAAAATGTCAAACTACTCATTTCGGCCTGTATAATTATGTGTAGAACTATTCCTTTGAGCCCCTGACATTTTGGCTGGGTGTGCAGAAGACAGAAGACAGACCTCCTCACTCTCACCTCAGCTCTTACAGATTAGCATGTTAAGAACATGTATGTTGCAGTTCTTTGAAAAATAAAAGACACAAAGCGTGAGAGTAGGTTCACACAGCCAATTACGTTTTTTTGTATTTGTCTGTGTCTCTCTCACTTCCGCTTTATTGAATTGGTTTAAACAAGGTAAAACATTCTTACACACCGGAGCTTGATAGTGAATTTATTAAAACCTTATCACAGCAGTAAATGCATCTTTTCCATAAAAGTATCTGTAACTGAAAGCAATTTTGAAATGAGTTTGAGAAATTAAAATCTCTTGCTCTACTTCACATTACTTTACATACTTACTTTTTTCTGATGCACAATTGCAGATGAAATACCTCCACTGAAAGTCCTCTGTAGTGATCAACGTGTTTGCACTTAAAATTGTCCTTTTTTATCCATAAATTGACACTAAAATAAGATAAATAATCTTTACAGTCACAAGACTGAGCATTGCCCTCTTGAGTAAGTGCAGAAAGAAAGACATTCTGAGGTGTAAAGTTGCTCCAGGCTGCACGGTGGGGAAGCTCCACCGAGGTCACGTGATCACACGCGTGCCCCAGACGTAGCAGAGAGGCACCGCTCGGCTGTCTACATTTCGGCAGCGGCCCACAAGGCCCACAGTTCAACAGAATACGTGTACCGGGCCAACTGGGATGGATCCCAAAGGTGTCCGCTGTGTGTGTGTGTTCCTCGCGCCACCGTAAAGCCCCTCAGCGGAGCACGTTTCGGAGCGATTTCATCCTGTTCCCACACTGGTAGTTGGTGGTGCTGGTGGTATTGCGGGGCGACTCAAGGGAGGACTGCGTCCCCTGCCAAAAGCAGAGGCACGGTGCAGATCCTTCCGCCAAACACCCACAATGCATTGCTCTCTGATCAGAGCGTCAAAGTCTGTAATGCTCAAAAGTGCTGTGAGCCAACTTCTCCCCACTGAAGTATTGGCCTACGATGTCTCCAAAGCCCCAATTAACATAGTGGAACTTATTTTGGCTCCCCTTTTGTAGTGATACAAGAGGGACACTGACGGTGGTCTCATTTGATCGCCCCAACACAAAGGGCACTACAGTCACTCAGCCTGTGTGTGTGTGTGTGTCTGTTCTCTCACTTGAATCTTTACAATACTCTCATTTATTTTAGAAAGTGGCTTTTCAGAAGCTCACCTGCTGGTCGCCCGGCCCCTTTGATGAAAGCGCAGTGTAGACACACGCTGCTGGGGTCAAAATGTCTTTGTCACCTATTGTGAAGTGTGGAGCATCATCGAGTTTGTCTGTTTGTGGTTCAGCTCTTCCTAGAGGTCGCAGCCGCGGCCTGAGAGGGCACACTGACTTCGGTGACCTTTGCAGGAAGTCCATCCAGCCCCGCTCAACGTCCCGTCACTGCCGACCTGTCAGAGATAGGCGGGTTAATTGTTTTGACATTAAAAGTTTCACATTTAACAGTAGAAGAGTGTGAGCTGTAATGACAGCAGCTGTAAATTGTGCTGTTACATTTGACTGCTTGTTGGGCGCTGACACAATTGAGTCCGCTCAGAGAAAGCATCAAAATCTGTGAGATTAGCTGACAGAAGCAGTCTTCTGCAGGCCTTTAGGTCTGTTTGTGTCCTCACTCAAACTGTTTGATTTTTTTTTTTAATGTTATTTTATTAAAGGGACAGAGTGTAACTTTTATCCTCATCTTGCGGTTAGTGTTTGTGTGTAGTCGGAGTAGATCAGCCCAACAGAGAGAAGAGCTACAGGCTGTAGCGAGATAATAGATTATAGCAAAATGATTAAATGAATAAAAATAAAAAGCATCTGTAAGGTCAACAGTAATGCTTCTCTCCCTTCAGGTGATGTATTAAACAGAAAGCCATGTCCTTCCGCTCGCTGCGTAGACACAAATGTTATTTTCTAACCTCAGGAAAACATAACTGTTCTATACTTCTCGTGTGATTATAAACTGATTAAAAGAGGATTATGAATATTACTTTTTGTAATTTGGCTGAGCCAGATGTTGAGGGCTGTCCTGAGGCCTTGTGCTGTTAGGTGAACCTCTCAGGCTCCCTTTCAATGTCCAGGCGACTTTTATCACCATAAGCACATGGTGGTACCTCGGTACCTGTGGCGGAAGGTGGTGGTGTTTGAGTGACTGTGACTCTCTCTCTTGCTGGCTCTTCAAGTGTGGACGGTGGTGTGGTTTGAGCATCCCATTGCATCCGGGTATTTGTACCAAAATGTTGGTTTATTTATCTCTGTAAAGCACTGGGGTTAAGTTTGCTTTTTAAACATACTATATAAGTACTGTAAATGGGAGTTGACAATAACAATAAGTTTCCTTTGGCCTAAAATGACCCCACACTTGTAAAACAACACCACTCCAAGTAAAGACTCAAGGAAATTATTCCTTTAATTGCATTCAACAATCCGACATGATATCATAAGATCCATTAGTTGAAGATTTTTAGTAGAAATATGTTTAGGTTGGGCCTGTGTGAAACAGAAAATACTCTAGTTTTCAATGCAGAGCAAATCAAATGCAAACACACAGTCAAAGATGATTGGCATGGATGTTATTCTAGTAGAGAACATCAACACCTGCTAAACGCAATCAGCTCCTTACCTGTGAGCCATTTGTCTTCAGCGTCATGTTTCATGTTCCATCACCTTTCCTCTCATCTCTGTGTGCAAAACATACAAACAGAATGTATCTGTATTAGTTGCACGGGAACAAATGCATAAGCAGAGGACTCACTAAATAAACTAATATGTATTCTGTAACAAGTGTAGATGCTTCATCAACAATGTAAGCAAATGCGATGAACTTGGCAAACCAACAAAAATAAACAGCTGCCAGTTCTTTTTATTGTGCCCGAGGCTGCAGACTAATAGACAAGAATCACCGGATGCACGTGTCGACTAATGGTGAAAAGATGTTAAAGCAGCTGTAAAGTCTTTGAGCACCTTAATCTCTGTTCTTTGTGCAAAACAAGACGATACACAATGAGTAATGGATCTTCTTTTGTTTATCCTTTTGGTAATCGGAATGGGAGGGTTTTATCGGTGGCGTTCACTTTCAGAAATGCATCAACATCCGTAGCGGGCTTTGAGATTTCGGCTCTTGGCTGGTGTCGAGCTGGCGGCGGTCTTGTTATGATAATGGAGAGCGATTCTGGCGAGGCCTGCAGGAACGTCTCTGGCATACATACAAGAGTTTCACCACACTGTTCGTGTCACGGGAGTTGGTTTTAAGCAAAGACGGAGAATAGTTAAAAAGAGGAAATTATATTTACAACAATTTGATCGTCAGCATTTTAGTCTTGGGTAGTTTTGTAATATCCCCACTAATAAAGAAACTGGTCAATATGTCTCTTTTTTTTGCATTAAGGATGGCACAGCAATTGTTACCTCACCAACCATTTTTCTTCAAGGAGTGAGGAGTGATAACTTACAGACTTTTGGATAACGTGAAATACGTACGGACACTGTCCTGACTGATGTCTCTGGTGGCGGAGTGACGTCCTCGGTCCTCGGGCAACAGATTCTCGTCCCTTCTGTTCGGGAAAGAACCAGCCCACGTAGAAAAAGCTTTTTTGCAAAAAATCAAAGGGGGGGGGGGGGGGGGGGTGATGTGTGTTACAGTACTGCAGGTTAGTCTAGTAATTGTACAATACAAGTTCACATCGGCAGAACTTCAGCACTGTATGATTCCAGCATCATTGTGGAAAATAACTCACCACCCACAACAAGCTATTCATATTATTTTGTTTACAATGACAATTTGAAAACCACTGATATAATTAGAAGCTGCTACAAAATTGGAAATTACTTTATACAGTTTTGATGAAAGCTATTTTATTAAAACTGCTGCTTTTACAAAAGTAAGTAGTGATATATTTTATTTCCCCAGCTCTGAATAACTGCAAAACCTTGAGACTGTAAAATGTTCGTCTGGGACTAACTATTGACTCATCTGTTTGATCCTGGTTAAGTATTACTACAGTACAGCCTGCTGCAACAAGGAAATGCTCTACATGTGCATTCATGTACTCATTTCTTTTAACAATGATATTATAACACTATTTCGGTGTTGAAAATAAATGACTTGAATGTTGTATTGCCTACCTCAATTAATCATATTAACATGCGTTGCACTTGCAGTTGTGACTAGAGTGATTACATTTGGTGGGTGTTTTGCTAAAAAAATCAACACATTTGCTACATTATTTACATATAATTTGAGGAAAGATAAATGCAAGTCATGACATGTTTCAGCCTTACAGCAGGGTGTATCTTCAAACACTTAAGCACCAATAAAAAAAACCTATTGGTGCTGCTTCTCGCTCCTCTGGGTCAGCTTTGTTCATAAATCTTGTTATGCATTAACAGCACAAGTGTGCAATTACGGTTCCATGCCAAGAATACATTTTCAAAAAGAATTGCACCTTTGGAAAAATGTCAGAAGAAGAGCATGAATTATAAATGGGCCAGCAGGTATCTGTCTACAGGGATGGTGCAAAATACCCACAAATGTGATTTATTGCAGAAACGGCAAAAGGAAAAATAAGTGGTGCGAATAAGAAACAATTACAGACTTTTTTTTGCCAGAAAGAGGATGTAATAATAGATACAGTGTATGTTATTTACATTTAATAAATTAGTTCTACAGTTTGGTTTTCCATGTAATGTAGGTGGAATTAACATAACTAGCCACATTGCATTCTGGAGTTAGTCCCCTCTTTGCATTTCTACCGATAAGATGATTAATTACTTTGAATCACTCCGTTTTTAGTAATATTTCATTTTTAATTATCTTGTTTCAATTATTTTAATTGCATATCTGTGTTTTATTGTGAGATGTCAGACCTATACAAGCTGGGCACTGTAGCATTTCTAGTTGAGGTAAATGAGCTTTAATGGTGGATTCATGATAACGTGCAGCGAGATGGAGATTATTATATTTCCATCCTTTGACATTGTGCACACAGTAAAACACAAGAGAATAATACTCTTAATCACAAAACATAAATGGACAATTTCAACTGTAAAGTATAATTTAGAACCCTCTCACTCATTAACACAGGAAAATGAAATCAATCATGGAGGCTTAAGGAGCTAAACCTGCCTGCATTTAAATGCTAAAAGTAAATCATCTCGATAAAATTGAGCACAAGTTGGCTGCAGTGAATATTTCCACTCACCTGTTATATTTGTCTCTGCTTTGACCAAAATCACACTCACAGTGTGTTTCTTTAACTATAGAGAAAAACAAAACAGTACGATTAGGAATATGTCACTTCTACGTATCACCAACAACAGACAGGTAGAGACACACAGACTGCATGCAGCGCAATGTGCAATTTACACAACGCAGAGCTGCGTTACATCACCGTGAAAAAAGTAAACCAATTCAAGTTGTCATAAATAACATTTTACGAATGTTCTCTGATGTTTAGTTTATCGGACATTATTTTAGCGTCTTTTATTGTTATTTATTTTAACACAGTTTAGCTGTATTCCGTCTCAATTATTTATTTAGTGATATGAGTTTTTTTATTCGGGGTTAAAAGGGCAGGTTTACTTTTTTTTAAGTGGCAGTTAGCATTTTCTAATTAAATGATTATATTTATTATTATTGTTAGGATTACCTTCTTAGTGTTTAGCCTTCCTTTCAGTCCCGTGATCTACACTCTTAATGAGAGCCAGGCTCCAGGTGGACTAATCACAAAAGAGAATTAGAACCACTACAACGGACTTGATGTTTAAAGCACGGAAAATTACAGTGCATGTAAAACTTATGAGAGAAAGGCAAGAAGAGGTTAGCAGAGACATCCATGAGTCGCAGATACTAGACACAGCACAACGAGTGCATACTACCAGCGGGTGAACACGTGCATCCTGCGTGGCCCATTGTGCTTTTCACCAACGCTGAGCATAATATTCTGATAATATAGGAGGACGTCTTACCTCTTTTAACTCCATATCATTCTCACAGTCAATCAGTGTCTGTTTAATGATGTCAAATGCCACAGAATGGATTATGGAGAGACATTTATTAGTTCCCAAATAAGAAAGTGGTCAGAGTCAAGGACAATTGGGCAGGAATAACAGTTATTTAACAAATTAGTCATTTGGGACAGGTTTATGGGCTCTTTATGAAACGAGTTAGCAGTTACCTGAAAGCAGATGAAAAACAATAACAATTTGTAGCTCCATCGCCTCCTATTTAGAGAGTCTTACACACTGTGTTGAGGTTTATGTTATTTTTATTAAATGCTTTATGTACAAATACAGGTTACACACAGGACAAAGCACGCATTAGAAATGACACACTGTACATTAATGACTGCTTTCAAACCAAACAAAAGAGTTGTGTTTTGCACGATAATGATCTCACATCTCATAGAATTTAAAGTCACAACTGAGGCTTTATTTGGTGGTATCAACCCTGTTTTACAATGAAATCACCAGAGGTTTATATGACAATTAGTTATGGGGAAAACTTAAAGTTTGATTTAGATTTCTGAACATTAAAGATATATATATAAGAAACTTTCAGGTCATTTAGTCACTTTGCATTCATTTCTGGAAACGGTTCAGTTTCCATCCGTTTTGTTCAATGCACTGTGAGGTTCTCATCATCATTCTTTTTTTTCTTTCAAATCCTGCAAAAAATTAAAGCCGCAACTAGAAAAAGTTTTTATCTGGAGAAGTTATGTTTTCACTAGAAGTTATTAGTCTGGACAAGAGCGACTTGAACCAGACTGAGCCCACAGCCAGACCGACACAACTGTGGAGAAAGGTGATGGAGGTTGAAATAATCCTCTTAAATTTGAAGTTACATTTTCCCTGCAGCTCTTTCTGGTTAAAGTCTCTTTCTTGCCACAAAAGGCTGAGCTGGGTTTGTACGCTATTTAACTATGAAAAGAGGTTCTACTTGCAGGAGAGCAATTAAAGGTATTTGTTAAACTGCATGGGCAACTAAAATGACTTTTGTGTCTTGTTCTTGTCTGCCGTGGGACGTCTCACAGTGTCACAACAAAATCAGGCTGATAACTTTGAGTCCATGTTGTGTGCTGCAACATTAGGATTCTAATCTGAGCATCTGGGATGGCAAAAGTATTGTACAGCTGTTGGCTAATAAACCTTGATAATCACTGCATTAAAGGCAATGACATGAACGTAATTTGTCAACATCCAAGTCGTAAGTTGGAAAACAAAATCTGCAGTTTAATGTCGAAAACAAAAAGATTATGGTAATTTTTGGGGATGAACGTGGGTGCAATGAGAGAAATCAAATAATCAGTGCACGGATGAATATGGATGAATGTCTCTTTTCATTTCTGATCTAAAATTGAGATAATCGAGAAAGAACCGAATGAATAAATAATTGGTTACATTTTTTATTTATTTATTTGGGCTTTATGGGGGTTCATTTTTATTTCAATTTCTACAGGAGTCAAACAGAAAAAGCAGACGTTACAACATTTTATGAGGAGTTAAAAAATATATTTAGAAAAAGTTTAAAATTGGAGGTCACATATCTGGAGCACCTTCAGTATCTACCATAGGGATGTTTTCTGTAGCCCCCTCTTGTCAGCCGTAAAACTGGAGCTTTGGGGCTGGGACGGGTGGTCGCCCACTCCTCCTCTGCAAAGACAGTTAAACACACATTGTGGAAATCACAAAGTTAAGCCGTGGAGCTCGGCTATCGTTTACTTTCCTCTCACAACCCGTTTAGCCAAAGACAAGAAAATTCAAGCGAGGAAATTTGATCCCGGCCATAATAGAGGCTTCTCGCCACAGAAAATTAATTCCACAAGCACTTTGCCCTCTGGATTTTTGCTGGGATCTGACTCTCAGCAGCTCCTTCCGTTGGAGCCAAATGACATGCAAGCGGCCACCTCTGCTGCACGGCACATTGCTCTGCTTCCAGATAAGAAAGTGTTTACGGAGCAGAAAATCAAATCATTGCCTCCTTGGTTTTCTGCATCGGTCCAACCTCAACACCCTGGTGCACAATTCATTGTGCTGAAAATGAATGGACCCGTGGCGACCAGCTTATCGCCGCTGTTGTGAGAGACATCCTCGTGAATCCGCTTTTGGTAATTTCTTCAAATTGTTGCTTAAATTCCATTATTAGCCGTTTGAGTGCGTTTGAATACTCTTCTGCTTATCTGACCGCGCGTTGTGCGCACAGCAGAGGTTACTAATCCAATGGCAACAGCTTTTCTGGAGTGAGCGCGGGAGAGCACGCGTCCAAAATGCAAAACACGCCACCTTTACAACAGGCGTCGGTTGGCCCCCTGAGCTTCCAGAGGCACATTTACTGTTGGCGTCAAACGCAGCCTACAGCCAGGAAGGTAGGAGGGGTGATACATGCAGGATCGGCCCCCCCCTGGGTAACGGTGATTTGAAGTGGGCTCGAACCACAAGGCGTTTTCCTTTGTTTCTCTGCACAACGTCCATAAAATATCAGTGGTGCCCCGTCAGGAGCGTTGGGAGGTGGATTGTACTCTCGTCGGGAATGAATTTAAATAAGGTCCAAGGAGGTTTCTTGTGAAGTCTCTTTTGAAGATCATAGATTGTGTCTTCTTATTTGAGTAATTACATTTAACACTATTAAAGTCCTGTTAATGTCGCTATTGTTAATTGTTACTGGCTTAATGTTTGGACAAGGGTAGCACTGTGAAACGTGTAGTTGTTATCATACACTCAATCAGTTGCAGATGTTGTTTTATGGATTTCAAATAGCATATTATCTGATCAATTGTTGGCCTGTAATGTCAGAAAAAGTGCAAAACATTGACGGGCGACTCGTTAAAAGAGTGTGACTTGTTGAAGTTGCGCTTTGTAGAAAATGAGCCGTACTTACCATAGTTGTTGTAGGATTCATCACTGTTCCCGTGTCCATACTCGTAATATTCTGAAATGCTGAAAAGACAGAGCGCTAAGTTCAGGAAAAATTATGTTTTGTAAAATAAGTAAAGAGAGTGAAATGTTTTATTTAGGTAAATTGTAATAAAAGTATTCCTAACGGCATTATTCTAAATTTTCTTTATCAGCTACAAATAGACTTTAAAAACAAGGTCACATATCAAAGACAAATAAAGCTGATTTATTTCCAAAAGCTGCTGTCTCTTTTCATGTGTGGATAAATGCACAGTCGGTGCTCCAATGAGCATTTACAGCAGCAGGAAGTTGTAAGTGGGATTAACTACAGTGCTCGTGTTGCTGACCGCTGTGTTTTTAATAGTTTCTGGATGATGTGCAGCTCTACGGCGCAGAGGACCAAGATACATCAGGTATTAAATCAACAGATATTCATTGTTTCATTGGTTTTGGTCTTTGTGAGTAGTTGAAAGAAAGAAACATAAATATCCTCAGGCCTCGCCTTCATCAAATCAAAGATATCATTTTCTAATTTATGGTTCAGATTCAATCTTCTGTGTAAACAAAGTAAGTCAAGCGGAGGTCTTAATCTCTTATTAATGAACATATGTCGTGCTGAAATGTACAGCTGGTCACAGTCGACCTTTCGCAGGTTGTAGTGTAAGTACCTGTCGACAGATGGTGATTGGGAAAAAAACATGCGTTTTCTTTTCCCAGTGTGTGTGTGTGTGTGTGTGTGTGTGAACATCACCTCTTTGACTGATTGCTGTAGTTATCCTCATATGCTTCGTAGCTCTCGTCATCATATTCCCCACCATAGCCGTCGTCGTAGCCCTGCGAGAAAACCCCCAGTTAGCCTCCTCATCTCTATCCAGCCTAACTGGTCGGAGAAATATGAAAACGATCAATACTCAGCCCCTCAGGCAAAGCCCATTACTTTGTGCCAATAATAAGAGAGGAAACAGGGGGGAAAAAATCATGTCCAACAGGGATTATTGATTAAGGCTTGCAGGAGAGCATCTCTGACTAGTGGAGCCTAATAGACACTTTCTGAGTCTCAAACCACAATGTGGCTCTCGTTGATGAGCAGCTACTCAAAGAACACGCACAAAAAGGCCAGCGAGTAACTGCAGCCATGTTCAATACCAATAGAAATGGCAACACAGCGTGCAATAAACAGGCAAAGACTTTCTAAATGTGTGCACCCATGCTTTGTAAAATGTCTCTCCTCCAACAATGCCTCCTGTATCCATGTGTTGTTACCACATCTGTGCAGATGTGAACGATCAAACACCCATACAAAGGGTATTACGCTTCAGTTTGTATACCTCATAGACACGCAGCACTGTTCTCTCCCAACACAGAGGAAAAATCCTGTCGCAAATCAGTGATGCAGAAGAGACGGCAGCGTGTGGAGTGTAAATCCTCTCGCAGATAACCGCGTGGCCTCACACCCAGTAATCCGGTTAATGAGTCTTTACATCTACGGAGGACTCAATCAAGTTATGCAGGTGACCTGGTTTTGGCACAAGCAGAGTTTTAATTGTTCCATGTAAACAGCTCACTCGCTTCTCTTCTGTTTCTTAGCCTTACATTTTCAGTTGATTTACACCTAAAGCCTCTAAACAGTCAAATATCCTTTGACTGTGCTGCTGCCAAAACCCAGATCAGGAGGGGAGTTGATATGCTTTCAGTTATGACTCTGCACTCACAGCCATTAGGTGTGTGAGCAGGAGAAAGTGGTTTGGGGTATTTTTGTTTTTGAAAAAAATCCTGTTTTTGTTTATTTATAGTTTGTATAGACCTGAAAATATCTTTGAACTGAATATATATTGAAAATAATTCAATAGAGGATACATGCTCCTTGTACAGATGATGATGATGACCTATTCATCATCAGGTCTCTAACAAGGAAACAATAAAAAGTTTGTACAATAATAAATCTGCAATTGACAATTACATACTGCTACCAGCACAATAAGCACTTATAGGTCAACAGATGTAAATAAATGCCTCTGACTTCATTCGGTCTGCACGATTTCTTAAACCGAGCCTTCGCTCTAGTGTGCACGGATCTGTCTGAAGTGAGTACTCACAGTATTCTGATAAACCGTTTATTCATGATAGCGGGGATAATCCATCTCGGCGGACCAAAGGCGCTCGTAAACAGCTTAGCATGAATAACACCTCAACTGGAGCGAGGCCAAAGTGGTTGTATTGTCTGCTCTTGTAATTGTTCCTCATTGAAAGATATTTAGTGGAATTCAAAGTGTGTACGTTTTTCTTTTTCATCCTGATCTAATCTCTCTTAATCCTCTTCCAAACTCGCAATTTCAAATTAAGCTCCGCCCTGATGCATAAACATTTTGCATTTTGTTTAGAGATTGAATACGTTTTAAACCAACGGGCCGACATTTGTTAAAAATGTCAGTCCGTCTGGATTCTGCCAGACGTGGTATCAACAGCGGACGGACACGTCACTCTGAAGGACACAAAGGAATTTCCGTTCGAGGCGTTTGACACTCTCTCTTCTTTCGGGTGATGCTAATTTCGACTCCTGTGTGGCTTTATTTGTGCGAACATGAATTTGAGTAAATTGAAGTTGGGGATTATGTCAGGGATTAAGTTGTTCAGGGAATCCAATACTTCTCGTTTTTCTCGCAAGAGTCTTTCACTACAAGAGAAGAATCGGGGACGTGGTGTCTCTCAGTAATTGACTGTTTTGTCAGCGATCCCAAATGAAAAATCGCTCCACGCCGGACCGTAAATGTAAAGCAATCGGCTTGGTTCATTTCAGAACCAAATTAATATTCTAAAAACAACCCTTTCAATCATGTAAAGAATTACAGGAATAAAAAGTTATGTCAAACACGAGTTCTTAAATCAGTTTTATCAAAATGTCTTCTGAAGCGACTGGAGCATTTCTTTAGGTTTTAATGTTATCGTGGAGGATAAAAGATACAAGAAAAACCCCATTCAGGAAGAGCACGTCAAAAACAGGCAGGAGTCTTCAACCTACCAGCACATTTTAGTAATTTATTTATTTAGTACGGATAGTATCGTGAGGTGCTTGCCGATACAAAGTCCTAAGTGCATTACTTTATTAGCAGCATTTGGGTTTTGCATCCAATTCTTGGTTCATTATATTTCAGATGAACTATTGTTTATATGTGTAGATGGATCCCCATGGCAACCAAACATCTGCTGAGGAAGACAATGCAATTTACTTGTTAATTTATAACAGTAACGGCAGTACAGATAAGCAATGATAAGCAAAGCAGTCAGACCCAAGTTCTTTATGCCGCAACTAATATTCAGCTTCATTTCAAAGAAAGTAAAAAACACAACTTGAACACACTCTGATTAATCTCTCTGCTGGCCCGAGTATGACTCACTACACATGCTGTATTCACAGACAACAAGGTGCTATGCATAAATTGTAAGGCTACTAATTAATGAGGCTCAATTCTTTTGAGTTTGACACTCATCTTTAAAAACAATTAACACCGGCCTTTTTTAACGAGAGGCAGGAAATAAATCAAATGTTAACATAAGGGTGGGCATTTCTCGCTCGGTGTAATTAGGACAGCGAGGCCCTAAAGGCCCCGAGCATTGTGCTTCTTTATCAATTGACAACCTGTATGTCCCCCGACAGTGACTGATCTTCTCAGGGAGCTGCCTGTGAATTCCTCTCACACAGCAGAATGGGAAGGAAAATGAGATTTGCAGCCTTTTGTCTCAGTGAATAGATGCTGCTCTTCACTGCTTACCTGCAAATCCAATCGGTCCGAGCCTTTGGTTGTCGGATGCACACGTGTGAACTTACTTTTAAATATATTTTTGTTTAAATTTTTAGAAAAGGACATCTGTAATAATTAAGATTGATCTAATTTTCTTTCAAGAATAGGGAATCAAACAATAAAATGTGGTTTATATTAGCTCAACAGATGCTCAAGGAAAAAATCGACCTACTTTTAGTCGTCAGATGTCAAGTATTCTTGGTGTGCTTCTTCCCTCTCATCGGGCTTCAGCCCGTGATGATACGTCTGCCACTATGATGCATTCTACCGAGTTTTTCTTCCATTGAATAATCGTGTGTGTCATGCATCTATTTTAATAAACAGGAGAGTTCAGCTTGGACAATTTCCAGCATTAATCTAACAAATGGGAGCTCAGCAGTGTAGCTGAACCCATTGTTATAAAGCAATTACAGCAGACGTGCATAAAGATGGACTGAGAAACCTTCAAGAAATATACAGAATCTTACGCATCTTTTGCATTCATGAAATAGATGATATTGGTGCCCCCTCACCCCCCCCCCCCCCACCCTCCCCATTCCGAAAGGGTGTCCTTTTTTCCCCCCACAGTAGATAGATTAGATTTCTTTTCTTCAAAGCCTCTCAAAGCTCTGTGTTTGATCACATTATAGCATTTCTCGCACTCCAGAGCTCAGGTTTGAAAACCTAGCTATGCGGTTACATTTTTTCCAGCACGTTGTACAATTCATGGTCTGCTGTCAGAGAGAGAATCCTGCATCGGCCTCCAGATTCCCCTCTTCTATCATCTGCTCCGGCATTAAAAGATAAGATTTGATCCAGATGGGGTTTGATCTTTAACATTAAACTGAGGCCATGATCCTAGTTCACACATCATGCCGTCAATCCCATCTTTATTCTCTCCATCCCTTTGCAGAGGAACTTACACTGATTACAGTGAAATGTCTCACCGCTGCTCAGAAGGAACCAGTATGCTTTCACTTTCAGAGGTGTGAGACATTAACGTTTGTTCTGCCGTAGATACAGTTTACGAATGAGGTCTCTGGGCGAGGTTTGTTAGCTGCAGGTTTGGGGCACGGCCCCAGCTAATTGATGCATTTTGTACTCAATGATATTGATTATATCGCTGAATCATCCGAGTCGTACTACGAAGCTCAATATGGCAAAGAGGATTAAGATAAATCAGGCTTTGGCTGCACAGACAAAACTTAGTATTTATTTACTGTTTGTTTTTGTTTTTTAATGGGATTTGTGGACAACAATACACAATAAAATACATACAGCCTTGTCTTTTAACATTGTTAAAACAAAAGGGTCAGGAGATTTGTAGTTGAATTCCTCCAGAGCATTATGTCAAAACACTGCTTCAACCCCTCAGTGGAGTCGAATCAAATGGTGCACGCATGTAAACGTGGGCAGTTAGTTATCTGTAAGTATACGTTCATTTATTTTTTCACTTGAAAGTGGGAAACCCACTAAATGTCTTAATTACATGAGATGCCAGGAATTAAGACACCGTCTTTACCATGTTTTTAAAGGATATTTTGTTACATCCCAGAAAATACCAGTCATTTCTGTGATGTATATTGTTATCAAGATAAGAAAGACCTCTATTGCCCAAACCTGCCGCAGACCTTTCTTTCAAGTCCCGTGTTAACAGGAATGGACCAGTCCAATAGACGGCAATTTGGAAAACATGCTGCCTTTTGTCATGACTGAGTGAGGCATAAAAATGATACATGACCACTAACAGCTTCCTCATGCTTTCTATTCAAGTTTTAATCGATACTAGCCCCTATTAAATATATTGACATTCCCATTGCATCACTATTATGACAAAGTCCATCAATCAACTGTCTCTGGCGAAATCGACAGGTACATGATAACAAGGTGCTCTACAGTGCTTTTTTATCTTCAGAAAAATACAGGTTGTATTAACAAAGGGAAATGTATTGCTGCTGATGCATTGTTGTGTGTCAGCGGATTGTACAGCATCTTGTAAGCTCGATGATTGAAAAAGCAAACAAACCAGGGCTTTTTGTACAAAGAGGTCGCGCTACATTCTGGAAACATTCTTGAAGAAAATTGTGTAATGTAGAAGGAAAAAAAAAATTGCAAAGTGAGATACGAGGAAAGAAAATGTTCAGGACAAAGTCATCTTTCCATAATCCCCTAGTCTCTGAGCTCCCATCCTTCTTTCCAACCTCCAATTACAAAGAGAAGAAATGCCTCGCTTTTTATTCCTCAGAAATATACAGGCTCTACATCAGAACTCAATTTGGTTTGGTAATGAGACTGCGCTTGTGCATTTCCCCATGCAGACATCCCAATCTTCAATTGCCAGCACACATGGGGGCTTTGCTTAGCAGGAAGGCTCTGAGGAAATAGGCTGGTAAAGGCGTCGGATGAAACTTAGAGCTCACCATGTGTAGTCTTTTCAAAATGACCTTGAGATTTATTTTCAAGATCTAAGGGCCAGCACACTTTTAGCCTCTGGCATTTCTTTGCACTGATCCCAATGTTATTTCAAGTGATGGTACCATAGATTTTATAGACCACTGGTCAAGCTATTCCCCCCCAAAAAGAATATTCTCTTTTTGCATGGGGCAGCAATTCACAATACAAGTTTATGCGTGATTATGTTTAGAAAATATTATTTACAATATTTTTCTCATGATTTAACAAACTATAAAACCCTGTTCACTTTCCTGCAGTTGCCACCTTTCAGCCAGCCGTTGTATTTCACCACAGAAGGAACATCTACTAGTTTCAAGTAGGCGCTGGTTTAAGAATTCATTTCAGGCACTGACATCTGCTGCAACCAAATACACAGAAACATTGCTTATCATTTAATCTATCTAACTAGGTGAAATAAATAGTAGACGTTGAAATAATATGCTAGGAAATGTGCAATTAGTTTGCAAGGATAATTTTGCAAAACTCAAGATTCACACACAGAATTTACAAATAAGAGCTATGGAAATATTTGTCGGGGCATATGGACCCGAAAACTGGCATCTCAGCCTCAATAGAGAGAAATCTAAACAAAAAGCTTCACTTCCAGCTTTTTAAAGACAACCAAAGCCAGCTGTCCCACAGCACATCACGGCTAAATGGAAATATTTTAACTGCATTATACATCTGCAAATCTGCGCAGCAACATATATCTGATTCTGTTGTTCTTGTCTTAGACATGAAGGGTTGCCATACAAAGTATGTCTTAGGTTTAAATAGGTATAGATATAATTATCCTCACATGCATTTACAATAGATTCCATAATAACTTTTCGACAAAAGATAAGTATGATACATTCTCATCACCTTTTTAAATCCGATGTAAGATTTGACCGCATCTAGCGCTGTGGTTGCGGCCGTCGGCTACGCTTGTGGTCTATGACGACCATGTGAACAATTCTTTAGTTGCAAAAGATGTTCGACGGAGGTACCAAGGGTTTTGTACTCTGCAGCTGATGTTACCATTGTTTTAGAATTGTGTTGGAGAACTACAATGGTCTTCAGGAAATGCAAATACATGAGAGGCCCCCTGTAGAGCAAGTGTTTGGTTTGTCCCTTCTGGGCTGCTGTAGAAACGGTGTAACATGGTGGAGTCTGTGAACAAGATCTACTGTTTATGTGCATGTAAAGAGCTCCTCTTAATTAAACCAATTCAATCACAATGGCTTTCAGTTTTAGGTTATTATGCACTAATAAAAAATAGTAATGATTATTATATTACATTTTGGCTGATAAGTTCAAGTAAATTCTACACTAGCCTTTTAAGTCAGCAAGGTGATTTTAATATTACGCTGATATAAATATAAATCAAGGGCGGCTTGAATGCTAAATTATTATAAAAAATTTGGTATGCTTTAAAACTGATTAAAAAAAACATTTTTTCCAACCCATGTCCCTGAATGCCCTACGTGGCCATGCAAAGCAAGACCCCTCCAGACGTTTTTGTAACACAGAGCACATGTAACCGCAGTCAAATTCCATGTACTGAATGCATAACGGAGATGAATATGGATATATAGCAATTAAAGCGAATAATGTTAATTCTGATTCTGATCACATGAAACGGGATTAAACAAGTGTGATTCACACACAGTTCAATAAAGATCATTGTCAGCTGTACTTTTCACTGTGTACAAAGAGGATTGGACTCACATAGTCGTCGTATGATTCGTGTGTGACAGCTAACAGCAGGGGCCTGTATGCTGCATTCCCTGCTGCCCCCCTGGTTCTCGGTGCTTGCCCCTCCCTTGTTAAAACAGAGGTGGGAAGCTTGCTGTGTGTCGCTGCCGGCGTCCCCCGAGGGGCGGCGGCGGCGGCCGCACTCCTTCCTGTGCCTCTGTGGCCGCTGGTAAAACAAACAAGCATACAAACATTCCATTAATTTTCCCTCAGAATTGTGCCGCAAACATTTCAAGCTGCAGTGATTTCCGAGAAAAATGAGTTGAGACAATAATAAATCTGTTGAATCCCTCTTGTGCAGGCTGCCTCAGTCGGAGCTTGTCATTGGGTGAGACACGAGATAAGCATACCTCTGCGGGCACCGAGGTAGATCTGGTAATGATAAGAGGGCTCAACAGTGTCACTGTGTGTCTTTGTCAGCTCTGCAAACATGCCTGTGGGACCGTGTGCAGTGTGCGTCTTTCAACAACACAATGGGGCAGTGCAGAGCGCGTCTTCGTCAAAAATCACACCTCCATCTTGCTGAAGCTGCAGACTGTGGGGCAGTGGCCAAAGGACACGGGCATGCTTGAAGGAAGCTAAGGTGCATTGTTTCTTTTCTGGAGGAGTGACTGTCCAGCTGCAGAACCACACCAACACCACGGGGGTTTGAAGGGCGGATTTAGCGTCGCAAAGCCGTCTATTGTCTGCTAACTTTCACCAGCAGCGTGATGAAGGTGGGCTCGGATACCCTTTCCTCCTCCAGCACCATCCTTCACTAGGTACCGGCCCGTTGTCATCCAAAAATACAGAGTCTCAAAGGAGAATTACTGGCGCATATTTTTCATGGAGATTTACAATAATCGCTTATCGTCGCACCATAAGGGGAAAATCTAGGTAGAAAAGTGGTGGTGGTGACTTACAAATGTGAGCGTCCCGTGTTACTGAACGGATTTAGCTGCTTCCTGAATTAGGCCAGGCTGTCATAGCAAACTGTACTTGCATGGTTGCTCCTCGGGGACTGCTGCGTCTCAGGTAGATTAGAGACAATTTGCTCTAGAAACAAACTTAAAAGGCGGCTAGATGAGGCCCACGTTTCACACAAGCCGCTGCCTGCTTGGCAAACCTTATCAAATAGCCTTTAAAGGTACGTTTTTTTCTGTAGCTGGTCGTACGTCGTGAAATCCCCTTGGGCTACATACAGTACACATAGCTCAAGGGAATATGCAAATGCAGTATATGGAGATCAAACAATGCTTGAGTTATGAGGAAGACATAACTGGGGGAAAAAATAACTGAAGGGCACATACTGTTTAAAGCTATTAGCGACAACGTGAGGCGGTAGCGAGCGATAACACGTTTAAATCAAATATTTAGACATTTGCCAATAAACCAATTAATCAGAAATTGATGGTGAAGGTGGCTACACGGTATAATCAAACCATAGTTTTGTCCTTCACAACAATGCCTTCCAAAAGTGTGTTTAGAATGTGTCATATCACTTTGGCAGATTTTGCACAACTGATTTAAAGGAGCATTGCTCAACTTGTGTATGACAGTGTAACCTGTGTATCATAGTACAACCTGTGTATGACAGTACAACCTGTGTATGACAGTACAACTTGTGTATGATAGTACAACCTGTGTATGACAGTACAACAGTACCCTGATTATTGTATTAGCCATATGGTCCTTCTCTTTTGAACGGTGTCTAGCACTTTACCCGGTGGGGGCTGTGGTCGCTGGTCGTACGCTCCTCGCCTGTGCGCTCCTCCCTCTGCCCGACTCGTCGGAGCCGTTGAGCAACGAGAGCTCTCTCAGTTGCTCCTGCCTGATCTCGTCGTTGTAGTCCTGTGGGAAACGAAATACAGCGAGTCTCAAAAACAGGGCGATTGTCTCCCGAGAGCAACAGATGCTCGCAACAGCAGCAAACGTCACGTAATCAAAGGGATGTTGACGCACGCAGCCACCACACGGCATTTCTGAGGGTTGAATACTCGATGAGCAAATCTGTCTTTGTGTGTATGTCTGGATACTTAATGCAGGGCGGTGATTCGTGGGGGGGAAACATTTTTTTCCTGAAAAAGAGATGGATTTATTGAAAGCTGCAACATTGTATGATTTAATAAAAATGGTAAAAGATATTTGCCTTCCGAATGAGTGGAAGACCAGAACAGAATCAGATTTACTAATATATTCAATAACAAGGACATAAAAGGGAAATTCAAATTAAAAAATAACCCACTTAAAAATAAAGTCGGCGCACAGCCGCCAGTTGACAGTTTCAACAACTTTGGGAACATTGTTGTCGTGTGATTCTAAATCATTTTCCCTTAAACGCTGTCAAACATTATAGGGACCATTTTGCAGCAGATATGGGAGTGCACAAAGCAATAATCATTATCTTGTCATTGTTGACAGATAAACAGTATTATTTTCTGGAAACACATGAATGTAATACCTGCGGCAATATATATATATATATATATATATATATATATTTCTTTTTTACATATAATGGCAACAAAATGACGGAGGGAGCAACCAACCCTCAGTGACAGCCACATGTTGTGACTGTGTGCCTGTGTGTATGGTACTGAAAAGGGACCGAGGAAGCCTCCGTCAGATAATTGAAGATATATAGTGGTCTCTATAGACAAAGTAGACAAAGAATACGACTTAGACCCAGTGTGCAATAATTTTTTTCCAGAAATGTGAGACAGCCCAGGAGTTAAAAACAGCTGCTCTACAGCATTTTACCAACGTAAGAGTGAATGACGTATTTGGGAGTGTGCAATTTGACCAGTAAATTAACTGCACCCAAATTTGTGAGATATAGTTCTGTGTGGCGTGTATTGATAAGTGAAGAACAGACCATTAATGGTCTGCAGGCTCTGTTCAAGGGAGATTGCAGCCCACACGTAGACTATAATCTAAGGTTCTGGTGAATTGTTTCACCCTTTGTTTTCTTTATCATGTTCTCTTCATGCTACACAGTGTTTTTACAATCTAGGCCCACCTACACCACACCAAATCATGAGGATATCACAGCAGTGTTTGCCCAATGTGGGATTTGCATGTTTGTCACGGAATGTAATCAGATCTTTGGCAAAAGCTGATCCTCGGAATTTAATTAGTATTTTTGACTGTCAGTCGTAAACCCGTATTTTCATACACCTTGCTCATGCTGCACCAAACTTCAGCATAATAGTACTTATTTTCTTTTTAATGAATATCTGTCATATAGAGACCATATGAGCAGCTTTTGTCACAGAAGAGCTCGAAGACTAAAATGATCATGTTAGATTTCAAAAACACTTGACACACTGTGCACATGCGCTTCTCTTCTTAATGAACTAATGGGGCCTAAAGCGCTCTGGTGTTTTGAAGGAGAGAGCCGGGGCTTTTAATCGGAAAGCCGCCTGCGGATCCAAAGCCAAACTGATCTGCCAGAGCTTGTAAAAGTTTACTGTTCACAGAGGCGTTAACATGAGACGATAGAGCGCCTGCTGAGGCTTCCCGGGTCACTGAGATTGACTCGGACCATGCGTTGTCTTGTACACACACAATGCCCTTCACAGAGCTACACTTGGAGTTGTGAGGGCCACCTCAGTCCCTCTTGTGTCTGCTTACACACCTTTCTGCTGGCTGTGTTGACTGATGACTGTGTTTCGTTTGGACTTGACATGTTATTGATAAGCATCTGTCAGGTGCAGAACCATTCAATGAAAGAACTGCTTTTACATCCAAAATACAACATGAAATTGAATTCAATATTTTTGAAAAGTCAATCTCAGTGGAAATATGATGGGGTTTTACAAAAAAACACCCCACCTCGGGCTTTTGGCTCTATGATTGGTGCATGTAAATCAGAGCAATAGCACATAACATAATTGAAAAAAAAAAAAAAAAACGTTAATTCCTACTTTGCCCAGCATATACTGTATTTCTAACCTCTAAAGAAGGTCCCAAAAACCATCACAGTACACCCTGTCCTGCATAACGACAAACCGACAGATGTTCTCATTCTCTCAAAGCACATCAGGGCAGTTGATCCAGGGGAACAGAAGCAGCTGTTTATCTGCATCTTGATCTGATGTTTGTCACATTTTCATCCGTCATCGGTGGTTAACGAACACAGAGAAGAATCAGTGCTACTGTTGAGGTCCTTATACAGGAAATATTGGTATAACAATACACCTGACGCAATAAAAGGAGGCAGCGACGGAGAAGCGGGTGGAGACAGAGGAGCGTGAAGCGTGACTCTGCGGTCGGTCGTCTTCAAGTATATGCCAAGAATTTGCCAAATAACACCTGTTGTGTACCAGAGCCATGCGTGTTGCTGCCTCTGTGCGGTCCGAGTCCCACGGGGCAACGGAGGAGACGAAACATATTCTTTCTCATGTCCAGCTCTATTAGTAAACCTAAATTGCACCTCCTTCATTACGCAGTAAAATTGGCCATGCATTGCTAAGAACGACCGCTCTCTCTGGATAAGATAATAATCCAGAGGGCTGTGCTTAAGTGCCTCTGCAACACCAGGTCAAACTTCCGAGTTGGTGCTCAGGCTCTTTCTTTAGCTTCATATGGATCAAATAGATTACATTGAATTCAAACACAAAACAGGCCGCTTCAATAGCTTGTCAATTTTGGGTTTAATTAATGCTACATACCTTGTTCCTCCCCACTGCCAAACTGCCAAAATGCACTTTGGCCCAAGAAGAAGGCCGCAAGCTCATCCAGCTGAGAGCAGAAGCTGCTCTCGTGCCTCTCGCTCTCCCCTTGTAGATACTGTAGTCCACTCATTACATTCCTGTTTGCATACGTAACAGCATTTCTGCAGTCAGATTTTGCGTGACACCATAGCGCAGGGCTCCCGCTCAGACAAGCAGTTTTTCATGTCAGAAGAAAATACAATTTTTGGGAGATTTGTTCAGAGACAGCAGAGAGGAGTAGAAACGAAGGGAAAGAAATGAGTGCACTAAAAGTCCTTCACCTCGGCTCACGTGCTACATACATTTGGCTTCAACCTGCATTGTAAGCCACTTAACTACACAAGGGACAGTAGTTGACACACAAGTGACATTGTGGGATCTACGCGTCTCTGTGATTCCGCCTGCTGCTTCCCTTGGACCTGAGTTTGGTTTCTGAAGCATAATGTCACACGAGGAGGAGTAGATTGGCCTCTGTAGCAGTGTTACTTTCCCTGACGGCCCGGCAGAGGAAAGCAGTAGGGAGGTTTGTCACAAATAATGCCGGATAATTTGCCTCGTGATGTCACGTTAGGAATCTATCGGACTTCACAGAGCTTCTTCTGGGGCCACAAAGGGAACTAAAACTTATTTATATGATTCACTAGTACTTCCCAAAACCAGTAAACATGTCTCCGATGTGTAGAATTGTTGGAGTTCCTTTCAAATTATTCTAATCAAATAGACAGATTTACATTCTTTTTGTCTTTTGGAAATATAAAAATGACAAGTTGAATAACGACAAGTTGGTAAAAACCAGGCCAATTATTTTCAACCCAACTGATCCCCGATATGAATTCACTGGAAATATCACACAGACAAACACAGTAACCATCTCAGTTCCTTCACAGTGAAGCAATTAACACAAGAAACACCAGGATGCGCTTGCCCCTCTGCACCAGCGACAGGAAACATCTGTCACTATGGAGGCTGACAGATGCCTGTTGTGTTTCACTACGTAACGTTTATTTGCAAATTCATGTTCCCAAGAGCAGCAAGCATGTGCTATCAAATAGAGGGTTTGGTCTTTATTTTTCTTTTAATGCGGGCATGGTATGAGCTGGATTTAGGATTTATTGAATGTCTTTATTCTCCCCTTTTTCGAACTCCACTTAATATTCTGGGGTTGCATTCAATGAAGTTAAATGTAAGATCTGATTAAACAGCACATTGTGACTCAATAGTGATTAACACAAATAATAATAACAACCCAGCATTGAAAATTTTAACAGTGCATCCTCGTCCACATTGAAGCATTCAAGCACTTGTTTATTTAGTCACACTGCATAACTCAAAAATAATGTATTACAGCCAATTCTGTACGCGCACTAACTAGAAAGCGTTGCTGCACTGTCATTAGAATAATTCATAGGCCCCAGTACCTTATCTTTTCTCAAGTTACAACACATAACTGAGGGTTGACACTCCACAATATTTGTAAAAAGTCTGCATGGAATAAAGCATGCTTGTAAGAACGTTGACTCGGTAAAGGAGAAAGCATTAAATCCATAATGCCTGCTTCTTCTAGCAGGCTCGTCACATTTGCAAAGCTTGATTAATATTTACAATTTGAACTCAGCAGGAGTTCACAACATGCACATTAATTATTACCATATTCCTCCGGGCTATAAGCACTGGGGTTTTTCCAGACTGCACTTTAATTGCTATAGATTATAATAATAGATTTTTTTTTTGGTAAAAGAGGGAATTCATTGTCAGGTTGTGGTTGTAAAACAAATACAAACTTGTGTTAACAAACCGTGGATTCTTAAACTCTGTGTGTCAGTAAGCCTGTTTGGTAAGTAGAATAAGACAGATGTTTATTTTACAACACAGAATGGAAAATTAGGTGGAAAAAATAATTCGAAGTGCTAAACTTACTGGAACTAGGAATTTTTTTATCTCCTCCAAGGCGTGACTCATGCGTGAATAGGCCTCACCAGGTGGAGCAAAGACTTCAATTAAAACGTGAAGATCATTACTCAGATGGGCGTATTTGGCCTCCCCGCTTTTCCTTAATTCTTCTTCCTGTGAAAAAAAGGGAACAAGGGAAAGATTTTAAGTGTAATCTAAAAAACGTGTTGCTTGATAATAGCGAGTACCACATTCCAAACTTGTTTGGATTAACATGTACTAGCTCTTGCATAATAAAGAGCCACCAGGTATTTACTTTAAAGTCAATTGTTTGTTGCTTTATATTGTACATTGCAGGTTAATTTGAAACATTTATTTTATTTATTTTATCTTCAGTATCTATATTATACAAAAACTAAACTGATTATGGATACTACATACTAATAATATGGACATTTATTGTTTAAACAACAACTGAAGACGGTTTTTAAAATTTTTGTTGTTGCACCAATCACATTTTAAAAAGACAGACCATAACCCACAGTAAGTCATTGATTTAGTTTCAAGACAAGAAATACTTCAGCAATCAACTCATTCATCACTTTAGTAGATTTCGGTCACACTGCCGGTGCTGTGAGGTATTTTCTTTGCCAAAAGAGAAATAGCCTTTCGTCTATTCTTTGTAAAGACAGCTCTGCAGACTCAACTTCAAAACAGCTCCATGAAATGTGGAAGATTAATTGAGATTTTGCGAGTCATGAACTTGGGACCGCTTTTGCCAAAATGGATTTGAGGAACAACCAAGGAGAAACAATGACAGCAATATTTCCTTTAGAAGAAAAAAATGGACTATAGATTGAAGCATAGATCACATATAGATTGAGACGGGCTTGTGTCAGAGCTCGCCAGAGGCATAAGCACCGTGGCAATTAAAGGTCTAAAAGATCACTGTACATATCCCAGAAGCGAGCTTTACACTGACCGCGCGTGTCTATAGCCTCAATACACAACTTGTGTTAACCCCTGCAAACTACGCAGAGGCCCCCGCCTCCAACCTGTCAATGTTTACAACTGTGAAGAGAGGACATGGCGAAAAGAGAAGAGAAGTTCGACGTGAGCAAACAGTATGTTTCGTAGCTGAGCTGTCAGTGCGTCTCTTGGTCTGTCGTTGTCTTGCTTCCTGCCAGACACCCTCAGGGCCGCTCGGGGACTTTGTGTCTCTGACGAACGTCACAGTGAAATACTATTTGTGTTTGTAAACTGCGGTTGGAAAAAGAGGATAGACACATTCCTCTTCAACTCAGGTTTATATGTGCAAGAAACAAAGATTTAGCAGCAGCCTCTCTGTGTCGGCCAATCCAGAAAGTACAGTATGTGTGTGTGTGTGTGTGTGTGTGTGTGTGTGTGTGTGTGTGTGTGTGTGTGTGTGTGTGTGTGTGTGATGACCCTCCTCACAGGCACACACCCTTTTAAAACAAGACACCGATGATCTCTGGTTAACTCTGGATTAATGCAAAAAGGAAAGCAGTTAGATTGTTGATTAGCGATACAGATGCCATCGGTTTTTCCACATAAATGATCCAGGTTGAGAAGCAGACCACGTTTCCAGAGTTACTTGATCTAAGTTACAAAACAAAATAAAACCCCAATATTCTACAAACGTTGCAAAATCAAATCGATGATAATTTTACATTGAACGTGACGTGGCTGAGCGTCTCCCATGTGGCTGGTATTATGTTTTAGTGAAGCTCCTCAGTGTGTTCAACTACAAAACAGGAAGAGAGCTCCAAAGAATGGAAAAAAAGAGAGAAATGAAGAATGCAACGAGGTGTCCAGGTTGGATACGCGGCATTGAGCTGAAGCTGGTCTTCAACAAGGCACTGAAGTAAACACAGATTTCAATCCGAGCTCCTAATAGAAACTGTTCCTGAGTCTGATTAAAGAAAAGACCAATCACCTTTCAATCTTACACCCAGTCGCATTCTGGCTTTAAAGGCTACACGTTGTGTAATATGCCTCGGAGCCGGTGCCGCATGTGTCGTTAAAGGAACCTATTGTATCTGTTCCACACTGAACAAATGATCCGACGTGATGTCAACCGAAAGTGGACATGTTTTTATTCTTGTGTTTATCATTTGTGACAAAAACGTGTGTTTTTTTAGACATGTTTTCATGTTTTTAACAATTGGCTGTTGCTTTGCTTTGCTCAAGGACCTTATGATGGTGGCCGTTAAAACAAGCGGGTTTGCCACTCAACTGGGTTCAAGCATTTTGCCCTGAATCACAGCTCCCCGCCGTCAGGGAGCTTTAATTAAGAATCACTCCTTAAATTTCAGCAGGCTTCACACTCAATGTCAGAGAGTCACTGTGGATCAGAGCGTGAATTTGGCCGCACGATTGTGTCTCAATGGTTTGTCGCTGAAATCTGTGGGAGTTTTACACAGAGCTATAAATCAGTTACATTGGCAGGAGTGAGTCTTTTAACCCATCAATATTACTTTACTACAGTTCCTACATGGACTTAGGGGAACTAGGAAATGGTATTCTTTCTAAACCTTGTGCAGTGTTTAGTTTCCAGCTCACTTAAGGTGGAATGCGTCATCCTGCAACCCGGTCAACATCCGTGCTGAAGGTGTTGTGCAGACCATATGTTGTGCTGTGTGTTCTAATGTAGAATTCCTGAGAAATCACCTTAAGGCAGAGACAGATGGACCCTTCAGATGAACTGGATGAGCTGGCAGAAATGTGCTCTTAACGGCACTTTTTCTTTGTTAGCGGCACGCTGCCTTGTGACCAGCTTCTGGGGCGGCAGTCAGCCTGCGAGTCTTATCACAGTCCTCCAGACTGTACAAATCAATCAATATGGCACACAGAAAACACTAAGCCGAAATCAGATTGTAACGTAGCCGGCCTTCGGTAAGAAATAACTGTGAGGGGTTTATTATTTTCCTTTTGTGTTGCACGCAGCAAAATGAATCCCTCAAACTAAATCTTCAAAGGAAACAAATAATGCCCCATGTTAGTGATTGGTGGCAGTTGGTAACTGATTTACTAAATATTGAAGAGTCACAATGCATGTTGTACTGTGCAGTGCAATATCGCAACCGAATCACTGCATGCATATAAATATCTAGTTATTTTGCATACAGTTATAGAAGCTCTTTCTTCAATTTTACACGTGGAAGACAAGTTAATGCGGCAACTGAGTAAACTGAATGGACTCAGTGGCAGGAAGCCAAAGTTTAAATGAGCTCTGGCTCCAGCAAATTCAGATTCACAAATGTGGTGCTAAAGTAACGTTTCAGTGCCTTTAGTCTTTCTCTGAATACAAATTTTCACCCTCAAAATTAAATTTAAATGGAAATTGACGCAAAAAAAGTTATACCGGTAATTTCTAATTATAGAGTCATACAAAAAGTCAAATTCTGGGCTCTATTAAGTTATTGTAGAAGAGCTTAGTCATCCAGAAGCTTAACAAATCTGTATTTTTTACACGCTTAACTAAATAATATAAAGCAATTTCAGATAAACAGATTATTGTAATTCCATACTTTGTTATTTACTTTCTTAGTAAAAAGCTACTGAATGAACCTTGTGGTGAAATTTTCATCCACAAGGTCAAGAATGATTGATTAGAATATTTTTTAGTTATATTTTAACTTTAAAAAGAACCTGTTGTATTTTGTTTTGCAAAGTGTCAAAAGTGTGACTATCTAAAATGCACAGCGTTACTTGTATCGCAGCCATAGCTCATGTCATGACAAGTGAGCGAACTCTGATTTATTGGAATAAGGCTCCAGTTTCACCAAAGAGGTGATAACAGCTCAAGTCTTTTGTCATGTCTTGGTGTCTGAATCTCAGGCTACGGTAATAATAGCAATGTAACTCTATAGCCGCACACTGAGACCTGTTAAGAGCATCACATCCTGCCTGTGTACACACTCAGATGAGTTTGGCTCCAGGGAGTCGCGAGTCAGCAGGATAAATTACTTTGACAAAGAAATTAATTACTTTGCATTCATAATGTACTTCTAACAGAGCGTTCAGTTAGTCAACTCTTCTCCGGGTGTCATCCGTCTCCCTTACAGCTCAGATGTTGGATATGTCCCATATTTTAAACCCTTTCCCTCTGTAAATATTTCCTTCAGACTAAATATCTTGGACAAGCCCAACAACTATATTTCAGCAGAAATCAATACCTTACCTTTCCCTTATCCCTCATGGAGCCTTTGCCGAGGATGGACATCTTCACTCCGGTCTCCTCTTGTAATCGCTTCATGGAATTTCCCCGTGGTCCCAGCAGCTTCCCAACGAAGTTAAACTATGATACACAAGATAAATACAAACACAATGACTTATCAGTTACTTTTCAACATATGTACGAAGTGGGAGAAAAGGGAAACGGATGAAGTCAATGTTTTTCCTTGTTGGCGGAAAAAGGAATTTGATCGTTTTGTATGTAATATTGTATGTTGCATGATGTATGATGTTATTCATATGCATAATAAGTAATGTTCATATTCATAAATTGACGTTAACCAGGTCTGTCTTGCGTCAGTCGATTCAGTCAGATTTTCCTTAACGTTTTAATCTTAAATGAGTATTCAGGGATCAAAACTAAATTTCAATCCCAGAACTTACTTGCCGACAGACGGCAAAAAGGTTGTTAGTATTAAGATGGAGGCTTCCCATAAGCTCCAGATTCCTAATGATCATATCTCTGGGCCTCTATATAGCTCGAACCAACAATGTGACGGGAATTCAATTGACACCCGTGAGAAATTTTAATGGCGTTGTAAAACCCTGACGGTGAAACAAGTGTGTGAAATAAATAACGTGTTTGCTGACCATTAGTCATCTTTTATCAACACATTCTCTGATTCCATTCACCATTTATCATGTGAGGAAGAAGCTGAAATGTAACCCGTGATAAATCACTAGAATTGTGTTTTATGTAACAAATTAACAGTGAATGGGACTAACTTTATGTATCCATTCATTAGCCTGAACTGTGGCCTCACTAGTCATGTATTTACTGCCGTTTAGGGTCCTTCATGTCATGCTGAGGAGAAAAGAAAAGGAAACATGGGCTCAAACTAATAACGTTCCTCAGACGGTTCCAAAGGTCAGCGCTCAGATAAAGTCAGAAATAATGAGTTCCTTCCCAGTGGGAAATTAATACTATCCAGATGACAAACTATCAAATTCAAGGCTCGGGGCTCTGACTATCATTTCCCGCTTACTGTGCACCAGCTAGTGTTCAATTTGAGAAAAGAAGCTGTGGGTTGTTGAAGGCACGACGCTGCTGAGATTAGTGGTGATTAATCCCGGAGGTGAAACGCACAACTTTAGTCAAATGGGTCGTTGCTGGAAAAAATCTGAGCAGATGATCAATAAAAAAACACAGGAGAAAAGGTTACTACTTGAAAATGCCCACAAAAACTACCTGTACCATCTCACGCCACTATTTCCGTGAATTGTAAATGGCAGTTTGACCTTCACATGTTGGTGGCTGGATGAGATGATCCGAGACCACCTCCAGAGCTGAACAGGTGGTCGGCCGCCCACCACAACGCACTCTGGCCAACCCCAAAATGATATTAACCTGTTCTCAAAGCACTTCCTCCCACTGTGGCTGAGCGGGTAATGACTTCAGTGGCAGCTTAGTGGCACGTGCTGCTTCCAAAATCCAGAAACCGCACACTCAGCTTATTTCGTTGAACGTCATTAACGCAGCGAGTGAGAACGCAGCATCTCAGGTTGGAGAGGCGCCAGGGGACGCCGAGATAAGACATCTTAAAACAAAGAAGAAGAGAAGGCGTCCCTCCTGCCCTTGCCTGTCCTCCGATCTGAACGATCAAGGCACCTTGGAGGACGCCGTTTTCCTCACAGGCGCCGCTTCGGCAGAACTATCCCATAGCTGGCTGGGAGCTTGGCAGCAGATGGTCGTTGCGGCGAAGTTGAAAATGCGCCCGCTGGGCGGTAGAAGAAGAGGGGCTTGTTTTCATTAAGCTAATGAATGTCTGGAGCCTCTGTGCTGCTCCATGCCGAGCAATTTGGGCTTTAGAAGGGGGCTCGGTTCGGTGTTAAATGAGCTTTGAAATTATGCAGTGTGCCCCCTGCAGTATCAACACTAACTACACGGACGGAAGGGGGTTGTAAATACAACATTTACCGACAAAGAGATGCTGAACAAATAAAACGTGTGCACTTATCTACTTATTTGTACTTTATGAAGTTCTACATAAAGATTTCATTTTAAGCTTTTGTGAAAGATGAATTCTAACAAAAATATTCAAACCTACTAAAGCAACTGTGCAAAGCACTTTCCACAACATCCCCAATGACCAAAGCCATCACATGATTTAAAAGAAATCACAACATTTTATTATGTTTTTTCTTTCTTTTATTACTGAGATTGATCCACTCTCCCTCCACTCCAATCTCAGTATTTTAGCTTTAGGGTTGGAAAGCGTGAGTTTGCTCTTAGTCCTGAGGACATCAGACTTGATTACATTGACTGATTACAGCAAGCTGTAAGTGGTATTTGTGTCAAACGGAGTACCAGTGACACATTTTCTCATTCAATTCAATGAGAAAAGGAGTCCAAAGTCGTTTGTTGATTTTCCCTCCCACAAACTTTTCTTTCGTATATAAAACACAACACAAATCCTTTATTTGTCCCCCTTCCAAGCAATTATTTCATAGTGAAAGTTCACCACAGTACAAACAATCCTATCCTCCCACTTTCAATCGGTTATGCTGGTGTCTGGTTTCATGAATGAGATTGATTTCACAACCATATTTGAAATGAGTATGAGTACATATTTAAAACAGTAAAATATTCTGGAACAAACGAAAGTTAGTGAGAAAGTTTGAAACACACCTACTTTTTGAAACTGTTTTGCACCTCTAATGCTCCACAACATCCCTGAGCAAAATGTTAATATTAACAGAGGCTTTGGTGAGAGAAGTCTGACCACATATGGCTTCTCTTATACATAATGTAAAACAATATAACCGCCGCTGTCTATTGGATGATTTATTTATTTGATGAAAGAAACAGTGCTGCAGGCTGTAGTATTTTATCTTTATTTCATAACCCGTCACTACAGTCAGTTCCTTAGAAGACCCGAGATCTGTGAACACAGTAAGATCCCAGCTGGGTTTCAGAGCAGCACACAATAATATTATTTCCATACACTCATAACGATACGTGTAAATATTTTATACCCCCATGACCCTGATTCTATAATGCGGCAAAATTTAAGGATGACTGAAAGCATAAAAGCAAACGACTAACTCACATATATAAAAGATCAAAGCAACTTCTAGATGATGGCACCAAAATGGCCCGTTTCCGTGCTTTATGTGGCCCCTAAATTCAGTTCCATGGAAAACATGTAAATATTGGAAATTCCACTTCAGCACCTAAACTTTGTCACGGCGCTGTAGCGCTGCAGAACCAGTAACACAAAACCCTTTTTTCGGCTTTTACGTTGGAAATTGTGCTCGGTGGCCGCCTTTTTAAATACAGTTCGCTGGGGCCAGGCTAGATTTGCAGATGTCCCGAAGCACTTACCCGCCCCCCCCCCCCCCGGGTTAGCGAGCTGTGCTATTGGGAAAGTCCAGGTCCGGTGTGATAGGAGGATTAAAGCCTCGGGTAGAGCTCTATGCTTTAATGACGGCTATGGATGACCGCGCTGTACGTTTGTCAGAGAATGTGAAACATCAGCTCAACAGGACATTTAGGACTCACCGTTCACCTGGCTCAGTGTGCCGCATAGCAAAGTGTGACTTAAACAACTTCAGAATGCTAAAAATATTCACACAATGCATTAAACGGAGAGATGAGAATAAATATTCGGGGTATTGGAGGGAGGCCAGCTGATGCGGCTGTGAATAGCTGTGTTGGTGCGAACAATGCACCCGTAACTAAGACCTTTCGCTGCGTGGAGTGTTTTTCCATCACTGCTTGTATCCATAATGCGGTGCGAGTGAACACACAAAAGCATGCATTATGTGCCTCTATAAAAAGTGTACACTACTTCATGTAAATGTCGGAAATTGGATGCTTTTGGTCACATGCGTTTACTATGAGTGAAAATTGGTGGAATGGGCACCTCGCCACGGCAACAGCATTCGTCCCAACACAAAGCATTTGATACGTTTTTTTTTATTCTGATAAATTTCCTAGAAGGAAAAAGTATTGTAGTTAAATATAGGGCAAAAGTGAACATATGTGGCGCATTTTGTGATGATAGGCATGAATGGTTTTGGAGTATTAATGTACTAGATCGAGCAGCAAGCCACACCAAGGTGATGCAATGCTACAAAAGCATTTTTTGTCTGCTGATATAATATAATATTAAAACGGAAAAATGTAATACCCTTTTTATTTTATTTTTTTTGCTTCCCAGCTGGAACACTTACATACAAATACAAATAAATTGGGTCCCGCCTCCTATGCTGATTACATTTTATACATCCATGGAATGGTGCGTGATGACATTTAACTAGATGTTGTCACATTTCCAGAACGAAGGGACTATTCTAGTAATTAGTAATTGATTGAGCTGGGTCCCTGTATCGTTGGGGTAATTTCTAACATGGGGAGGCATTTATCTTTGTTATGTCTCTACAGCAGCACCGTGGCAGACAAAGTCCTCACGCAAACACTGACTGAGTGGGTTCCCAGAGTGGAACCCTGACGCTGTCGTACAAGTACCTCATTTTCATTCACATGCCGTGCTCATTCTACTGTATTCGGCGGTTATCTTAAGCAACACACCTTTTTCGCATGATAGGCCTTTCTTTGGGGCACTGACATCTCACAGACCAAAATACAATTCATTTTTTGAGTAAAGCACAGCTGCTGCACTATTTAAAGGTCACTATAGCAAAAGGCCAATAATCTCCAAATTGGTGCATCCACGAGGACAATATACAATTGAATGTGTTGTGCTGTCTACTCAATGCACCTGCCAAACGGATAGTTAAAGCACATTATTACCGCACAAATGTAATGTAAAAAAGCTTGTTTAAATGCAATAACTGTAGAAATAGTCTCTAACTAAATCAATGTATTCTAGTTTAAAGGGCAAAAATCCCTACACACACATACATGCAGAGTGGTCACATGACTGGACTGAGACAAGCAGCCATTGAAAATCCATTTTATGCCCCAAGGTTGTGAGATGCTAATCAAGCTGTCTCATTAAACAGTAGCGGATACATTTTGGTTATGCGATAATGGAAATGACTATGCAGCTTAATCATAATTGTACGGAGTAAATAGTGATCTCAGCGTTTGAGGTGTCCATGCCATGACATCCATGGGCGTACAGACTGTGTCATTTGTTTACATGTCAAAACGGGACAAGTACAGATGTACCGCTTCTTCACTCGTTAACCAATATCACCTGGTGAAGCGATGGGAAGGTCACTGTCTAGCATTGCGCCAAGGACAACTTCTTTTATCCTGACAGGCTACAAACAGACAACAGACGTAATGTCGGTTTTACAGAGAGTAAAGTCGTCCCCTGTGAATGATGCATATCTATAAGGCCGGTCGGTAACAAGATGCATCATCCCTCCAGGTTTCATCCAGCTGCTGGTAATTCATACAACAAGACATCATGTAAGAACACGCTACTAACCTAAACCCGTTAACTTCCTAATGTTTACTGGCAGGTTGGGCATTAATCCTATTTTGAGTAAAATATTCCTATGTCCGCTCTGCGGCTAGTAGCTCACAATGAATTCTCGATGCTGACATCTGAAAGCGTATTATTATTATTCAGAACGGAAGGGTAGTGTGGCATGTGCAATATTTTATTGGTTTACCAATGCATTGAATTTGAACGGGGGAAGATTATGAAAGATAAGATTAAATGGGAAAATGCATTATTATGTTTTTTCTACTTTCAGGGTGAGCAGCTGTGATGGGGATCCCTCTCCCAGGATGGGACAAGTGTAACAGATGTGTACAGAATGACCAACAAGTAATAGTAATAATAGATGTAATACATGTAGCCCCTGCTAAATAGGTACAATACAATTCCATGTCCTTTCAGGTTACTGTTACAGCATTGACAGAATGGTTAGAAATATAATTTTTAACACAGTATGTGGTTTTTGTCCACCTACTCACATAGTATGTATTGTCACAGTTAAGTTAATTGGTAAACATTAACTTATTCGTGCAATCTGAGATATTTTATATGTGTTTGTTGATATTAACGGCAATAGAATTCTATCCAAAGCACACTTGATATGACCGAATAGACATTTTGACTTCCATCAAGGTGTGTCTGCAAGCCAGAGTGCAAAGAAATTAGCCAATGAAATGCATCCATAATTAAAGCTATTAACAACACCAGTGGTTTTCCTGCTCTGGCATGTGTTCATCGAGTTAAACCTGCCCGTATGCGTCTGTCAGTGGACCATAAAAAGGGATTTCATCAGTACTGGTTGTTTCCCTGTTGGACGACATTAATCTTCTACATGTCACTTTGTCAAATCCGAAACCATGCGGAAAATTTCTCCCAAGTAATAATGTAATTTCGTTGCATTTAATTACGGTGCAGCAAGATGGCAGATGTAAGCATGGACGACCACCGTTGGACTGCTGAGACGTGAAGGACAGATCTGTGATATTTCATGCTTTTCCAAGAGAACGTAACATCGGGCATTATTGAAATTGCTGTGACACAGAGTGGGGTTCCAATGTGTAGTAAGATAAAACTAATTAGTTTGTGCCTTTCATAGGGGCCTGATGTTGTCAGAGTAAACAGTGAAAGAATGTGTTTTTTCTTTTTAGTTTTTTTTCCGTTTGAGTCTGAAAATTCATTTGCATTTTTATTTTTCCTATGTGGTTAAAGAAAGCTGGTACAGTGTGTCGTACAGTTGTTAAACATCTTCTTGCTGGTACAATAAATGTGTTAACATGCAATGTTACAGAATATTATTAGAAAGTGTTAACATACTAGTATCCCTAATTTAATAAACATGCCCTCCTATATCGACATCCACACATATTTGTGGGGTGTTTTCTGTGTCCTCGATGTTTCTCATGCTCTATCAAAGACTTGCTTCATGTGGCTAATTATCATTAACTGAAAGTGCAGTGTTACCAAGATGTTAGTAGCACTGCAGTTTCTTTTGGGGTGCTGACTATGCAATTAGGTCACAGAAGTTGTTGTTGGACAACTGCTCCGTCCCTGCTGGACTGCACTGCTTACTGTGCAAAGCCAGCGCTAATATGTTCATTAATATGTTCACAAAGACCGAGGATGTTGAGCCTGTGTATTATTCTATAAGTTGATTCTGTTTCTTGAGACCAAGCTACACTGTTTTCATTTACCAAGAGCTGATGCAAACCAGGCACCAGAAATAATGGTGACATTGTACGTCTCTAAAACATGAATATGTTTAGGAAATATAGTTCTTATCAGCCTTGCATCAGGCTCGCAAAACGTCACAACACCACAATGTGGCGAAGTGCTTGTCAAATTCTACTTAGCATGCTACTTACTTAGGTAACGTAACAGCCGCAGTAACGTAACTAAGGTGAGTAAATAACAACAAGCGTGCATGGACTTTCTACGACCAAGCTGCTGCCGCACGGCTTTCATCTTACACCCAGCTCACACAGGTACGGAACCCTGGATGAGCTGCAATACACAATAAGCTTCTCTCCAAGATCGACCTCAAATGATTCCCCAGATATGCAGTACCAGTCAAACACAGTAACAGTAACTCTGGGAAGGCCTTGCTTAAAACAGAACAGCATGGAGAAAAAGTTTTATGAAGAAGCAACAATCTCCGACAGGCTGTCAGACAGTCAAACTGCAGCGAGTGTGCCTCAACCCGCATTCCACTTCCAGCAGCTCACATCAACGCCCCGACTGCAACACAGTTTGTGTTTCCAGGGCCCATAACAAGGACCTTCAAATCCAAGTCCATCCAAGTGATGGCCTTTGATGATGATGATGATGATGATGATGAATGCTTCACGTCTGTCCTAACCCGAGCATGATCCGTGCTCCTTATAAAAATTGCAAAAAGAGATACCCCCAAAAAGGTTGTGATCCGAGGAAAAATCAATGCTTCTATTTAGAAAATATTTTTAGAAGAAAATGCACTTTGAGGAAGCAGTGCGAGGGAGATAGCAGACATCCTGAGTCATTTCCCAAGACACTCTCAATTGGAATTTTTTATAGATTTGAAACCTGTTTAATTAAGTGAGGAGTTCCTGAACACAGCTTAATTACTTTCTCAACAATGATCCTGAGGAGGAAACTGCTAATTGATTTCCTGACGTGTCCTGACGGACTCACTGGGCTTAAGCAGGCGGGCCTGTGCCCCCTGAAGCACAGTTAAACGTTGTTCTGCCCTCCTGACATTTTCCTTTCTCTAGTTATTTTTAATAAGGCAGAAAAATCAGGTGCTTTTAAGACATACGGCTACTAAATCATGAATCAAAACTTGGGGCAAGATATAACACGGACGAAGGAACTTGACTTGGGAGTCAATTAAATTGTTTTGCTCAGGATCTTATCCTCAGAACTCCTTTAGTGGGCAGTCAAACCTGCAGCGACGACAAGAGAAAGACCACAGGGGATTCATTTCAAACAAATGCTTGGAGACAACAAAAGTCTGCAGAGAGATGAGTAGCAGTCATTCAATTTTAGACTTGAGACTTGATGATAATGATAGCGATATTGTTGAAAACTTGTAGAGAACCTACAGGTTTTATGTGATGGGAGGTGCTGGCAAGGTCACACATAAACCTATAATCAAATTTAGTGGACTGAATTCATTTTTGCCGTCCAGAAGAAGTGGCATAGATAGTGAAACGTGCACCCAAGGACACAACGCAACAGCACAGGAGCAGCCGTTTTGTTTTATGGGATCTTAAATGGAATAGTTTTTAGCTATCCTTTAGTATTACATGGTCTTTTTTCATTAGAACATTTAATGGAAAGCAGTTAAAACTTCTTCGGAGTATCATGTACCTGGAAATAAAGGGCGAATATTTTCTGATAATATCAAAAAGTTAGTTTGCAACCATGTTCAATGACTTGACACCGATATATTCAGCATTTACAGTAATGCATTGAAAATTATATTCACAGAAAACAAGTCTCTGATCTGCTGCGTGTTGTCGCTGAGCTGCGTGATGGACCCGCCTCATCAGTCTACATTTCAACTACTATAAAGTAGTCCCAGATAGACTACATCAAAATATGCAACACTTTCTGTGTGTGTGTGTGTGTGTGTGTGTGTGTGTGTGTGTGTGTGTGTGTGTGTGTGTGTGTGTGTGTGTGTGTGTGTGTGTGTGTGCGCAACTGGGCGCGGCCTTCATCACCTGCCGCATCTCCACACCTGCTGGCAATCAACGCGGCTTAAGAGCCGCGGTTTCTCAGCTCAGCGGTAGTTGAAGGTCGGCCTCGCTACGCTTTACCCGACTGAAGAGATGTTATTTTTTGAACATTGCGCATTATATTTCTAACTTCTCCTTCTTGTGCCTCGCCGTAAAACCAGCCGCCGCTCACACCGCCTTCCTGCATTGCTGTCTCTGTGTCTGCTCTTGGGTGCAGCTTAACCGACCCCGACGGGGATCCTGCAGAATGAGCTGGAACATGTTGCGGATGAGAGGGGAGTGTCGGCCGGCCGGCTGGGCCTCGGCCGCCGTCAATCAATCCCAGATAAGTGGATGAGAATGGATGGATCTTGCGTCGCGTATTGACCGCTCTTTTGAAAACACTGCACGACTGCTCTTTCTTTTTTTGTGCCACGGTGTGAGCGTTGTGTCTCTTACCTTTGGATACTGTTGGATGGGAATGAGAACTCTTTCAGACAGCTTGATATTTTTATTGCTGATGATATCTAGGTATTTCTTCGGGTCCCCGTCTTTTCTTAATTCATCCCCTTCATTCTTTTCAATCTCTGCAGACAAACAAAAATAGAAAATACAGATAACGTGATTAGTTGGGTTTTTTTCATGTAACTGAAAAAGCATCGGGTCAACATCAGCTGCAGCATGACAAATAAGACACTTCTGGGAGACACGTAACATGCATTTCAATACATAGTGAATATTCCACTGATTATTTGATGTCCGCATATATGCTCTTGTTGCAAACTCTAATTATAGAGAGATGAGATGGGAGGTGAATATTGGTCTACGGTTTAGCTTTAACAAAAAACAAACGAACAGTGTTATTTCTTGATTAATTTAGTTCATAGCACTTGAGCTGAACCACTCACAACCCTTTAAGGGTTTAAGGGTATCCGTTGTCCAGCTTGCAGAAATCTTCGTCTGTTAATACCGGGCAGAGACTTATCAGGCTCGAACACGCTGGCCGGACAATAAAAGATGTTCCTGAACAAGACCGAGAAGGAGTCACTCACCGCCCCTCAGCTGCTACATCGAAGAGTTTATTTATTCTGGAGCGCGGCCCCCTTATCTCAGCTTCAATAGCCAGTGGAAAAGGCTTTGAGGTTAAAACCTGCCGTCCTCATTTGGATGGTTCATTATGGGGGCAGAGTTTAGACAACTGAAAACTGAAGTGTTGTATCCGTGAAGGTTGATAAAGAGCAGAAATAGACTTAAAAGGTTACAGAATGCGCCTTAAAATAAGACTATTAGACGTCTAGAATTCTAGTAGTTATCAGATTGGGTGGAACAGATAAGTGTTTCCAACGGAGGGACTTTTTTCCTTGAAGTGACCTTCTGGACACCCAGAGCTCCAGCTTAATGATCCACTCACCCCCCCATAGAGCTTTTATTTTTACTCAATACATTAAGGTTCATTTTTTCTATTTCTATTGTCTGTGAAATCACCACTGAAAAACTCCTACATCTTAAAATCCATTCTTTCCGTGTGACTCTCTGATTGTGCCAATGACGATCATTTAAATCGTGACATGCAGTCTTCAATTTGTTCTCTGTGAGATGACTGAAACTAAAGCTACACAACTTCCTAAAAAATATATCAAGTTTCAAATGGAAGAGTGGAAAATAATGAATGAATGTTTAAAAATATTAAGTAGTCGCTAAATGGAGGAGCCTCAATTAATAGCTATCATTTACTGAAGAAAGCTTCGTGCACTCATTTTCAGGTGAGCTTTGCTAAGCCACTTAATTTAGACAATATAATAAAACTGTTACTTCTTACTCAGGCTTCTGTCAAAATACTAATAAGTGAATTTCCATGTGAATGGCCTTTCCCCCAGGGTATAGACTGTACCTGATGCCTCTTGCTGAATCACAGGTATAAAGACACCTACAAATGTTTTCCCCCATTCATGCGACTGATTCACACATGCTTGTGAGACTTTATATAAAAACGCGAGTCCCATAGCAGGAGCTTACAATAAGGGCTTTCTAATAACTTGCCCCGTCAACACATTGAAGCAACGTGTTTGATTGGTACAGTGGCAAATCCTTCTCGCTGCAAGGGTTTAGGTGGCTGGATGGGTCAACTAAACATTTTACCTTAAACTTAAGATCAGAAAAGGATCATTGCAGATGGAAAATACATGTTTTGTTATAAATTGCTAGGACATTTCAGTGTTCAGTGTAAAGTGCTAGTTCCAGCATTGATGTCCTATGATTTGTTCTGGTCTTTGAAATTTGTTTTGGGCTCTGTTTCCATTGTGAAGGGTTTCCCTTTGAGACAGCATAATGTTCACATCATTTGAATAAGGCAATGATGTTTTTCCAGCCCTTGAAGATCATTATACTCTGGAAGAGAACATAATGTGAAATATCGTTATTCTATTCCGCAGCCTTCCGGTGAACTCAAAATATGTGTGTGAGAGAAGAAGAAAATGAGCTCACAACATCTAAATCTGGGGAAACATTCACACCAGCATCATCGTGGGTCAAATATAAAACTGGGAGAAGCCTAAAGATCAGAGGAGGGAGAATGTGCTTCGAAGGTCAGTGTTTTCCTTCCTCACACAAGATGAACCACAATCTCACTGGGTGAATTGAATGAGTAAACCCCTCAGCGACTATTCCGGTGCTCTTGATCCCCTCTGTTGCGCTGGCACAAACTGCTTCAGCAGAATGGCTCCGCAGCCAAGAATGAAAATTACCACTGTGGTTTAAATGGGCTTCTACCGAGAAAATGTGCCCGCACAAAAAATGTGCCCTGTTAGCCTGCCACAGCTTAAGGTTAAATGCATCTGTGTATGAAGCAACACAGGCAGTCAGCACTGTTAAACAGGGTGAAGGTCATTCATTCTGGATTCAAGAAAAATGTGAAATGACGGACACAGAATTAGAGTGAATTAGTCTCTGTTAGACATTTAGGCACCCGATCTGGGAGCAATTAGGCAAAATGAACCTATCAATCGTATCAATTTGGACTCTAAACAAGATGTCCCTTGTAGAGCAAAACAAGATGTCGCTGATATTTGCCATAAATACACTTTGTGTGATTGCACTGAACTTTCACAGACTACAATTCAGCAGAGACTTTCATATAGTTTGCTAAAAATGAAACACAGATATCCCGCAATGTTTGAGCCAAATTCTGCACAAAATGCAGTTTAATAACACCAGAAGAGAGGAACGAGAGCTGCACCATTTGTTGGAGTTTGCTGCTCAGCTGTCTATCCTCACATTGAAGCTTTATTACAGTTTGGTTGTTGTTTGCCAGACAGTACTTCCTGCTAAAGCGTGCACTTTGTTTGTAAAATGCGTGTGCTTTCTTTTCAAATATGATGAAGTTGAGACCAAACTGTCTCCTGCACTGTGGTTGATGTTGTTTTGACCCGATGGGTCAACAGAGAACCGTACACTTAAATACACACCGGGATTAAACAAGTCACACTAATGAATCCAATCAAAAGGAATTCTTCCAACATACAGTAGGTTAGATTACGTTGTTTCACTGAAATGCCTCAGAGGGATTTAATGAGACAAAACAGATGTTAGAAAAAAAACCTCATCACATCCAACGGGGCAAACTTAGGATGTCCTGATATTCGACGTGCACTCAAACAAATAATGCACACAGTACGACTCGTTCCCTCTTTCACTCGACTCATCTTTTATTTTGAAAAACTGTCTGGAAAACAGCAAAACTCAAATAAGCTGAAAACTGAAACACTGCAGATATTAAATAACTAGAAAACCTATTAGATCGACCTACTTCTATCTCATTTAGTGATTTAGGAAGTTATAGCTGAACTCCATTTGATGTGCTTTTTGCTTTCAATAAAATAAACCTTATGTTAAAAACAGTACTGTATGATTAGGGAGTCACTGTGTTGTTGGTTGGTATTAAAATACTCATTCGTAATGGATTCACGTAGTGCAACAAGTCCGTAAAGAATTGAATAGTTTATTTGCTTTATTGTACGCGGGCGGTTCAATCAACTGCATAAGAGGTCAAACACAGATGCTTTGTTGAGTGCTGCCATTAGCCTCGACACAGCTACATTATTCACTGATTTCTTCTACCAACTGAATGGGACATTGACAATGACTCAACAATGGCAGCCAAAATGAATCACTCTAATTAATCTCCAAAACCCTAATTGTATGTTCACATCAGATACATAGCGAGGCAGGTAGCAGAGTGGACCCGGTGTGGCGAATCGACCAGACGGGCAATTAGCTTTGTCCTTTTCCACTTTGGAGCCATGAATGTGACTGCATGGGGCCGGAAATATGCGCCACTGTTTGACCACATGCTGTTTATTTGTTTTTAACTGAGCTGCACTGAGGACAATAGGTTGTTGCCATTGACGCTGTGATAAGATTAAATCTACAAAATAATAATCCTTAAAGTCTCTGCTGAATGTGCAATGGAAGTTGAAGTGAAAAAGTAATGACAAATAATAGACATTTAATCGTGGTGGCATTTCAATAATCATCTATTGTAATGACTTACAGGTCAGGCTAGATGGAAAACTTTGGTTGACAACATGATCCCATGAGTGTGAACATGTATGTATAACATCTGTTTTTTATTATATACAACAAGTGTATAATAATATCTCTATGCTTTCTATATACAAAGCAATGATATTATATGGGTGATGTTAATATGATATAAGGCTGTAATGACATTTCCATATATTTGAATTCCTGTCCATGATGCACCACAACTACATCTATTTTATGTTATTTGACAAAAATGGTTGATCGGTTTCTTCAACGAAATCGGGTAAGGGCTTAATACGCAGAAAATACTATATATTTTGCATTGCTTCAAGCTGTTGAATATTCAGAAAGTTAAATAGCCCAGAGCCTCACAAAGTATGTTCATTACTGGACGTTTTATTCTCTTCTGTTCTGTTGACGTTGTTCGGCAACTTTCCAACCGGAAAAGCGCAAAGGATGAGATGTATCTGCTGTAAATGTATCTCACAGTTAAAGTATTTGAATTATTGGATATATCTTGGTTATTTGTTATGTAATAGTTAATAGTGAGTTTAGTAACACATATTATTTTCCTGATTCATCAGTATCCGTATGTGTCTTTCTTTCAGTCCCAATCACGTTTTTGTGGCACCCTGCTCCATATAGCACTTCATTCCCTTGTGCGATGGTACATTCTGCGTAAATGTAACAACTGGCATTTTTGGACGAAATAGCGCACTGGCCTCCATCAGCATGTGATTTCATTTAACTCTCTTCAAAACGTGTTCAAAAAGTGAATGGAAATCAAACCCATTCAAATGTAACCACGGCATCTGAAACGACTATAGTCATGTCATGAATACAGTAATTTATATTCCTTCCCAAATACCACGTTCCACTGTGTATGCACCTCCCTCTTTTTACAGCGTTTACATACATTACATCTCCTGTCCTGTTGTGACCATTTAAGATGCTCAGAACATACTAGAATAGTATAATTGTCTGAGTGCTGCTGTTTGTCAGTAGCTTTAAGTCCTTACGACCTTGGAGTATAATCTTATTCGACCTACGTACGCGCTCATTGTAAGCCACTCGATAGGAGCGTCTGCTAAACGCAGAGAATGTAATGCAATGTATCACTTTCCTGAATGTAATTTCTGTGTCCTTTTGACAGGTCGGACCCCGCGGCTGCGTTTATCTGGAGCTGTGAGCCGGATTCACGGCTGGATACCGAGCAGGTGATAATGGAAACACTGAATATATGAACAACCATTGATAAATAAGAAAGGGCTGGATTAAATTCAGTCCACTCTTAAAAGGAGAATCACCCTCTGGGGAAACATCGCCCGAATCAGTCGTAACAATGTCAGACTTTTTAGTAGAAGTTACACCTCCCTGACTGAAGCATCAATGTGTTGGGATGTGAAAATCTCCTGTAATATATATTCTTACATTGGTTTTATTATGCACCAAACTGAAAGCACCAACTCTCAGGGCCTCATACATTCTGAGTATCGAGTAAGATTGAAATCTACCTAAAGCTTACCATCTCAATATCGAACTATAGATCTTCCTTATTGGAAAACTGAAACTAAGGCTAAAACAGTTTGAAGTGCAGTGCACTGGTTCATGTATTGTCCAACTACTTTTAATTAAAGTTAAAGGGTCATTTACCCAAATGTGGTGTGAGCTTGTTTTTTTCGATAGCCGTGACTGAGCATTTTCATCATCCTACAGTACGTGGCACAGAATTTACATATACGATGTGTTCAAGCAGAAACAGACAGAAATTGATTGCTGGTTGTTTTCCTGCTTTCTATGAATATTTCCTCTCGCGTTTGACCGTGACCCCCCCCCCCCCTCAAAAAAAGCAGCTCAGTGCTTTGAGGCAAAAGTGTTTTATAGCAAGATAGAGGGGATGAGTACAAACTCATGTTTTTGGTGAATTGAAGAGCATTGTGATCTCAGATTGTCGTGTTTCAGGACAAAGAGTTCAAGCTCTAAATGTTTAACCTATTAGACATTAAATGATAAATCATAAAGTCGCACTTGTGAAAACACCCTCCACTCAGCAGATCTTGCTCTGTTACACTTTACTTAGCCTGGTCCATATCTATAATATGTATATCCATCACTGATTCAGAGAAGCCTGCATGAACCTTGTTTCTTATTATCACTGTGCTTATATGGGGCATTTAAGATATTACATATTAGCTGCTTAAGTGTTTAGTGATAAGGTGAAGTAGATCTTGTGATTGCAAGAACATACATTCACTTCTTAAATATGGAGCCGTTAACTGAGACCATGGTAATCGTGCATGATGCGGTTTATCATGAGTGATAATGCAGGATTAAATGCGTTACTAATTACCGGTAAGAGCTACGAAGGCATTAATCCATAAAGGACCGTGTATCTTGCTGTCCAATGATATGTATGATGCTGCATTGACCACGATCATAGACTGACAAAAACTGAAAATCACAAACGGGGTATTTCGCATGCCGCCCACAGATGATTATGTTGAACATTTTCCAAGCTGAAAATTCAGTATTGTCTGAACTGACAGTTTATCATAACAATTGTCCACTATTGTGTATAACGTAGGCTGTTCTTTGTCACTGTGCTAACTGGAAACACGATGTTCTATTGCCATGTAATATTAGGTATATTATGTTATTTGTTTGGTGTAAAGTATTACACTGTATGATGGGACATCTTTTACACTATGGGGAAAAAACTAAATTATATAAACTATGATGGTAATATTAATAATACTCAACACGTTTAAACGTGCTTGTTGCCGTTCACTGTGGATATGATAAAGCATTAGAAACTACGTTTTTATAATCCTGTACATGTGAGTCAGCCTTGTGATGATTTAGCTGCATATAAGTGCAACGTGTGACAGACGATTCCTTCTGCATCACAGCGACAAGAGGCGCACTGTCAGGCGTCTCATCAACACATTTCAACAGGAAAGCTCAAGGGGCAGAAAACACCTGAGGCCAAACACCTTGTGCAATGAGAGCACATTGAAACAACACACAGTTTGACCGGACCGCCTTTAACACACATGTAACGAGATTGTACATATGTACAGTATGCATGCACGTACTGTACGCAAGTTGAAGCTGATTACTGCCTCATTATGTAAAGTGCATTAAATCTAAAGACTGCAGAAAATCTGTCTCAATGGCATTAAGCCCTCTCTGTGACAATGATGGCAGTTCTAAGTTACTATGGTGGTAGTGATACAAAGAGAAGGCATATGTCATGCTGCATTCTCCTAAATTGTGTATTAAAGGTAAAGTTCTAGGAAAGAGGACATTTGGTCACTGGGTGGGTTTGAATGCTCAAGGTGCATGTCAAGTTTGCTGAACATATGTCCTTTGTGACAACACGCACCTGTTCAGGTCTGATAAAGATGTTACAATTCTGATATGCCGAAGAGACAAGAGCCGGTAATGATAAACTGCACTAATTGGGTCAACGGCATCATCAAAATCCTGCAAATTGTACATCGTTAGTCCGTCCACCCTTTGTCATCCGGAGCTGCTCTGTGATTAGTGGAAGTTACTGCTGTGTACCAGAGGTTGACCTTGGAGGGCAGTGAGGTGGAAACACGTTGACTTTTCACACACACTTTACTTTCTGTGCACACACATATTTCTCTCCCCAACGGTATCAACGCCTCAGAAAAGTTCCGCACTGGAGCCAAAGAGGAGCTGCTTCCATTAAACACACAGCACAGCGAATTCCATCAAACATGCGTTAAGAGCCAATGTGTTGAAATCGCATTACAGCACTATACTTTCCGGAAATGCAATGCATGTCAATGGATTTTTTTTCAGTTGCAGTAAACAGGGCGAAAGCTTTCAAAGTGAGAGTAGATCCAACTTTAAAACAAATACCCGACTTACCTTCTGAAAGAAGGCGCGCCGCGTGCACGAACGAGGGGTCCAAGCTGTTCTTCTCGGCCACCAGTTCAGGTAAGTACTGATCTGGATGCATTATTACCACGACGGACCTCTTCGCCGGCCGTGCAGGAGAGGCGGCGGGGCTGAGCGGCGGCATGCGACCACAAACCTTCCTGCTGCTGCTGCTGCTGTTACTGGGGGTGCTTTCTTTCTTTTCTTTTTTGTGCAGCTTCAGTCCAGAAATTGATGAGCCACGAAAAAAAACTAAGGCGTCCCGGGTGATGCGAGACGCTTGACTGGTGGTAGCGATGCGATTCGGAGGCGTGAACGACTCGCTGGGTTGACTTGTGTTTCAGAGGCGTGAGTCCATCTTCGCCGCTGCCTGCTGCCTGCTGCCTCTCCTCGGCACCCCGCCAGACTCAGGCTGCTGCTTCTGCGGCTGCCGCCCCCCCCTCCTCCCTCACTCCCCCCCCCCCCCGCCGCCGGTATTGGCCATTCTCTGGTGCGGGCGCTGCTGGAAAACAAAGGCCATCCCCGCAGAGTGCATACCAATAGGGCGATGCGCTGTGCGAGGGAGTCGATCCAAATTAAAAACATTTTTTTTTAAAGTTTGCACTTGTTTGAGTCTGGCATGAGTCCGTGCAAAATACCTTTCTCCTAGATGCAAGATTGTTTTCTTTTTAAGTTATATGTATGAATTGCAATCCCTCAAAAGAAAGTATGACTTTCTAATGTAGACTTAATTTGAGAATACTATGAACTACCACTAGACATGTTGTGTGGCTTGGCTTGGTTATTCTACACGGGAGCTGGAGTTATTGCTGATGTGATAACTTTGATTATTGCTAAAGCAGTAATGTCATCAAAACATCCAATTAAAATAGAATTAGTTCAATTCAGCCGCAGCGAAATGTACGGTTGCCAATGAGGTCTGAAAGTTTAGGAGATATTTTACCCCTAGCAAAGCATGTATGTACCACTGTGTGCCAACTGATTCCCGAGGCACTAAAACACTGTTTCTGTGTCGCTGTCCATGGTGCTACACACGACCCGGATGACTGAGGTCACTCTTGGTTGGTGGTGGTTTGACACGTTGTATGTTGGTGATTTCAGTGTTTTCGTAACTGATAATGAAAACTTATCATGATAATACAAAACATTAGTTATTTATTTCAGTAGTTGTGCTCCTCAATAACTATTGGGTACTTCTTTCTAAATAGTTTTTTATCCTATTGTTATTTTATATTTTGCACCCACAAAAGAACAGGTCTCTTCCAACATGTTGCTATCGAAGATGTAATTGCAACTTATTTTTGAGTAAGTTGCGGTTTGGCTTCATACTTTGAAGGCTGTGCAACAACATCTCCATTTTGTTACTTTTTGAATGGAATTGCATGGTTCATTGGAAAAGATCAATGCTCATTTCAAGTTTCCTTTTTGCTGTGTGGATTCACTTTGGTAAGTTTGAGACGTCCTATCCATTTTCTCACTGTGGTAGTTGATGAATTTGTCATCCAATGCCACTATAATTTGAATTCAATCTCAATAAAAGCAAAATGGTCAGACCAAAAAATCACAATGTTGCGTATTTGCTTTGTTTGTCCAGCATAGACAGTGTGATGCCCATCTGTGTTACAGGGTGCTAAATAGACTACCTCACTCTGTGGTTTGTTAGCTGGGTTTAAATCCCATCACAGAAGTCGTAATAATGTAAATGCCAACCTCATGTCCTAAAGGACTCAATGAGTCAAGAAGAACATGCATCATTGCACAAAAAAGCTGAACATACATTCTGCCTGCATAGGGAATTATATCTCACAAGGAGTTTCAATGTCAAGTGAATGCTTCATTAGGTCTTTATGAACCAACGTCAGCGGTGTGGGCAGGCACCTCCTAACAAACACCGTACTTGTCTTGTAGGTCAAATATTGTCTTGAATTCTAAATGTATCTTCAGTGTGGATCACAGGCTGCTCTACTTACTCACTGTTCAATATGAATGGACTAAGCTGGTGACTGAACAATTCTAGCTTAATTTGACTGGAGGAGTTGACTGACTGCACTGATCAGAACCATAAAGACTGCGGGGGGACTACAGACTACTGCTGTCAGGTGAATCAAAGTCAGTTTCTGAGTTTCCTTTCATGTGGAGTCATAAGACTGCAATTGCCAGTGCAATCCAACAATGGTCTACCACCGTAGTGGTACATATATATAGTCAGAATACTCATGTGGCTTGGTTTTATTAACCAATTCTCCCTTATTTCCACTTTACCTCTGCATGTGTGAATATTTATAATTTTAACTTATTTAGCTCGCTTTTCTGTTCATTTCTAAAATGGCACGAAGGCCTAGAATGAGCCAATATTGATCAAAACTTCTCTCCCCCTTTACCAATATTGAAATATCTTTCAACCTGAAATTGGTACAGATTTACTGCACTCTAGTGGTCAAACGGCAACATTGCATATTTCACTAATTAACGTGACGTAGATCAGCCCCTTGTTATTACTTGGCCAGTCAATAAACTATGTCCTCTTTTTTCCCTTCTTAGAACGGCCTTTGTCAAGTCATGCATAACCCATGGAGCCCATATCCATTCCATGATCCATATATTTAAGGTTTTCGGTTTGTAAAGGTGACATGAAAGAAAAAGTGTAGTGTAGATAAAAATGATGAAATTATGAAGGAACAAACGGATGCACAGGTGCATATATCTTGTGACAGGAACGTGTGAAAAACAGCAATGACTCTGTGAACTGACCAATACGTGTAACATAGTTATCTCTTTACTACTCAACGTTCAACAAGTTGGTCAACGCGGACTTTATTTTGAAAGGTTTTTACCGGAAATGTCAGTTGTAATTGCGGTGAAGACGGGAGGAAAACGGAAGGCTTCCCCCACGGCAAACGGCACAAAAAAGGTAAATAAAGTAAAATGCGTTTCTTTAACGGCGCAGGTTGATGGTTCAAGTCGCTGCACCCGATCAACTCTCCCGAGAATTACCTGTGCGCGTTATTACCACGCAGCTGCACACCTGAGGGGAGGGATCCCCACGTGTCCCGCACGTCAGTCCCTAGCAGACAGCAACTCTTGTGCGCGTGTGAGAACGTATATAGCATACGACAATGACAACAATGTAGGTGAAACTGCGCTAATGTAATTAGATATTGTGAGTAGGCTGTGACATATTGCATATCTCGGTAATTCATGAGTAATGTGCAAATAGGTTTCTTAATAGTTTGAGGAAGCACGGATCGACCCCTAATGCTGCTCAAGCACCCGCCCTTTGGCCCCTTTAGCTGGAGCCCAATCTTTTCTTCATGTGTCAATATTTAAGAATCTAAAATACTCTCTGTCATCAAGTGTGTTTTGATATCTGACGGGGCATTTGTTGCGTTCTTGTGAGAATTTAAACCCCAGCATGCTGCGCGGCGCTCACAAGCCTCGCCCCTCCTTCCCCTGCTTGTCGTTAAGCAAGGCATTGAAATAAATCACAGTGAAGTAATACAAACTGCACCAAAGGGGATGCTCCTGTGAAGATCCTTTCATTTCTTCAGAGCAGAGTTTGGAGTTAGAATATTTTTTGATCCAACATATTATTTGGTTATTCAATATGGCCTTGTTTTTATTGCCCGTTATCCGTTTATTTATTCAATTTGATCATTTGAGTTAGTTTGTAAACAAAGATAAATACACAAGTTGAAGATATATTTATATATATAATTTTGGCAATGCCCTTTTGGTTTGGTCTGAGCACCTGCTCCCCAAAATGTCTGTGCACGTGCCTGATGTATGGTGTGCAAATTCAGACTCATTGTTTCCATTTAAATGACATTCTTCGAGCCCAAACAAAACTGTCCCAACAGACCATACAACCTGCAACATTCACTAAGGTACATTAAACAAACTGATTTTGTGGTGCGCCATTAGAGGTGTGCTCTTAAACAAGAAAACCCCATGTTCCTGTTCAAGGATCTAATTATGTGTATTCGTTTTAGTACTCTGTGAGTACTAAACTTCTTTAGTAAATGTTTTTTTCTTGCAGGAAAGATGCCAGCAGTCCTAGTCGTGCATGGTGGGGCGTGGGCGATACCGGATGAACTGGCCGCGGCTTCTGTTGATGGGGTAAAGGTTGCAGCACGTGATGGCTTTTCAGTGCTTCAAAGAGGAGGAAGTGCACTGGATGCTGTCGAGGCAGCTGTAAGGGCTCTGGAAGATAACACTGTGTTTGATGCAGGTATTCTGAAACGATAATATGACACATATCTATTTTTAATCTACATATTGGAGTTACCTTTAAAAATAAGTTGTATACACTCCATTTATACCCATTTCATTTAGCCTGAAACACCTCCGACATCATTCCTGCTCCAGTCACTTTACCCATATTTTATTTAGCACAACGTTACCATTAAAGTAAACTCTGATTGCTGTTTCTGGGATGCTGCCAGCCAAAACAAGTAGTGCCCTTTAGTAGATTATACATTCATCATAGACCTTCATATTTGATATTCAACGTTCTTGTACTTGTATATTGACAGACATGTATTCTCAATGTATCAACATGTTAACTTTCTTTTCCTTCATTTAGAGGTTTCATTTTGAAATGAAATGAAACGCCTTCACACAAGCCTAATTTGATTGTAACTAAATGTCTCCATCTGCTGGTGGTGCTGTCAACGTTCATCTAGACAGAATCAGAATTATTGCGGGAGGTTGAGATGAGACTTCAGGCTGAATTTGGTGCTCATCCTCATCATCTGGCTTTAGTCCCAAATGCACCAAAATACAATCATCCACCATTTCAGATTAAGTCTGGCTTTTCTGCCCTCCCGGTGATCCCAACAGGTTAAAAAAAAAAAAGACCTGCCCCGACATGGGGTGTACTTCTGTATAGTGTACAAAATAACAGTCTTTATGTACCAATGTCTATTGCCCTTTGCTACAACTATTAGCAGAGATTAGAGAGATGTGTATATCACCCGTGCTAGTTTTCTGTTTGTGTAAATACAAAACAAACTTCTGCCCACTTGATAAACAAAGACATGTGTTAATTTTATATTTTAAACAATTAAACTACATTATAAGTACATTTCAGACCTGAAAAACTATTCAATTATGAATAAAGACCAAAGGGAAAAATTGCATTTTTATGCACCAACTACATCTCAACAACTACAAACAGATATCAATGATGTGTCAATGATCAACGATGCACAGTATCTCGTATTAACACAATGCTCTGTGGCAATGCTTTGTCACCACCTTGTGGATGTGTGAGGATGTAGCAGGCGACGGAACACATCTTCACACGAGTAATCCCATCTCCAGCCTCTCTTTCTCGCACCCTCTCCGCCTGCTTGTTAGATTCTATTCATTTCGTTTCTCAGGCGTGATGAATTAATCCAGTTCACGTGGTCTAAATGTGTCCATCTGGTGGTGTGAGCCATTGCTTCAGCGAGTTACCGATTTGGATTGTAGGGCATGGGGCAGTGCTGAATGCGGAAGGAGAAGTGGAGCTGGATGCCATTATCATGGATGGAAGGACACTTGCCAGCGGTGCCGTGTCTTCAGTGAAGAACATCGCCAATCCCGTGTCTCTGGCACGGGCCGTGATGGAAGAGGTATCATCTCCGATACTTGGATTTTGTCTCGCTTGAAAAGAAACCGTGAGAGAATACTGATGGTTCCGAAAAGACCAGTTCCATTTTAAGAAACTTTTTAGTGTTTAACAGTTTTTTTGTGCAATGATCAAATGCATTGAATTGTTATAATGACCCCTCTATGACATGTTTTGAAGCACATGTTTCTTCTATGTTTGGCGCCATTAAAACTTGCAGACGGCCCACGTTATATTGACAAGCAGAGGCGCAAACCTGTTTGCAGAAAGCATCGGCATGGCCACAGTTCCCACTGACACACTGGTGACTGAGAATGAGAGGAGGGAGTGGAAGAGAAACAAGAATTATGTTACTGGAGTAATGGAAGATTTTAACTCTCAGTTGTAAGTATTTTTGCACCGTTTGACTATTTCTAGTCCAGACATACCGGCAAACAGCTGGTGAATGGCTCCGTTGGCAAGTGAGAAGAAATGTTAGCTACATAATAAGACAAATACGTCTTCCTCAATCACTTTCTTTTGACTTTCTAGGGCTCACGATACCGTTGGGGCAGTTGCTGTGGACTCGGATGGCAATGTTGCATGTGCAACATCAACTGGAGGGATCAGAAATAAAATGGTTGGCAGAGTGGGAGACTCTCCCATTATTGGTATGACTTAATTTACTTGTATGGTCTCAAGTAGCACTTTTTAAACTGTCAGCTACTGTTAAAATAAGTTCATATGAAATTAGAAGTCATTATTATCAAGTCGAAGTTGATCACATAAGTATCTTTGTCCAAACAACTTGTGCTTTTCATTTTTTTCTTTGATATTTGGATTTGGGAAATTAAGTTAATTTATTTGATTTTATTCCCTTTCTTTTAAATAAGGCTCTGGAGGATATGCAGACAACTTGATTGGTGCAGTATCTTGCACCGGTCATGGAGAGTCTATTCTTAAAGTGACATTGGCCAGACTCATTCTTTTCCATATCGAACAAGGTGAGGCATCACTTTAAAATGATTTAGACAAGTCCCATATGTCTAAATTGATCTGGTCTCAATATGATTTGACCACTTTATTTTGTGGGACAATCATCAAAACATCAAGCGGTGAAGTGAGTAAGATTCAAACGGTGTGAATGTCCTATTACTATTTCATTAAAAATAAATGTACAGAAACATAAATGTTACATTTTCCTGACAGGCTTTTTTGAGATGCTGCAAAAAAAATTGATCAGATATCTTAAGATTCATATGTGAAATGTTGTATTTTCCATTTTTTTCCTTCTTGGCCTCCACAGGTAAATCACTTGCAGATTCTTCTCGGTTGTCTCTGCAGTACATGGGTGACCGTGTCCGTGGTGCAGGAGGTGCTATTGTAGTTTCTCCGTCAGGAAAGTGGGCGGCCACCTTCACCACAGAGCGAATGGCTTGGGCAGCAGTGGACCATGATGGTCTGTGGTATGGATTAAACCCCAAAGAAAGACTAAAAGAGAAGTTATCCCAATAACCATTTTAACGGTTTTAATCCTCAATTATTCAATAATATAGGAACAGTATTTCTTTCATGTGTTTTTGCTAATTCCAGTAATTTCCGAATAATTGGATATATACTATATTTTATAATTTATACTTAGTGTCTTCTTTCTAATCTGTAAAGATACTTACTGTACAACACATACAGGGAAAAGTATGACTACGCAAATTGTGGATATTAAAATAGAAAATTCTCAAGATCTGTTATTTGAGCAGCCAGTACGTACATTGGACAGCTTTTTTTGCAGACAACATAATGTAGAATGTCGGAGTTAATTGATTAAATTCTATTTCTTCCCATTTAAATTTGTCAACACAGATCAATCAATCTGCCCTCCATGATACTATTTAAATCACATCATTTTACTCAAGATGTTAGTCTGCTACAGTTTGTAAAACCAGAGAGGGTCATGGGGCTCCGTTTGTATGAATCATTTCTTGGCATTCAATAAAATGCTGCTGTATGTCACATATGTGATACGTATGACTTTTTTTTCCACCCTATGTATGTTTCATCACAAGTTGGTGGGTTTATAGTGTTTCTTTTCATGCAACTCTGGTAAATATGGATTTACACCCTCATCGATGAACGTGCTCTTCATTTGACCAGAATTGTTGACCTTTGAAAAAAATGGCTGTTCAAACACAATCACTGCACACAAACCTGAGTAAGAATTAAATGAGATGGTACGTTAAATCAGCCCCCACTGTGATGTAAGTTATGGATTTAAAAATGTAAGTATGTAAAAAAAGAAACTTGATTGTGGACAAAACTGTTGAACTATACCATTTATCCTGCCGTGTTATTATGCCCTTTGGCTTAAAATTGCAAAAGTGGACAGTTTAATATATATAAGTTCATGCGTCCTGCATGCAGTTAATTTCAAGCAAAATGGTAGAAAATGCTCTCCAGGTGTACAAAATAAATACATGTAGTTTCCAAGGGAACTTTTGCACCTTTTCTATATGGAAACAAATGAGTTAATCCATTGTTTTCCTCGTACCGTGGCTGCCGAATGGTTCGAAATAGTTGCCTCAATACAACGTCTGTTCAAAACTGTGGCATGCAGAATAAAGTCCGCTGCGGATGCGTGCGATGTGCACGATGTGCGCACCATCAGCTGCTGGGCGACCTGTAAACAGAAGCCACGTGACTTTCGGCGCTGCCTGTCAGGGGCTTTGCGGCAGCAGGACGAGTGACGGCCGAGTTGGAGGAAGTTACTGGGAGCAGCTGTGCTAGTATGTAATCCCATAGGCCGTTGGGTACAATATTGCACCGAGGGGAGAGGTAAGACACTTTTATATGAAAATAAATATTTCCAAAAAATCTAAACTGCACCGCGACGAGAGTGGATGCGTGTGGGCGTGATCGTCTAACGACCGTTACTAGCACTCTGGCTACAAACAAACTTGGTGAGTCGAGGCCTATGCTAAAGCTACTTAGCTAGCCTGTTCTCACAGGTCTAGCATCGAACGTTCTTAAATATGTACGATTTCTGCCACACTTTAGTTTTTTTCTGCCGCATATTTCTATAGCTGCAAATACTATTTACATGGACAATGTTTGAGTTTAAACATTGCGTTATCTTGTGTGGTAACTTAAGTTATAAGTTACAGTTAGCTTGCTAGCATAACGTAACTAGCGTTGTGTAGCGGATGGTCGCAAGCCGTTAGCATGCTAACTAGATCCTCTACACAGGGAGAACCTGTACACAGTAACGGGGATATTCATATGGGCGTTACGTTGTATTCGGTGGCATTACGTCTTGTAGAGACATGCTAATTTATCCAATTCGCTTTTTTCAAATATGAAATGTTCAAATGAGGCCTGCTCGAAGTCGTGCAGTTGTGCCGTGATCCCAAAACAGCAACTTGCAATGGAGCTAACGTTAGCTGTCGTCTCTGCAGGTTCCACCAAGTTTGCCATATCAATGGTTTTCTTGCACTTGCATTAACGGGACGTAAACCTGTTGGCAGCCCCGTCATGTAAACATAAACGACTCGCGAAGATGGCCACAAGTGACACGCTGGGCCGACGGAAGCTTAATTTAAGAGGACAGCAAGACCGGCAGCACGTCAAAACATTTGAGGGTGATGCAAAGTTTTAACCTCTACGTCACTCTTATTTTCAAGAGGCATTCCGTGTTTGTTTTTTCCCCACAAAAACTTTTCCATTCCTTGGATTCTCGATTATCTAACCTGTTAGACCAACTATTCAGTATACACGAAGTTGAGAGGAAGAAAATAAAACAAAATATTAACAGATTTCCTACAATTTCACACGTGGTGCCTACTATCTCCTTCACAATATGTGGTGAGTAGGTCTCTGTAACACCTTCATCCTTAATGTTGCCTCCAAGTTTCTGGTTCACCTCAAATATTACTGCAGTTTTCTGTGCTCATCATCACATGGGGGAAAAAAGTTAGATTCAAAATAAATGATTTAATAAAGGTACCCTGAGCCAGCAGTAATTGTGTAGTCCAAAGCAATTAGTTATTACGGAGATTTGAAAGTTGTCGCTTTAAATTTTATGGTCCGCAAAACTGGAACAGTCTGCGAACGTGCACATCTAGAGGTGCTGATCCCTTTTGACTGACAAAGAGCAGAGTGAATGCATGTTTTCTTTGATGCTGTCATTCATTCTTATGTTTATTATTTTTTTGTGAAGCCACTGGTTAAGGGATGATCATTTTAATATAGACATAATGTCATTTTGCCTGATCAAAAATTGGTAATTTGATGTCAGTTTTCTTATCTGTCTGTGTTTTTAATAAAGGAAGGCAGCAGCATTCATGGATATTGTGGACGTTAACCATTTACTACCCAGTGACCAGTTGGACGACACTCTTATAGCAGGTCAAAATTTGGAATGTGATGCCAGTAATGAGTTTGGGACAGGAGCCCGACTGGAAGATTCCCTGAAGAACATGCTCAGTGACAAAGACCCCATGTTTGGATGTGCAAGCTCTCAGTTCAATCTGCTGGACAATGAGGAGTCTACTTTTCAGATTGCTGGCTCAACAGGTGTGTCAGAAGACGTTCAGTTTTTAAAAATGTCTATTTGTACTGCTTCCAAACCTGGATTAAAAGCTGAGTAGCGGCTACTACCAAAACCAACGAGAACTTGGTGGAGAACACTTTCAGTAACAACTTGATAACATTTATTATCAGCAGCTGACCTGCTTAGTTTAGAGGGTTACGTCCGCTTGTCAGGAGCTTAAAACAAAAAAAAAGGCAGACCTCCCTACGTTTAGGTATGCAAGGGATATCCTAACTGTCAACATCTTTTTGTATGCAAACCGTTTGATGTACATCTTTATTCAGACTTTTTTGTTTGAGATCAAAGTATCCATGACTCATTCAATGTCAGCTGAGAGAAATTCAGTAATCATTCAATGGTCTCCTTTCAATTTCTCAGATTTGAATGGTCATCGTGATTCTCTGATAATTCCTTTTTAAACTAAATGTACTGTGGGCAGTCGAAGTATGCTGATATGTATTTCATCAATTTGATTTTAAAGCCATGCCTGTAACCATTGAATATTAGTGACTAAACGCTAATATTCAACTGTTCAGATTGTAATTTTACTTCCTATCTATATTAAATGTTGTTTTTAGTAGATTTGCCTTTCCTTTGATACTCTGTGAAATGAACTAATATTGATTTATTTTGTCTGTTTCAGGTCCCGCTGATGGTGCAGCATCCACAGGCTCCAGCAGTGAACTAAAAGTTGGAGAGATTACAAAAGCCGGGCAGAAGAAGGGTCCATGTAGTTTGGAATACGGTGAGTTGTTTATTTAGATTTCCACCATAAAGCACATTTTTAAATTGGTGATGGAATGACACTTTGTTTTGTCTGTTTCGTCTCTTCCCGTTGTAACAGAATGTAGCAGCGGTCCACAACCTGCCAACACCTCCACCAAAACCATGCTCCGGGTAAGAGTCGGGAGGAAACCAGCAAACAGGCTGCAGAAGTCATTTCTAATTGAGAAAGGGGTTAAAGGCTCCCAACTAAAGAAAGAATTAACTTTGGGAGGGCGTGTTGATGTGAACGACCTGGACGGTGGCTCGTGGCTCAATCCGTCTGTTGTTTTGAGACGATTGACGGTCACAATCGCAGGATTCAGGATTGAACTGCTTCCGGGACCCTCTTACACGCACAACGTCGAAGCGAGCCAGTCCGAAGGCCTTGACATCGGTTTTTCATATGCCGTGCTGCCAGGTAAGGATGCCAATGTGCAGAAGCCCACGCCTGAAAACGTGGCCGAGATGGATGTAGTTGAGAAGGGCTCTGCTGACGATGGAGCTCTTGGGCTGGGCCCGTATGTGAATCCCAACGACGTGCAGACCTCCAACGGGACTTCAGGGGGGAGTGGCTACACGCAGGAGACAAACCGTGACAATCAGAGTGTGTCTGCAAAACAAAAGTCCGACAGTGAAGGAAAACAGGATATCAAAGACCCGCAAAGCATTGAGAGTAACACTGTTGGCAATAAGACTGATAAGGAAAAGGAACAGGTTGTGGCCCAGACACTGTTAAAGCCAAAACCAGGATTGACCTCCAACAAGAATAAGGACTTGGTTTCAGGCAAACCAGACAACATGATGAAGGGGCATAAAGTGTCCCAAAACATGCCATCCAAAATCCAAAGAGGAGACCTGCACAAACTCAAATCTCCAAAGGACAAAAAAGACATTTCACTTTTGAAAAGGCCCGCAGAAACCTCCCCGAGTGAGCACGCCGCTAAAATGCAGAAGACACAGGAAACGGGAGAAAGCAAAGCCAAGCCCAAATGGCAAAGTACACCGAGCGCCGTAGTGAAGAAGAGCCCTTCATCTGGCAACCGTATTGACCAGCAGGGACCAGCTAAGCACACTCATTCTCCCAATACCTCCAAAGTTGAGACCGCCAACCTGACGCATGGTCGCCCGGGCCCTTCTGTGAAAGTGGCAGAGGAAGGTCAGGAAAAGCCCAAACTGAAGAAGCCAGAAAAGATCCTTCAAAGGCAGAAAAGTAAAACCGGCCGAAGCGTCTCTGTGGACGAGCCGCAGCTGTTTATTCCAGACAACGCTCCTGTTGTGAAGAAGGAAACGGTCGAGGAGCAGCCAGCCAACAGCGAGACCGTGTGGGATGGAAACAACTGCTGTGGTCTATGCAAAAAACACCACAACAACATGTAAGTGCTAACTGTTATTTGGATACATTTTTAAGTTATTTGTTCAATTGAAACAAGGGAAATGCGGATATGCAAAAAAACGTTGATGTATCCGCCCTGTGTTTAGGTTCATGGTGGGCTGCGGCCGCTGTGAAGACTGGTTCCACGGCGACTGCGTTGGTCTTGACCTGACAAAGGTCCGTGAAATGGAGGAGGAGGACCAGATGTACGTGTGCCTGAAGTGCTGTGAGGAGGAAAGCAAGAAGGTGGAGTCAGAGCGCCCAGCTGCAGCCAAACCAGAAGCACAAGCCAA